AGTACCTTTGTGGCAACGGTGGCTCGGTTTTATATTTTTCTTTGATTTTGTGTGGGGAAGATTTGTTATACTAGACTGTACTAGTTCTTAGTTTAATCTTCCATGTGCTTGTGGTACTTTGTTTCTGCATTTGGCTTTTTCGACCTTGTATTCTCTGTTTGTTTTCCTCCCATTTTTGGGGTCTTAATAAACTTTGATTGACCAAAAAAAAGAAAAAGAGAGAAGACATCAAATGCACATGGTTTGAGAATGGAGAAATGCTCTAGATTTATGGGGAAGAGAGGGTCTGATTTTGTTTTTGGTAGAAAATAAAATCTTCCATAAAAAAATTTGCACACAGGAAAAGGGAGGTGTATGGAAATATAACTAAATGAAAGCTTTCAATTTTTTTTCCATATTTTAAAAAATGCTGTCACACATTAAAGGAAAGTGAAAACAATTTATGATTTTAATTTTCAATTTACACATTTTTATAGAGTAACTGTTTTTATTGTCCCAAATCCAATTATCATAAGGTTGCCTTGTACACAATATTTGCTATTTTATTCTCACTTGGCTTCCAAATCAGTCCATCCATAAACCTACGAACCTTTGAAATAAGTGTTTTGGAAGATGTGTGATTTGGAACATTAAATCCTCCAAAATCACTAGATAATCAATTTCCTAGACATATACCCATCACTCTATAAATCTATGTGTAAAACCCAATTTCAAATTTAAATGACCAGTACGATATAAGAGGTCATAATATTCCTATGGTTTTACATCGTTGCCACCAGACTTCATATTTCATTTATAATTTATTTCAAGCATTTCATTAACTATTATAATCGTAATTAATACTCCCTATTAATAGCATATCAATCACCCTATTTCTTTTGGTTGTCATTCCCTCTCACATATCACCTCCTAAAATTGCAACCAAAAAAAAAAAAAAAAGGGAAATAGAGCTTAATGCCACTTTTAATTTTAACTGGAAATATCACATTTCCCCATAAATTTTGCAAGTATCACCTATAAATACATACTTATTGCCCACTTATCGGCCATATAACACTTTTAGTCAGTTTTTGGTCTCTCTCTCTCTCTCCCTCTAGCTAACTATGTCTCTTCTCATGAAAAAGAAGATCAAGAACAACCTACAAAACCCACAACTTTGCCTTCAAAACCCGGTTCTTCCTCTTCCTCTATGTTTTCTTCTCTATCCAAATCCAAACCCCAACTTCGTCTCTCTTCGAATCCCTTATGCAAAACCATCTTTTCTGAATATGACAGCATGTTTGGCATTAGGTGGCTATTGTTTGAGCATTTTGGTCCAATTTTGGGGCAGTTTTGAAGTCAGGGTTTACATGCCCTCTTCAAGAACAACTTCTCCAGAAAATGAACTGATTCACCAAGAGTACCTAGTCTTTTAGATTACAAAAAAAAAGTTCTTTTTCTCCAAACAAAATATCTGAAAACAAAGGAAAGAAGAAAATGGAGTAACAATTTCACAGCAATCTTTTAAAAAAGCAATGAGATTGACAATGATTATGGTTCCAAAATAATACCAGACATTAAATAAACACATAAATGTTGAGAAAAATACGAAAAGCAGAGAGAGAGAGAGAGAGAGAGAGTAAATAATACTTCAGCCAAGAATATTCTCAACTCCTACACAAATCACAAGCAGATAAAAAAAAATGATATCAACATATATTCCTATTAAATTATAGTAACATATCAATAAAACACCAAAAAAATCAATATAACAGAAATACCATAGCAATACAAAAGCAAACCACTACAACACAATCACAATAAAATCACAATACAATTGCAATAGCAAATCAACAATGCTACCTCACTTCGAAGAGAGACGAAGTTGGAGTTTGGATTTGGGTAGAGAAGAAAACAGAGAGGAAGAGGAAGAACTGGGTTTTGAGGGCAAAGCTGTGGGTTTTGCAAGTTGTTCTTGTTCTTCTTCTTCGTGAGAAGAGGCGTACTTAACTAGATGGAGAGAGAGAGAGAGAGAGAGAGAGAGAGAGAGAGAGAGAGGAGAGAGAGAGAGGAGAGAGAGAGAGAGAGAGAGAGAGAAACCAAAAACTAACCAAAAGTGTTATCTAGTCGATAAGTGGGCAATAAATATGTATTTATAGGTGATATTTGTAAATTTGTGGGAAATGTGGTATTTCCAGTTAAAATTAAAAAAATGGTGGCATTAAGCGCCATTTCCCAAAAAAATATATATGTAAATTACATATCCAATAATGTACCTATGAAAAATAAAAATAAAAATATATACGTATAAAAATATAAATATATTATTTAAATAAAATATAGGTATATTATTTACCAAAAAATTAAAAACCAATTAAGTCAGTTACTTTGTAATTGAAATTTCCATACACTTTTCCTAAATTAAAAATAGGTACACAATAATTTATAGAAAATATAGGTACATTATTTACTCATAGGTAAATTATTTTACAATATACCTATAAATGTGTATAGGTGCATTATTTGGAGCGGAAAAATAGGTTCAATTAAAAAACAAAATTGGTACACTGTTTTACTAGTTACGTTATTAGAGAAAAAATAAGGTACATTATTTGGAGAGAGAAAATAGGTTCATTAAAAAAAATATATAGGAACACTGTTTTACTAGGTACATTATTAGAGAAGAAAACAAGGTACATTATTTAGAGAGAGAAAATAGGTTCATTTAAAAAAAAATTTGTTTTTCATAAAATAAACGATAAAATATGATCAAATTATTTTTCATAAAACAAATAAAAGGTACTTTATTCAGAGAAAAAAGGGTTATTGAAAGAAAAAAAATAGGTGCATTATTTAGAGAAAAAATAGGTTCATTTTAAAAAAAATATTTTTTTTCATAAAACAAACAATAAATAGATTATCAAAATATTTTTCAACATAATTAGAATGTACACTATTATTCATAAAACTATAATAAAATAGATTACTAGTAGTATATTTCATAAAAGGAAAACAACATAATTTTTTTATTAAATAAACCAAAACGTTAATCACATGTAGATTACTAATACGTTAATGTTGAATTTTATTTCAAATAAGTTTCTAAATTAATTCCTACATCCATTACAACCATTTGAAGCTTGTAAATAGGGGTTGGAATCCGAAAAATAGAATAAATCATATTTTAAGCTAGATTAGATAACTTGCTTACTTGAATCCTAGTCATTGGGTTTTATTTGAAAAAATTGGGTATTTTGAATAGAAAAATAAAGGAAAGGGTTGTAAGTGATTGAAAATGAATTTTATGGGTCTAAGCTCAATTTACTATAAAAATATATATATTAAGCCGTTCTACTATTAATAGTACCGAATCTTTTGATAAAACTCCATACATACTGGGTGTGGGCTGCTAGTCTCTCTTTGAAATCTTGAAACCAAGTGATCAACCAAAGTTTTTTAATATGTTAATTTTGGTGACATTGAAAAATTATTAATCCCATTGATGGGAAATTGAAGAACGAAAAATTAACCCCATTGATGGGAAATTTGTCATCAATGCTTCTGAATTTGGTATTAGTTGAATCCTGTTTTATTCATTGAATTTGAACTAGGCTTCATTTGGCAAAATTCCAGTAAAAAAATCTTCAAGATTTTTGTTGTAATGAAGGAAATGCAATGTTAACAATTGTAGTAGAGAAAGCTTTTTGCCGCAAGTCTTTATGTCTGCAACAACACTGGAATTCTGTGTTATTATTTTGATTAGTAACTTTGAGTAGTAATGAAAGATATGTAGGAGAGGTTATGAAGTTTTGATGTTGTATTCGGCTAACAAAGTAGAAAAAATTGAAGCAGAGGGATCTTCAAGAACTACTTATTTGAAGAGAGAATTTATAACATCAATCCTTGATAACTCTAAAAAATACATGAACTTATGCTTTAACCATCAAATCTGCTCAAACATTCGAATGATACACAAATGAAATCCAGTACATGAATTATAATACACTTCAACACACTTGGAATTGAAATGGGATTGTTTCTCAAGAATTGATGAGGTTTGAGATGTGGAATTGCAACTTGCTATTCCAAACTTGAAGAACTAACTCTGTATGCACATCCTCATAAAATTCTTCAGAACAGAACTCAACCTCCTCATCAATGTGCTGAAAATAGGGAAACAATATTAAACTAGAAAAATAATACTCATCAGCTTATACTAAAATGGAAAGTGACAAATGGTGGCCAGTCTCAATACGAAATTTTTTCAACTGAAAAAAAAAAGGGCAATATACAATGTACTCCATTTACTTTTTATTTATTTATTTGTCTTTTTTAATTTTATTTATTTTTATATTACTCCATTTACTAAGTTTACAATGTAAATAAGGAAGTATCCTCCATTTGAATTCAAATAAAAATACTAGAAAATCAAATTCCTACCAAATCAAAATATGAAAATTCGGTTTTAGTGCAAAATACGATTTAGGTTAAAAATTATGGCTCATTAAGTCAATATATATTTCATACTAAAATCTCATAAAATCAAGTTTTCTTATTTGATGTGTAAGGAATAAAAGCCGCCAAAAATTATCTTGAGAAAATGATTATTCCAAAAAAATCAGTAAAGAATGTGACCATGCTAATTCCTATCAGTATAATTTAATAAAACATAAACATGATCATATCACTAGAATCTAATTTGATCATGCTAACTCAATTTAATTCTTTCCTTAATATGACATAATATGGCATATTGTTTTTAGTAATAAGATTTACTTAATATAGAAGTTGGAGATGGCAACATATATATACTCACCTCTGCACTTCTCTGTGTTCTCTACTATCTCATTAGAATTCGGTCTCCTATTCAAAAGAAAAGAATGTGTATCATTCAGATGGCAATCAGGTTTGAAAAAGAAACACTTTAATTGTTATATTATTGACTAAACACCAGTGAGCATTCAGGAGCATACCTTTTTTCGTGAATGTTCCCTATAGTGCTATTGAGGTCCCCCATCCACTCAGACTTTCCCAACTCTGTGTACACTTGATTCAGAATGTGTGTTGACAACCTTAGAAGCAAATGTCCTTAAATCTGGACAATTTATAACCTTCAATTCCCTCAAAGATGGCAACTTCAAAGTATAAGCTTCAGTAGAGAAACAAATGAGGTTTGGTAGATCTTCAAGCGTCATGGAATTCAGTCGAGGAAATGTAATTTCCTGATCAGCACATTCAGTGTCTGCTTTTGCAATAACGTGTTCAATCTTCTCACAATCCCCAACTTCTAAGTCCTTTAAACTGACAAGGAGCTTGGCTACAGTTGACAAGAACAAATATCGCAAACTGCCACAGAAGGATACACTTAAGAATGTCAAGTTTCCGAAGCCTGTGATATGATGTGAACCGCCCGTTTCCCATACGTGCATTAAACTTGGCAATTTGTATAACGACAAGTTACGCAACTTATTGAATGCTTGAACATTGTGGCTTTCCACAGCCTTTGGTCCCTTGAGTTGGAAAACAACTTCCAATGACTCACAATATTGTACAGAAAGACGTTCTAGATTATCGTAATCATTTGAGTCTTGATCAAGATTTGTTGGTGCAACCTAGAAAATCAAACATCAATTGAGCAATTGTATTTAATTTATTTAATTTCAATATGGCAATATCATTTTCATTCTCAATTGTAGCTTACCTCTTGATTGACTGGACGTGGCAATATTTGAACAATATTTCTTCTTGAAGTAGGTTTGGTCATTGGGCCACATGAATAAGGTGTACATCCACATGATCCTGATGAAATACCTTCGTCTTCGTCTTCATCTTCGTGATGAGCTGTTGAATCTTTTTCCAACTGTTTTATTTGTGGAATTACTGAAGCCAATGTCTTCAGTTTGTTGCATTCTTCCACAGACATAATTTTGGCGGCTGACCATAAAGAAGTAGAAGCATCAGGACAAAGACTCTCAAGACTCGGAAGCCGCACCAGATCAAAACTATTTAGTTTGGGAAACAAAGTCATGCCCGTTTGATCCTCTTTTTCATTTTCATCAGCGGATCTGACTATAGTTTCCATTTTTTTGCAGTCCGCTATACGGAGCTCTTCAAGATTCACAAGTAGCCTGGCAATTGAATGTGGGAACACATATTGGAGATCATCAACACTTCCTATTTCAAAATATCTTAAGTTTTGGAAGCCCTGGAATCCACGCGGAATGTTCTTCCAAAGGTGTTGACATCGAGAATGCCATATGGACAAATTTTGTAAATGAGAAAATGCTGGAACTGCCTGCCCATCCCTAACCATATGGCCTTTCAGATCAAAGAACACATCTACATTGGCCTCTCGTAGTTCCACTTCTTCTAGATTTTGTAACCATAAAATGCACTTTGGTGGAAATACTGCTCTTTCAAAGCTTCTAGAAGATTGATGCTCATCATATGAAGTTCCTACCACATTTTGATCCTTAGGCGTTGTTACCTAAAAAGATTCATTAATTAATAAATATTTAAAGAAACATTTTGTATATTCAAAAATGAAATTAATAACAAGCTCAATTATTATTATTTAAATTACTTCAATATGACTTCATATTAAAATATTAATAAAACCAAGTTTTAATCGGAGGACTAGTCAGTTTCTAGATTCTTTAGTTCAAACAAAACCTCTCCTCTGCTTTGCAGAATAATGATCACATAAAAGCTAGACTTTGTGATCTCACGTGGCAAGAATTTTCCAGTAAATAATTTGGAGCGTGGCAATTAAGACCGTAATTTTGTTGGTGCTTGTACCGGTAGTTTATAGCTTTGATTTCTCGAATACAAGCAATTTGGAGCGTGCAAAAAAAAAATAATGAAAGTTTTAACCAACTTAAATTCGTTGCTTCTTTAGATAGTTCGAGATTTCTAAATATATTATGTAATGAGACCATTAACAAAAATGAGTCCAAAATTTTTACAAATAAATATATGGAATGGATATATGATGATTTTCTTTAAAGGCAAGTGAACTAAATTCCTCATTTATCAGTATGAGAATATTTTCAGTTTTTAGGAAGAAGATGAGTAAATAATAGTCAAACTAAATTCAGACCTCATGGCAAGTAAACCAAAAATAAATAAAAATTGAGGCACAAACAATTAACAAAACAATTATACTATTCAAGCATCGAAATAATAAGTTATATATGTAACATACCTCATGGTTGGAGTATAGCTTGTTGGCTTCGTAGAAACCAACGAATTCATCAGATAGATCTTCGAGTGTCAACTTTGTTAATTTAGGGAAAGCTATGATGTCCGATGCCGTCTCATGTTCCCTCCACTCTTTTGAGACGATTTCTTTCATTTGGGGACACCAGGAAACACTTAAGCTTTGGAGTTGAACCAAGTTGCTTGCTACTGATAGAGAAAATACATATTTTAAAACAGGGCAAAAACGTAATTGAAGAGATCTTAAGTTGATAAAAGAGCTCTGTGGAAGTTGATCGTGGCATATTGCTTTTAGCTTGGGCATCTCCCAGAGTTCGATTGATTGGATGAGAGGGAAGGCTGTTTGTTGAGTCCAACTTGCTCCATTTACAAGGTATTCTATCTCAGGGCAGTCCCAAATTGTTAAAACTTTTAAGTGTTGCAATCCCTCTTGGTCTAATTCATTGAGGACATACTTTAAATTCTTAATCTTTTCCAAGATTAAATCTTCACATTTCTTAAATAAGACACGAACAATTTGAATCTCCATGAATTCCGTTGCATCACTTTGAAAAATATCCAACTCATTTTCGAATGCATAACAACCAGTTCTTGTTGATGGAACTCTAACCGACGATCGTCCAAACAATCTGTTGGATATGTGGAATCTTAATGTTGTCTGGATTGTCAAGTAAAAGTCTTTTGGAAAGAAGTTGAAATCGGGTATCTCTATGACTAAAACCTTCAAATGATTAGACAATAAAGACATCACCTCAACAAGGCTTGCCATCCTCTTATCTTCGCTTTCTGCTGCTGATTGTTCCCATTTGTGAAAACTATTTTCCATGTACAACTCTTCAAGACTAGATAAGCTCGATAAGAGACCATGTGGAATCTTCTCAAGACGATAACAATCCGTGATATCTAACAACCTTAAATGTTGAAGAAGTCCAATTTCCTTCGGCAACTCTAAGATTCTAGAGCATTTACGAAAGCTGAGGATCTCTAAATTTTCCAATCTTCCAATAGCATCAGATATATCTATTAAATCATAACAACCATTTAGGGACAAGGTTCGAAGGCCCTTCAGTACTCCTAGTGACCTTGGCAAGGCTGATATCCCACCCATGTCTACCAATGCTAAAACCTTCAGCTCTTTCATCCCTTTACATATGATGTCCATGCTATTTTCCGAATAACGTTCGCCTTCTAAGTGTAGAAGCTCAAGTTTTGGACACTCCAGGCCAACTGGGATCTCATCAATATTAATTGGTATCAGTGAGATTGTTGTGTAATGGTCGTATATCTTTGGCCACCCTTTCTTTTCAGCATCACATCTTATTAGAAATCTATGTGGATCTCTTGAGGCAATTGATATGGTAACATCACGAACTATGTCATGCATCTTGGTATGGTCTTTCCATTTGCTCTCTAGCAACAAAAACCTTCTTTGAAGTTTGTCAACCAAAGAATGCACTCTATTTCTTGCTTCTTCCACTGAATCAATGTTACTAAAATACCCTCGACCCCATCCATATCTAACCAAATATTCAATTGGAATATCATAATCTTCAGGAAATAAACAACAAAGCAAAAGGCATGACTTCGCTTCATCACTCTCCAATCTATCATAACTCCATTGTATGCTTGAATAAACTTTGTCATTCATTGAAGAGATGCTTCCAGGAGCTGAACTTTGTAGCTGTTTGAGGGCATCATCCCATTCATACTTCCTCTTATTTTCTAGTGCTTTCGCAACAGTTAAAATAGCAATAGGTAAACCTGCACACTCATTTGTGACTCGTTTAGCCAAATCAGGATAGTCCAAGGGTTTACCTATGATTTCACGGAAGAGTTCCCATGATTCCTCTGGTGTTAAAACTGGGATTGTAAAAATTTCTTGACTTCCCATTGCATTGCACACTTCCGAGTTTCGCGAGGTCAACAGAACTTTGCACCCTTTATGAGAAAGTTGAGAAGGAAGTCCTATAGCCTCAAAATCAAGCTTTGTCCACACATCATCTAATACAATTAGGATGCTATTTATTTCCATGAGTCTTCTGTAGAGCCTTCGTGCTCTTCCACTTTCGGTATTCTCGTCATATTTAAACCCCAGCTCCTCTGCAATTTCTGATTGAATCTTCTGAATGCTTGGGCTTTGGGACACAACTGCCATCACAATATTATCGAATGCTTTCAATCCTTCCAGCCTTTTGATGATTTCTTTCACCATTGTGGTTTTACCCACACCCCCCATACCACAAATCCCAATCATTCTAACGTCTTCATTCTTCAAAACCTCTATCACCCTATTCACATGTGTCATTCTGGATTTAAAATCCTTAAAACCTTCTTTGAATGTTGACCATATCATCGGTGGAGGTGCAGGATGGGCAACATTATTGAATGTTCCTTCTTTTTGGAGATAAAGAACATCTTGTGTAATCTTAGTGGCTTTCCTACTTATGTTCCACCGGTACAAGCATCGCCTTTCCATGTTGACTTCTTCCTCAAAATGCGACACTTTTTGAATTAACTCGTTAACACTTGCTAGCCAACTTTGAACATCAGAGTTGATAACTTCACCATTCCTTTTGGCAGCATTAACCAATTCTTGCACCCCATCTTTCATCTCAAAAAGCTTTCTAAGTTTATCCTTTAGATCTTTCATGTTGGTATCATAGTAAATCAAATAGCCAAATTCTCTGCCTATTGGTGTCACCAAGGACTCTGCAATTTTGGACGCAATTGAAATAACAATATCCATTTCCTTGTGAGATCAAAGACACGTAGATGAAATGGTTATCTCTGTATCTTGTCTCCCAATCTGTACAAAGTCCAATGAAAAATAGATCAATATAAAATAATTTGCACACTTTGTACGATTTTACCATTATCAACGAAATTTTTATTTATTCCTATAAAAAAAATGAAATTTTTATTGCCTTAAATGTCACATCTTCTGACAATTGTTTACTTTCACACCTTTCCGAATATTATGTTTTCTTTAAAGGGATTAAAATTTTATTTTATTTGACTACGCCTTTTTTTTATTATTAGCTGGCCTCCATTGGAATCAAAAGGAATAAGTTTTATATAGGCTGTGTCTTAGCTATATTAAATTAACAAGTTAATTTGTTAATCTCGTTTTCCTATTCTTACTAAGATTTGGTTGAATTTCTAGTTTTATTGGTTTTTAATTTCCTTTGCCAACTAGGTTTTCTTAAGAAACCAAGGGATAAGATTGCTAGGCTGCTTTACTCTTGTATAAATATAATTCTAGACTTTAGTCGCTACAGATTCTTTTAGGAAATTTGACCTAGAACTCAATTATTTTCGTTCTAACTTCTATTTTATAGCTTTATCCTTTTATTCTATGTATTTTGGGATTGTTTGGTTCATTGGACAACTACTTATAGATGCTACCCTACATCAAATTGGTACCAGAGGCTAGGAAAATCCTTCCTCCCCATCATGGTTGGTCATGGTAGAGGTTGTGGACAAGAAAACCAAGCCTAACACACATAGATGACTGAGATACGGCGTATAATAGAAGATATGTCTAGAGGGATGCACACCCTCCAAAGACAGGAATTCATCATGGATGCCTATATGGAGATTCTGGAATGCAACCATGGTGATGGTAATCAAGGTGGAGTGGAAGAGCTGTTGGTTTGTGCATTGGGTTTGAATGGTGGAGGAATTCCAATTGAAGTTGCTGATTTTTATGGAAATATGTATGTAGAAGATTATTTAGATTCATAGGCAAGTCTAGAGAATGGAAACCTATGGAAGAAGTGTAAGACATTACATTGTCTTAAACCACATTAGAATGATCTTCTAATCACATAAGGAGTTGCAATTTAGTATTAATTAAGAAACAAAACTCAAGCATATCTATAGTTCTAGTTTAAAGTGCAATTTAATTAGAAAACTAGAGCTTTGAGGATTCCTATTCTTATATGGATTAAAACATTCTATTCTAGTGCAATCAGAATTTGTTTAAGTGTTCTTCGATGGGCAAAATACTTAAGCAATGCTTATATATAGAGGTCCCTTTCCTAGTAGTCAAGAGAGACTCATATTGACATCTCACCCCATCTAGAGGGAGTTTATGGACTACATAGGAGAAGAAGATTTCTATACCTTCACCACAATCATGTCAGACCAAGGTTAGTGTCGGGTTAGTCTGGGGAGAAGCATTGAAAACGGAAAATTATATATTGAATAGAGTACCTACTAAAAGCGTAAATGCTATCCCTTATGAAGTTTGGGTTAAAAGAAAACCGAGTTTGAATCATCTCATAGTGTGGGGCCGTAGAGCTGAAGCAAAATTATACAATCCTATGGAAAAGAAGTCGGATTCAAGAACAAGCAGTGGCTATTTTGTTGGCTATCCAGAATGAACTAAAGGCTATAGATTTTACTGCCCTCAAAATACAACCAGATTTATAGAAACTCAAATAGCAGTGTTTATATAATATAAAAAATGATGCAACAGAAGAAGAAAATTTCAATTTTTATGAAGTTATAATAGAAAATGGAGACACAATGAATTATAATGTTACCTAGCTTTGACTTGCGTAGCACCCAATCTGTAAAGGAAGATGAAATAGTTGGAGATCCAATGATACTTGAACAAGAAATTCAAGAACAACAAGTTCTGCCACCAGAAACACAAATAAAAATCAACCAGCAGAACAAAACCATGAACAAATGGACATAGAGTTGAGAAGATCACAAAGACAAAGGAAAAGAGCTACATGATGACTACTACATATATTTACAAGAATTTGAGCATGATGTGAATGTAATTGAAGATCCCATGAACTATAAGCAAGAAATGTCCAATGAGAGAAATGAAAAATGGTGGGGAGCTATGAAATCAGAATTAAGCTCTACAAAGAAAAGTGGTGTGTAGGAAGTAGTGAACCTGCCACAAAATTGCAAACCTATAGGTTGCAAATGGGTTTTCAAAACCAAGAGAAACCCTAAGGGACAAAATAATAGATATAAGGCAAGACTAGTTGCCAAGGGATACACACAGTAAGAAGGGATAGATTACATTAAAACTTATTCACCAGTTTCAACCAAAGACTCATTTAGAGTAATCATGGCATTGGTATCACGTTTTGATTTACACTTCATCAAATGGATGTAAAGACTGCATTCTTGACTAGAAATCTAGAAGAGGAAATATATATGAAACAACTAGAAGGTTTCATTCAAGAGAAGGGAGAAAATCTAGTATGTAAACTGTGTAAATCGATTTATGGTCTTAATCAAGCTTCTAGACAGTGGTATATCAAATTTGATGAAGTTGTTAAGCATTATGGTTTTTACATAATATTCATTGGATGAATGCATTTACATGAAGAAGAGTGGGAGGAATTTCATCATATTGGTATTATATGTGGATGACATCTTATTGGCATGCACAGATTTATCAATGTAACATAGTTGTAAAGAATTCATGTCTAAAATTTTGAAATGATAGATCTTGGTGAAGCATCCTATGTTTTCGGAATTGAAATTAGCAAGAATCAATAGAAAGGGGTTCTTGGATTATCACAGAGGAATTATATAGAAAAGGTACCTGTAGAGATTCAATATGCAAGGATGTGGTGGAACTGAAATGCCTATTTCAAAAGCAGATAAGTTGAGCAAGGAACCGGCACCAAGGACTGAACAAGAGAAAATTTAGATAATGACAAACCTTATGCCTCCTTAGTAGGCAGTCTTATGTATGCACAAGTCTGCACTAGACTTGACATAGCCTTTCCTACTAGAAGGTGTGGAGATATTTACAGAGAACTAAAGATTACAAATTGGTTTTCAGAAGAAGCAACAATTTGAAATTAGAAGCTTTTGCGTATGCTAATTTTGCAGGTTGTAAGGATGATCTCTGATCAACATCGAGGTATGTGTTCATATTTGTAGGTGCTTACCATTGGTGATGGCATGGGGGCGGGTGTGATCCGTCTGTTCAACCTAGAAGATGCTTGACAACATGCCTTAATGGAAGAAAAAAAGGTATCATGTTGTGGCAGTAGGCGATAAAATGGGTTGGCAAAGAATATAGTTGCTCTTCATAGTGTCCAAAGTGATCATGAAACCAATCCAAGTACCAAGTGTAGGAAGTTGGTAGGTGCTGATAAGAGTAAAAATGGGAGAAAATAGCACAATTTTATCCTCAAAACAATGCTGGTGTCAAAAATTACAAGGATGGGAGTATTTCACAAGTTTGATATTTCACTTGTGGAGAGGCATGGCATTTATCTTACACTTGCCAACAACGAAGAGTAAACTTGGCATAGGTTAAAGGTGATAAGATGAATTTTTAAAACCCACTTATGTCATAGGAAGTTAGTGATCTTTTACTGGTTGGAGGAGAATATTTGGTGGTAAGGCGAGTGATGACAACTCCAAAAATTGAGGGTCTTCGGCATCCACATAATATATATTTTGAACCGCCTTTGTGTCAGAAATATGTGCAATGTGATTCTTGATAAAGGAAGTAGTGAAAACATTATCTTGAAGGAGGCAATAAAAAAAAATAAAGTTGCCAATTGAGAAGCATCTTAATCCTTACAAGGTTGCATGGTTTCGAAAAGGCAACGAGATACCAGTCACTTCAACGTGTTTGGTAAGTTCACTATGGGTAATACTATTAAGGATGAAGCTTGGTGTGATGTTGTCCCATGGATGCATGTCATATCCTATTAAGAAGACCATGGTTGTTTGACAAAGACATGATACATTCTACTAAAGCACACACCTATTCATTATATAAGGATGGGAGAAAAGTGGAATTTGCAGCCATGTGAAGGAAGATTCTGCAATGCTCCCAAATATGCCAAGGTTAATGGTCATTTGAGAGCCCATTAGTTGGAATTTGTGAGCAAGGAGGTGGGACAATTGTTGCTAAGAAGGATGTTGAGGGAACTTTGAATAAATTGGAAGATGACAATCTCATAATTTTAGAACCCTACTGTGTTTGACTGTTGTTTGGAAGAAGATTGTGAAGTTTGTTTGAGAGTTGGTAAAGCTTTTGACAGGGTATTTGGTGAGACTAAACAAGTTGAATTTAGTGTAATCTTTAAGGCAGTGGACCAGAGGGGAAGTTGGATTTGAACTTTTTGCTTTTTAATTTCCTTTGTCAATTAGATTTTCTTAATAAACCATGGATAGGAATGCTAGGCTACTTTACTCGTGTAAATAGGCTATTAAAAGACTCTTGTATTTAAAAATTTTATTAATATAATTCCAAACTTTAGTTAATAGAGTTGCTTTTGGGATTTTTGACCTTTAGAACTCAATTATCTTCAATTCAAACTTCTATTATATAGCTTTATCCTTCTATGCTCTGTATTTTGGGACTGTTTGGGACACTGGACAACAACTTGTTGCCACTGCGTTGCATCACAAGTGATGATTTGATATGATGTTGATTGGTGTATCTTTTCTTGATATTTTCTTGAGTGTGTAAAATAGAATTGCTTCATTGGCACATTACATAATTTATTCTCTTAGCGGTGGTTTGATCATCCCTCACCCTTTAAAATTTGTTTTTTTTCCAAATGAATTAGTGGTAGAGACAATGACTAAACCAGTTCAGGTTGGATTATATGAGAATGATAAATCTTTATCTACTTATGGTATTTTTGAAAGATTTTGGAGTTATTTTATAAGAGATATTTATTCTAACCATAATTGATGTCCTTTTAATTTATATTTTATTTATCACACACTCAGCTCCAGATTTCTACTTTGGTCTACCCCAGATTTGGAGCGTGCCACATTAATTAATGAATTTATTAAATTTTTCTTTAACTAGACAAGTCTCATAAATATTTAATTTTTTGTATAACCTGCTGATTTGTTGGAGGAACAAGAGCTTATTTGAGTAAAATTTTCACCAACCTACTGATACTAAGTAATCATTATTTGTTTTTATATTGGAGAGAGTCTACGACTTCATACTGTCAGTGTCATCCACGCATCATGCATGGATTTCTAAATTTAGAGATGAATTATAGCATGGATGCTGTGGTGTTGGCATAAGGAATAAGGGACAATTTGGTTCAAGTTTTAGGAGCTTGAGAATGCAATTATGGACATATTGGATGGACTTCTGTGTAGGGGGGAAAGTTCATACCCTTGATTGAACTTGGGATATTTTTTCCCCCAACTTGACAAAGCATTTAATGCAAATCTTTGGGACTAATCTACCCATGCTATAATTTGGAAATACCACTCCTTACCCTTAAAAAAACTCTTCATATTTCTTTTTTTTTAATTGTTTATTTTGTTTTAACCTACATACGCAAATTGTTTTTCATAAATCATGATGATCTTTTGAATTTAGATCATGAATATTGATATGGAATTTTAGATAATGGATGATGCTACAATTGGCTTAAACAGGAAGTTGCAACTTTTTTATATATGATTGTAATCTTTTTCTTTTGTGGTTTTGTTTTCATGGGTGTGCTTTCTTTGTGGGCTCTTTTGGCTTTGTTGCTGGCAGCCTGGCTGTATATGAATTGCACATATACAAGAGGTTGGGGCTGCTCTTTTGACTTGTCGATTGCTTCATATGAATTGCACATATACAAGAGTAAGGCAATTCAATGTTCATGACATTGGTCAATGTTTGTTTTTTGGTTAACGGAGTTTTGCTGCTAAGGTTTCTTTTGGATTGAATCTATTTTTTTTCTTCCAGGTATTTTAGGAGAAAACATTTGTTTAAAGTATTAATAATTTTTACTAAATTCAAGGGTATTGTTGAAAAACTGAACATTTTGTCATTCCTAATACAACACCTTATGTCAGTTTTTTCACATGAAATTCTAAGGTACGAAGAAGACAATGAAAAATATATATCTCACGAGATCGATATACTATTTGCATTTATATACATATATCAAATTATCTAATTGTGTGTGTGTGTGTGTTTTTCAACGGATCAGAGTAAAACCAACAACCATATAGTGCAAATTTAAGACAGAAAGTTTCCAAGATGTACTTACCTCTAATATCCTTGCATAAGTGTAGTTTCTCTCCACCAACTGTTATGAGAAACGTAACGTTGAATGAAAAATCACGAGGATGAGGCAATCAAGGAGAAGGCAATACAAACGACTGAATTATGAGAAATATGAAAGCAATGCATAAGCAGAGAACTCAAATGGAAAAACCACTATGAGTTTTCGTACGCTATAAATAGACAAGGGAAAGACAACGAACCAGGCATTGCTTCAAGAGAAGGTAATTCCAAGCAAACGGAATTTCCTAGAAGCATCTGATCCAAAGCTTAATTACATACGAAGTTTGCTTGTTATATATATAGAAGCATCTCATCCCCAAAAGCCCAAAAAACAAGCCTCTATGCCAAGGCAACGAAAAGTGAAGGACAAAGTGAAAAAGAATTGGATGCATTGCTTACAAATATGGACAAGAGGGGAAGACTAAGAAAGCAATGAAATTATGGAATTTGGGGTTATGGAGAAATCCTTGACCTCTTTTAAGGGGGATTTATGGAGGAAACCCTTTACTATAAATCGATTGAGAATTTACACTGGAGTCTAATCCAACTGAGTTCTTCACAGAACTAAACGATGAAGGACGTAATCTTTTCCATATCACATTAATAATATCTTTGATGAGCTTGGTTTGGAACCTGCAACATATTAGAAACTGTATCAATCATTTTAATTGTGTGGACATAAAGATTCAAAGTTCAGATATGTTTTCTCTAGTTTTTAGAATATAGGATCTGACTTAAACTAATTAATTTAATCTTGATCTTTGAATAAAGTTAATTAATCTCAGCCATTTGTCTAATTAAATTTTGTGTGCTTGTGCATCTGAAGGACGTTAAACGATTGCCTTGGATTTAATTAATCCTAAACTTTTCTTTTGGTACAGAATTAATCGTGACCATGTTTTAATTTCATAATCTTAATTTATATGCATAGATGAATCATAGGGATTTTTAGTTACCCTATAAATTATATTTTTATTAAGGGTTCATAAGAGATTAACTACTCATGCATATATAACATCATCCACATTCTATATATAAACGTAGGGGTGGCATTTTAAACCGAAAAACCGCAAAAACCAACCGACAATTTACTGCAATGAAACCGCAATCGCAGTAAATCGAACCGCATTTGCTGTATTAAGAACCGAACCGCTTTGCGGTTGCGGTTGCGATATTTGATTTTCAAAACTTGCGGTTACCGCAAACCGCAAAGTATAGCCGCACAGATGATGATGTTGAATTCTACAAGGAAATGGAACATATGACAACTTGTAAGTAATTAGTTTATTTATGCTAATGTTATTTATGCTTCTTCTTATAATAAAATGTACTAAACTATGTTGTTTTATTTGTAGATAACATTGGTGCTCAAACAACACAACGGGGTTCTTCAAATCCACTCACCACCAACACTTGAGTTTGTAACATTGGTGCATTGCATTTTCCTTTTAGTTTGTAACTTTAATTAACTTTGAATTGGATTTTTCTTTTTGGTTGTAACTTTAATTCATTTTGCTTTGCATTTTCCTTTTGGTTTATAACTTTAAAGGATTTGAAATTGAAATGCTTGAGAAGTTTAACTTTAATTGGAATGCTTGGAATTGTAACTTTAATTTTCTTAGGTTGTGAATGCTTGAGAAGTTGAGGAGATTGTGAATTTATATATGTTTGAGAAATTGAGGTTGTGTATTTATTTATTTAGGTTGTGAATTTATATTTTTGTGAATGCTTGACAACTTGCGGTTTTAAACCGCTAATTCGCTGTAACCGACCGTATTTTTGCGATTTACCGCAAAACGCGGTCGGTTTGTGGTTTCAAAAATCACCAAACCGCAAATAGTCGGTCGGTTTGCGGTTTGAGTAAAAATTCGCGGTTACCAAACCGCAACCACCCCTAATAAACGAACCCTAAAAAATTATGAACTTTCCAGGGGAAAATAATAGAAGTTTAATGTATACCAGTCCTTAGCATTTCACCTAGAGAAATCTGCCACTTTTGCCAACAAGGGCGGAACCACAATAAGGGCTATAGTGGGCTATAGCATAGTGTGGTTTTTTAAGAATAAAAATATAAACCCTATATATTTGACTTATTTTCAACATTAAATGTCATTGTCATTGTACTTTTATTTATTTTTATATTACTTCATTTTTATAGTACCCTCCATTTGGATTCAAATAAAAATACTAGAAAATTAAATTCCCACCAAATCAAAATACGAAAAATTAGTTTTAGTGCAAAATACGATTTAGACTAAAAATGATGGCTCATTAACTTAATATATACTTCATACTAAAATCTCATAAAATCAAGTTTTTTTATTCGATGTGTGAGGAATAAAAGCCGTTAAAAATTATCTTGAGAAAATGATTACTCCGAAAACCCATTTTTCATACTTAGTCAATATTTTTACATAAAACAAATTTTCATGTATAATATGAATGCATGAAGGAATCTAAGGTCAATCTAGATAAAAAGCCTTAGATGTTCAATCCACTATGGTGTTAAACCCTATTTGGTTTATGTTAAAATTTATTGAAAATTATTCTATGGAGTTATGAACAAGCTTGATTTATATGATTTAATTTACTTTTATTTCTAAAAGGACTATAGAAATTGTAAGTATCAAAAAAAATAATCATTAAATTTTAAGCTAATAACTTTAGTTAGCCCACAGTTGAAAAATTTCTGATTCCGCCCTTGGTCACCACCCAACCTCAGCCAGCCATTACCTCCCTGGAACCCAACCACCAATCGAGCCACCCAAGCCCGCCCCATCCCCAAACAACCAAATCGCTTAAGAACCAAACCAAACTCAACAACTTGACTTCACACCAAACCGTTGCCGTCGGCGAACAAACCTAGACTTCACAGCAAACCAGATTAACCCCTCTCCCAACTTGGATCCAGCCACTTCTCAACAAACCAGATTAACCCCTCCCCCACCGCCGACCTGACCTCTCCCCATGACAAAACCACCTGACATGTAACCCAATTCCAAAGATCTGGTTATTTTATTTTTTATTTTGTTTGTAAGCTACTCAAACACCAAGCAAGATCTCACCCCCAGCCTATGATTTTGATGAAAGGGATGTCATAGACCCAAGGAACTTTGGCTCTTCCAACTCCAGTAGCCTATGCTTTTGGTTAGAGAAATATGACTAGACCCAAAAAGTTTGGTTGTTCAGGGCGATTTGGTTGGTTGGGGATGGGGCGGGCTTGGGTAGCTGCAGTGGTGGTGGTTGGGTTATATGGAGGCGGTGGCTGGCTGGGGTTGGGTGCAGACTGTTGGTTTGTGTAGGTTTGAGAGGAGAAGGGAAGGGAGAGGTTTCATTTTTATTTCAAAACTATTTTTATACAAATTTATATTTGTATTGTTTAATTTTAAAAGGAATGAAATTTGTAATAATTTGTGGACTGAATTGCCCCTCCATAAGTAACAAAGTTAAAAAATTGATAGAAATTGAGTATTGTCCTTGAATTACTTCAAATTGAAACCACATGGACAAAATTGTCCTTGAATTACTTCGGATCTCTCTTTTCCTAATATTACTTGTATAAAAAAAATTAAAAAAAACAATACAAAACATAACCATCAGTGTTAGACTAAGCTAAAACAAAATAATCAAGGTTCGAACAACTTGTTCCTACATTTGCATTTCCATGAGAGGAGATAATAGCCCTCATCTCCCTGATTTGTATTTGTTGCCTTGAGATTATTATTCTTATCAGGTGGAGAAACAACCTGAGTGGGCGTGCAAGGTATGCAACCCACGCACCTGTTAACACACGCAGGAGGCTTTGAACCCATGACCATCTTCATCTGCTTTTCTAACCGCTGATGATCTCCATCTCTTACTGCCATTGAATTAGCTTCTGAAACGGAAGAAAAGAGCGTGAGAGAAAAGATGATCACAATGATAGCAATCGTTAGCCCGTTCGGATATTTTCTTGAGGAAGAAGCCATCATGTGTCTTGTCTTGGAGTTGAAAAGAACGGAACAAGAGATGAGAAGCTACGCTATGGCGTCCAATATGATGGGGCAATAGAACAGGTTGATATTTCATCACACAATGTGCCCTATATATACTAGATTCCTAGAATTTCAAGGAAATCTAAATCCCTTTAATAACTGGGAAATAAGAAGAAAAGGAACAAATTTCATTCTTGACTTCACCGGTGTTTTTTGGCAGCTAACTGTCAGTGTGTCTGACTTTATAGGTTTCTTTCGGTTTGAATTACTGTTTTTTTTTTTTTTTTTTTTTTTTTTTTTTTTTTTTTTTTTTTCTTTTTTTCTGCATGAATATTGACTTTTCCAACAGAACAGCTAAGACCCCAACAGTCTAAGAAACAAAAAACAACCACCGAAAGAAACAAACTAAGACCAAGAACTACCATCCCCATAATCGCAACAATTTCGGGGAGGACAAGGCAAACCGCCTCGGGATAGAATGAAAATCAGGGAGGTTGGAGGTTGAATGACACAAGCCTCAGCGCACAACCCCCCTCCTTTTAACACTCGAAGCTACCCAATCTGCAGCTTGGTTTGCTTCCCTAAGGACCCATGACCATCGGAGGTAGGAGAAGGAAGTCTTTAGAACTCTGATTTCACAGTGGATAGGAAATTAAGACCACTTCGAGCATGACAAGTCCTCCTTAACAGTCGATAAGCATGCCTTCGAATCCACTTCAACAATGATATTCCTTAAGCCACGGGCCTTAGCCATCCTCAACCCATCAAGAAATACAACACAACTACTTCCCCCAACGCTTCCAACTCTCTCTCACATGAGCTGAGAACAGAGGTGGGTCCAACATATGGGAGAGAGAGAATTGGACTTTAAAGCCATGCCACTTGTGTTCCTCATCCCATTAGCGGCAGCAAATTTTGTTGCTGCTTTCCCAAATATTTCGCGTTTGTAATGGTTCTATTCTTTAATATTCACTGAATTGTTCTTCACTTGTTGCGACAAGTTTCTGTGACCCTTGTTTACCAAACAAGTTGACACTTCAACTGATGATACAGATAATGAAATTAAAATTCGGGGGATTACATTGTATATCATGGTTAATCTTTGCCAGAAATTAACAATGAATCTAAACACCCACCGGCCACCCGCAAAACAAAAATCAACAGAACAAAAAACAAAAAAAAACAGAATTTCCCCAGTACACAGCACCAACTCAAAATTCTCTAACAAGTACCTAAACTTTAGACATTCTTGGCATGCTACGAACCACAAGCCTAGCACAACAGCAGGAAAACATTTTCACAAACCGTGACCTCTTGAAACCGAAGTAACAGAAAAGAAGCCAGAATTCATTGTTCGTTTCCAATGCCTAAGATGCACTTCGAAAGATGAGTCAAATATGGTTCTGCTTTGGAGCTACTGTTCAATATTGGTCCCAGGCTCTGAAGCTCTGCATTGAACTCCCTCTCGAATTTGCTGTAATATAAATGAGTCAGAGAGAGAGAGAGCGAGATAGAGGTGTATTTGTGTGTGTAATTATGTACATACTCCATAGCCATTTCAAACTTACAGAATAGAATCAGCAACAGTTTTATTGCTGGAGCTTAATTTTAATGGCTGATATGGACGCCGTGATTTCGATTGCCTGGGTTTTTCTGACACAAGTGAACCATCAGACTCGACAAGGCTGGGAACATCAATAGAAGATGATATCAACCACTGAGTTGCAGCTGCATATTGTAGGCAAAGTGATTTCAGCCTCTCCACCTTCTGCATTCAGAGAACTCACTATTGAGGAAAATCACAAAGTCTACCCAAGAACTCCAGAACTTATGTTCTGAACATATGATCCCATTTCAACATGTCCTGATCCACTGTTCCATGATAAATGCAACTTAGACGTATATTAAGTTCATTGTTATTCTCTATGTTGCATAATCAATTTATAGGTCTCATGACGAGCATCTTTACTAGCATGTTAAAGTGTATTAATTGAAAGGAAATTTATTGAAGAATGTGAAAGTTAATACTGAAAGAATTTAAGTTCTCATGCTTGTGTGAGAGACGTGATTTGATTTGGAGCGAGTCCAAGATCTATAATGCTGAAGGCTGAGTGATACCTGAATTTTTCTAATATCTTACTAGGGCCTACATCAAACATGGAGGCTATCATCATCCTCACAGAAACATTCTACACTAGCATATCTCCCTGGCCTCAAGCATACCTAGTATGTTGCACATCCTTCCATTTTCCCTTATTAAAGTTTTTCTCTCTTTCAAATGGAAGAGATCTTCTCTCCAACCTCTTCTATATTTATTACATCCCTCTATTTCTAGTTACCTCTTCTACTATATATCCCTTTATGTCTAGTTATGCATGTATGCTTGGATGTAGTAAGAACAAACCTTGAGAAATTCAGGCAAAAGAAGCAAGCATCCCCTCAAACACTTGTCAAGGAAAAATTCATGGTGTTGGATAACCTGTATCACGAAGAGCCTTGAAAGTCAAACATGAGGTACTTCTACATAAAATAAATACTGCTGCCTCTATCAGAATGTCCAATAAGTGGCATTCTTCTTTTCAGCCAAACATTTCTTTTTTTCTTTGTTTCAAATGAAGACGAGAATTTCTATACGAGGAAGACCATACCTCATCTATGCTCTTTGCAGTTTGAAGTCTATTATGCATCACGTGCCAATTAGGCTCAATAACCTGTAAACAAGTTCTGTTGTCAATAAACATAAGGCCAGTTATTTTTTCAACATTGCTAGGAAAATATATTTCAGGAATGTAGAACTTGAATTGGATTTCTTAAGGTCGGACAGTATTTTATTATGTTTCCCTTGCGATCAACAGGACAGAATGAACCCCAGCCCCGTCAGACCTAGCCAGTTATCTCTAAAGAACCTTGAAAGGTCGGACATAACTTTGTAGATGTACATTATTTCTCAAGTACAAGCTAACATTACATACAGTGATTTGCAACGGGAGGCGTGCAACAAGGATCATACATCAAAAAATAAAATAAAAATTGTACAATGCATATATAAGCCTGCACCACACAAGGGTGTTAGGTGTCGAATGCAAGCATTCCCAGCATAAGATTCAACCATTCCCAGAAAAATTTCAGTATTTGGAAGTGTCCGATGGAATGTACCATGCTGTGTTGTATCGACAACAGCCAAATAAAGAGAAAGGAAGTAAACCAATAAAAACCAAAACCATGAGAAAAGAAAAAAGAACTAAAGGAGTAAAAGTACTTAAATATAGGAAAAAACAAGCACATCACAAGCTACAACTATAGCATGGCAAAAGCATCTGGCGAAAAAGAAATTTGGTAAGGTAAAACCTGCCTCAAATGTTAGATAGTGTAGAAGGCTATTAATAAATTTCAGCATGCTACGACAGAGCAGAGATGATCTGGAGATAGCAGTTCCACGCATGTTGAGGGCACGAACTCCCTGCAAATATATATTTCCATTTAATTAAACAGGGAAATGAGGCTATTGGCCTGGCTAGATGAAAAAACAAAACAGAAACCCATACTTGATGTGCTTGCCATGCCCCACAAAGTTGGCGATCCACGTGCTTACAGTGGAAAAGAAAGCGGAAAATCAACTGGTACTTTGTTAAGGAATGTTTAGAGATAACAATAGACAATGGCCACCGAATCTGAAAAAGAACCAAATAGTCAGCAAATCAAAGGAAAATGGTTTGATCATGATGCAGGATGAGATCAAAATGGCATCATATGAAAATTCTCACGAGCTAGATCCATTTAAGAAAACTCAAACCAAGAACATTCACCAAATATGCATCTTGTTAAGTAATTTATACTATCTTTTTACTGCAGTAGTTGAGAGAAAGAGTCTCATTGAATCCCTACAAATACAGAACTGGGGAGGGAGGAAGGAGAAGGATTTGGATGATGAAGTCTTCGGTATAATTATTATTTTGTTTTTTTTTTTTTTTTTTTTTTTTGTTTGTGCAGGTGCTGTTTTGGGTAAACACGTCAATCGTGTAGTTTGAACAAAGAAAATGAAAACAGTACTGAGGAAATCACTGTTTTTCTAACAAACCTTATAATTCAAAGAAAATGTCTCAAGTCCTGTTATGCTCACTGGCTCCTCTAGATCATTATCATCAGGAACATTCCTGCTCCTTTCACCATCTGTAAGTGTCCCCAATTTTTTAAGCAAAGAAGATGTTTCCTGAAGAAAAACAGTGAAACTATTTAATTGATGCAAAATCAATTCAGAAATTTTTCATATGCAAGAAAAAGAAGAGAGTTGCTTACCACGCAACATGTTAAGTCCTCATGGCAAGGATCTGTTGCAGCTGCTGTGGTACGCAAAGCGAGGTCTAGAAGAGACTATTTAGCAAAACAAAAGCTTAAACATCTCAGTTATTTCGAACTGTGAAAACATAGAGAAGTATTTGCCTGTAAGGGACTATGAAGAGTGAAGACCTGCAGCTTCTCCACAGAAATCTCATCAAGCTTTTTCGTAAGCTCATCTCGAGCAATATCCATGAAATGAACTAAAAAATCACCCTGTACAGACACCATCAGCTACTTGATTTTGAATAACACTATTTTTTTTATATAAAATTGAACAAAAAGAAAAAGAAACAAGCTTTTTCCATGCATAACGTGATTGATCTTTTCTTAACCAGATCCAAAAAAATGGTACAAATATTTAACCATCAGCATGCCCTTCATGCATCCTAACCAAGATTTGCATAAGTACAATCATTTCTTCTTTCTCCAAAAAAGAAGTTTGTTTTTCTCACAAAAATAGATAAATAAGTACCAAAGGTGTAATACAAATTACTGTGGTAAATCTTCTGGTAACTGAAATTAAAAAAGTAAACCTTGAATAACATAAATCATAAACATCTCATGTTCTAGCACCTTCTTTTAAGGAGTTTTTTTATATTTCAAGTAGCAGTAGTATACATTACTCTTGATTTTTGGGACCTAAAAATTGGATCATAACACTCTAATGGTTTCTACTTCCTAAATAAAAAAGGAGGATTTTGATTTTTTTTGAAATACTCGCTACAAATTAAACCAAATTCTTACATATGCATGTAGAAGAGAGATTATTATAAAGGCCTCTTCAAAAAGTCATCTATTCTCATAGAACCAACCTTACAGATTGAAAAGGTAATACTTTGACATGCACATAACTGTAGAGAAATCACCAAGTACTTCTGGAGGTACCAAGACTTAGAACTGTAAACCAAACATGCTCCTTCCTAGGGCTTGAAGAAATTAATGCGACCTTACACAATTACATTTACATGGTTGAAGAGGCAAAATGTGCACACACTTCCACTAAGTGTTGAAAGCATCAACACATAAACCATTACCATCGTAACCTTAGACAGAAAGATATGTATGTCCACTATGCTCATAGTTTTATAAGGGACAGCTGAGCTAGCATAACCTAACCCTCCTCGAACTCCACCTGGTATGGATGGTTCAACAATTTCTAGTCCCAATTGCAGATTAAACATGGTATCTCCATATTACAATGTATTATATAATTGATCTATTTCCAAGTTCACTGGTCACAAAACAATATACATATACCTGATCAAGAAGAAGATAGTGCTTTATAGATCGTAACTTTCCCATCAGATCATACTACACAAGAAAACAGAGAAGGTTGGCTAACATAAACGAATAGCGATGAAGATAATGCAGCATGAATGTAAGCATTTTTTTTTAAAAAAAAAACCAAAAAGCAAAGAAGAAAATTCAGGGGAAAACCAAATACTGACAAACTGAACCTCACCTTTTCTTTGATGAGATTTAAGAGCTCACTGCTGGCAAAGTCATAAGCAGATTTTATACACTCAAGATAGCGATGGTTTGAGCCAAAGCTCATCAATTTTGAATTTTCTGATTGAGGGACCTATTCATACAATCCAGTCAATGACATGTACTAACACAACCATATTGACGCAAAGGGACATTATAATGGATGATTATAATATAAGAACCATTGTAATGGATAATTAACCGGAACCTGAACATGGTGCCCGCATTCTCTCATGACATTTAGATATTTTCCAGTGGTCAAAATTGTCCCAGAAATATTTGCAAGGAAGCTAGGGATTCCATCCTTGAGGCTGTAACGTTGCGTCCAATACTTGGCATCATAATCATGAGTCAGGCTTTCCTGTAAGATTTTACAAACTGTAACATAATAAGCATAAATTTGATGCACTCATAATTGCGAACTCACAAAATATACCTTTTGAAGAGATTTGTTCTCAGCAATGAAAAATTCACCATAAGGATCATCAATGACTCCTTCATAAACCCACCTAAAAGTAAGTTTTGATTCCGTACATAGGGTCAATCAGAACGAGTAATAAAGTATTGAACAAATGATACCTAAATCCACCACTGCCCAAGGAAAAGAAACAAAACAACTTAATCTGTCTTTCCACATTATAATAGATTTAAAATAAGAAATCCATGTCAAAACTATTAGAGGATTGAATATATATAGAAACAAGGGGCATAATACTATTCCTCCAAGAAAATGCACATGAACATAGAAAAACAATATCTTTATACACATAATTATTTCATAGAGAAGACAGCACAATAAATACAGGGTTAAGCAGGATGGGAAGGCAGCAGGCATATCATCTTTAAAACGACCTGACATGACACAACACTATCAATGTTTGTTCCGCCGTGCACAACTTGTCCAATGGGTCATGCTGGGCACAACACATCATGGACCCAACCCATTTGACACCTACTGTAAAGAAAGATGATAAAACCTTGACATGCCGCACAGAAATTTCTTTTCTTTTATATAAAAAGAAAAACAAAGGGTAACTTTTATGTAAATAACACTTTAATTTCATATTTAGTGGGTAACTTTTATGTAAATAATACTTTAACAGGTCATGCTGGGCACAAGATTGAGGGGTTGAAACACGACCACATCCTCATTGGTTGGAGATTATATATTTTTTAACTATAATTTTGTAATTATAAAAATCCCATATGTCAAGTGGCATTTGGATGAGGTAAGTACATAGTAGAATCTAAGTTCAAGTTAAGGTTAAGCAATAATAGGAACTTTCAATTAAACAGAATTCTTAAGAAAAGCTTGGGCCTCAATTTTCATGTACAGGTAGGGCTATGCTAGAAAACTTCGCCCAGGCCCTACCGAAGGCTCCCTGGTCCAAAAAGCTCATCAGGTTCAGACTATTTTTGCAAGACTAAGGTCTCCCAGCTTCTAATCCCTCTCCCAAGAATACTAAAGTGTCAAATATGTGCCCATGGTAACCTTGGGTCTAAAACACGTCTTAGTACAGGACAATTTCCCAAATAAGCCTAAGTTGGCCATTCTAATAGACTTTTTTGGAACCTGCCCTTCCACCCTCCCCCAACACAAAATAAAATGAGATAACCGAGTGGAAATTAAGTTAGGCAGGGAGAATAAGGAATTACAGTTTACAGTATTAAAAGAAAATGGAAGAAACTTTGTAGAAGGGAATAAAACTCTCTGTATCTTTGTAGCATATTATGCTTATGTAATTAGCTTTTCATGTTCAACTAGAGATGTATAACAAGTTGGCAGAGGAAGTTGCAATTTTAACACAAAATTATGGTTGCAACTTGACAGCACGCTTGCAAAAGAGTACCTCTCCAATATTCCAAGGTATGCATTGCTCGCACATTCTGCCATCTTTTCTAGCAATGACCTTACACCATTATCACCAGCCATGGCCTTAGCCTGGATATTTCAAAGAGCCATGGTATGCAGCAATGGCAACAGGACAAAAGGTAAGAATGAGAAACATGCAGTGAGAACAGTTATTACTTCCAAAGGGACCAACCAGAGGTTATGTAATTCCTGTTATCTCCAAAAAATACAGAGTGACTCAGACATAAGGATTAACCTGGCTCTGCAAGAGGTTAAGAACTGCAGAACCTGCAAAATTATTAGCTGAAGCCCTCTGTATTACATTAGATAGTGCTTGCATGGACCCCATCATTGGCTGCAACGCAGATTAGAGAGCCCATTTAGGTAAATAAAAGAAAACCCCTAAAAAATAGCTAAAATTTGTCTGAGAGAACCTCAAACCTGACAGTAAAACCACAAGCCTTGTAGGGACAGTCTTCCAAGTCGAAACTGGTGTTCCAATTGTGCCACCATGGCCTGGTAATCCTAATACAGAAAAACCAGAAGGAGGTGTTCAATGGGGGAGATCACTTCATCCTTTTTTATATCCGTACTTAATACTTTTCTTCGTCCATGAACCTTAGGTCTAGATGAAAGAAATGGAGTTGCCATCGAGTAACTTTTATGTTAAAATAAGAAACTCAAACTGAAAACAGATTTCAGTAGGAGAAAGAAATACACATCTTGAAGAGCGAAAAAATACCAAATATTCCAATCACAGGTTAATGAAACAAACATAACATGCACAAAAAGGTCTTAAAACAGGGAGGGGAGGGAACCCTACTAGAAGGAGAGCCCTGAGTGCAGCAGCAAAGGCATGATTCACCAGACCATTCTTGAATTGAGATCTTGATTCAACAAACTGGTTAATGAGCATAAAGCTCTCACACAGAGGAAATACCCGTTTCGCCAATTCCTGAAGCATTTCAGTACCCAATAAAAAGTGATAAATATTAAAGTGCCAAGTCTAAAACATCAGAGAGATTGCGCCAATCCACACCTGAAGAGCTAAATCCATGGATGCATCAACTTGAAAGGTGAAATTATCCTCTTTTCCGTGGGCCCTTTTGATCGAAATGTAGCGTCCTTGGATCCCAACCATTGCAGACAAGAGGTCATCGATGACCACAAGTTCCTACTTGTGCAACAACCATCATGAGCACGACTACCTTTCATCCAAAATTGTAAAGTTCCATATTCAAATTCAAATTCAAATTCAAACTCACCTGAACAGCAGCATTGTAACAACCAATGGCTTTTTCGGATCCCAAGCTGCAAAATTCAAAAATTGTTTTTCTTTTTCAATTAAAAAGACAAAAAGAAGAAGAGTATGACCAGAAATGTAAATGGATGAAGATGTGACATGATGTTTACCCAAGGGAATCAACGGAATAGCCCTTGGTGTCGAAGAAACGCGACGTCGTTTTGGTTTCCTGAAACAAAAATGAAAATTTTGAACTGGCATTCGCAAATCTCAGAGAGAAAAATGAAGTGAAGAACATTAGAGGAACCTGATGAAAGCGGCCAGTCAGGAATGGCCTCTCGGAGTTCCAGCGAGGAGTTGAAGGACATGATATTGCTGAACTATTCTCCATCGGAATTGGGAAACTCACAAAACCCACAGCTCAGCTCTAAATAATGAATCAAACCCAAAAAATAAAAAAAGCTTAGCCAGCCGATATTCAAGTTTCTCTCACTCTCTCTCCGTCTCTGGTTGATCCTGGTTGTGGGTTAGTGCTTGCTTCCCATGGAAATTTGATGTCTTGATCACTATTTGGTTAGATTTTGCAACATTGGAATTTGCAGTTGGTAAGGTTCAGAGAGTGATTGAGAGAGAAGGGGAGAAAGAAAATGGTGGCTGTGGTTATTTTGGTGAGGGTGGTGGGAGGTTGAGAACGGGGAGCTGCCGAGAGTGAAGAAAGGGGGAGAAGCGGGGATGGGTCTTTTACTTGAGGCTTATTAGTGTTTCACCACTGAAACCGACGCGGGTCTCATTTTACCCCTGAAATTTTCTCACTTAATTCTCTGAATTTCTAAAAAATACTGAAATTTTCTCACTACTTTCCTCCATTTTCATTCACAAAACCATTAAAGTATACTGACATGGTATGAACATTCTAGTAATTTTAGCTTATATTATTTAATTATCCGGCTATTTTATACGGGTTAGGCTTTTAATACTCTCCTTATCTGACTAACTATACAACTCACACACCTCGATTTAAATAATACACGCTTAATTATACGGTTAGGAAAAAAGAACATGCGTTCTACGAAAAAAAATCAGACGCTCTTTTCATCTTCTTCTCCCTAGGGTTCTTCTCTACTATCTTCGCCACAGGTTATTTTCATCACTCTTCTCTAGGTATCCATATCTCACTCTCTCTTTTTCGTACTCTCCCCAATATGCTTCTTCTTACTTCTTCTCTATTATTTATATATTTCAATTTTTTTATTAAATTTTTGTGGAAATTAGGTTATGATTTTTTTTTTGTGGACATTTTTTTAATCGAATGTTTTCAATGTATGTGATATAGTGATTCAACGTTGTGGAAATATTTAGATTGTTGGTATTAAACATAGTAGTGCTAGTTCTCTCCAATATGCTTCTTCTTACTTCTTCTCTATTCTTTATATATTTCAATTTTTTTATTAAATTTTTGTGGAAATTAGGTTATGAATTTTTCTTTTTTGACATTTTTTTTAATCGAATGTTTTCTTTGTATATGATATAGTGATTCAACGTTGTGGAAATATTTAGATTGTTGGTATTAAATGTAAGAATATTTTATAAATATTATGTGTGGCCCACATGAAGTGACCTATGTGGTAAATAAATTGTTTAATTGGTTTAATAAATATTATTCAGAATAATTATATTGGTCAAATAAAGAGAAGTAGTTTCCTATTTTATTACCGTGATGGGTGGTAATTGATTATGAGCTTTACTAGGAAATAGGTCCTCTTTCTGCCTATAATAGTGCACATACCCATCTTATGTTTACACTGATGAAGACACATATTAGGGTTTTTTCTAAACGTGCAAAAGGCTAGAGAGAGAAATCTATTTCCTCCACACTGACGGCTCGCCTACGGATCGCTCAAGATAAATATCTTGATATGGTAGAAGACTAATCATTCAAGGTATGTATGCAATTTAAGTCTAATTGAATTTCCGCCTAATGCTATTGTGAAAATCATGAAGTTCAAGATCTTGGGTCATAGATTGGGTTCTTATGGTTTTATCCAATATTAAGTTTACATTAAATAGAGTAGTGCTAGTTTTCGTCCAAAAACAAACAACTATGCTAGTGTTGGTAGTTTAGTTGAATACATATATACCTGACGACCAGGAGAGCAAAATTACAAAATTAAAATGGTATGAACCAGAATTCTAGGAACCATTTTATTTTTTTGTCAATCGCTATTAGAAAAAGCAATTCAGTGAGTAGTACTAGCGGAGAAAAGGCTAATATAGCCCAACTCAAGCCCTACAAAAGTGCTCAAAGAGAAGATATGGACTTCTGGGTGACCATGGGCCCTTTATGATGTTTTCCTCTTGAACCATTTTCATGATTGATAAATTTTCTCTTTTCCTTTTCTTTTTACGATTCCCAAGCTTATGGCCTTGGCTCTATTGATTGCAATGCTTCTGTTTTACTGCTGCTTATCACCTTAGTATGTGATTACTTTGAATTATATATTATTTGGTACTGATTTTATTAACGTATGCGAGTATGTTGGAATTTTTATGAGATACTACAATTATGATAATGGGTTATATGAAAAAAAAATATATATTGGCAAAAACAATTGAAAAACAAATCTTGTCATATGAATCTTACCAAAAAAAATTTCGTGTCATTTGAATCTCAATTTCCATTAAAATTATCAAAGATTTTTTTTTAATTTTTAAAATAGTCTGATATGATGTTATCTAGAACATCACCTAACACAGTATAATTTAGTCAGACTATTTATCCGAAACAACACCAAACGTCTTATAATATTATGGATAAATAGTCAGTACTCTCTAAAATAGATTAATACTATTTGATGGAAATTAGCCAGTACAATCCGACATACCAAACGAGTCCTTAACGGTTTTGTGGACGGGAAATGGACAAAATTGGTAAAGTGAGAAAATTTCAGCAATTTTTAGAAATTGAGGGGGTGAAGTGAGAAATTTTCAGTTCAAGAGGGTAAAGTGAGACTAAGCGTTCGTTTTAGGGGGGTGAAACAGTAAATAAGTCTTCACTTAATTTTAATTTTGCAAAGAGTCATTTTAGGTGCCTCTAGTTTGCCCGTCAATGACTTTTGTCTTTGTATTTTAAATTTTGTCAATTGTATTATTGTAATCTTCAATTTGGAAAAATTTATAACACATCTCATTTTCTGTCAATTATTTTGATCCATTCGAGCCAAATTCCTCACAATTCACCAAAATATTAACACAAATATGCAATTTTTTCAAAACTCTAAGTCCAAAAATTAGACCTAAAGTGAATGGAAAAAACTTCAACTTATGTTTTACCATTAGATGGTTTGAATTAAAGAAATACTTTGCAGTGCATTTCTAGCATCTAGGCCCAAGAATCTCATTTTTGGGGTTAATTGAAATTTAAAATGTAAATTAGTACTACTTTATTCTTTTTTTTTTGTATGTTTTTTTTTTTTTTATAGAATGTAACTTAGATAGTATGTAGGTGGTTATATTAGAAAATATATATTAGTAAACTAGTTTTCGAAGGAGGGTCTCCACAAATATTCATTGGATGTCTGGGGGTTTCGAATCTCTGTCCACATGAGTGGAGGTAGAGGAGCTCAACCAATTGAACTATACCCTATTGGCAGTAAATTAGTTGTTAGTCTTAGGTAAAGGTAGCAACACTATGTTGAATGAGAAAGCCAGATCCCTCATTGGTGTACTTTTATGGATGTTTGGGGTGTTAGATATAGAGTAAAACCGTGTTATTAATTAGGGGTGGTTAGGGTTTAGTTTGGATTTGTGTTAAAATTACAGTTAAATCAATGACTATGTAACATATTGATTTTGGTTCGATTTTAACTAAAACTATGTGTAAAAGAAAACAAAATCAAACCATTGTTATGGGGTTTGGTGTGGTTTGATTTGGGCATAAACTCGATCCTTTTTTTTTATTTCGCATTTTTACTTGTTGATTAGCCTATTTCTAAAGCATGCTAATTATTCTTTTCACTTTGCAGTGCAAAGACACATTCTTTTCTAATTTCTAAATCTTTAAAACATCCTAAAATTCATCGTAACATCAAAGTAATAAAGTAACGATTTTCATATAAATACAAATGAAGTTTAACACTCAAATTTTGCAAGGAAGTACAAACAAAAGATGACATGTGAAGAAATAATAAAATAAGAAATGAACAATTTGGTTTGATCTAGAGCGGTTTATAGAGGACTAAAACTGTCACAGATTCACACTGGAATGGGTGGTTTGGTTCCATTTTGAGACGGTTTGACTTTTTAATGGTTAAAATTTGCAATGTGAGTGAGATTGGTTTCTACGGTTCATGGGGGGATCGAGTAAGGAAATATTTTTACTCAGCACTTCAAACTCAAGGTGTACTCTCACTATCATTCTCAACACTCGACATGTGCCCATTAACTATGAAATACCACTTTATTTCATTTTCCATGTTTGGTTTGTGTAGGAATGTAAAACAAAGTTTGATTAATTTTTTAATTATATTAATATTAGATAAAAATAAGAAAAAATATTATATTTAATGCTATATGGTAATTCTAAATTGTTAATGGGGACAACGTGGTCATTAAATATGTGCATTTGATGTTGGCCTTAGTTTCCCAAAGGAAGGGAAAATGAAACCTATTGAGGCCCAAAAAATCCACGGTTTGGCCCAAATGAATTATCAGCCCAGCGCAATACCTTATTGAGAAAAAACCCGACTTGGAGCACACAAAAGTCCGCCATGCATGAGTCACACTCCACGCGCCATGCCAAATAAATAATCCGTCATGCTAAGAATCGAGATTAAGATTATAAAATGCATTATCTTTGCAAATCCATGCTAATTATCCCGTCAAGCATAATAATTAAAAGCATGCCAAGTGATATGCCATGCCAAGCAGGAAATCATTATTACACACCCAACCACGCTACAAGCCTAAGTGGGCCCAAGCCACTCGAATGCCCAGGGCTTGCTTGAGTAGCTTGTGGTATGGATGGTAATAAATTGTCATGAGGCCTATTGATGGACCGAGAAGTGGATGTTCCGGGTTGCTTGGGAGCCTCGGAACCCAAGCCCATTTCTTAGGCCCAAACATATGGGTGAGCACAAAATGGGAAAATAGTCCAACCAAAATAGCCCAACCAAAAAGCCCAAGCAAAATGATCCACTAAAACTAACCCCAATAGCCCAATATTTGATAGGGGTGGCCCATTTGTTTAGAGGGTTGACTTCTTATCCTAGAAAACCCATACAAATAGAGGTAGCAAACAAACCCTATATATTGGCTGAAGGATAAAACCATGAAGAAGTCATGGAAGACCACATTGGTTAACAGGAAGGAAGAAACAAGTTTCAAAGCAAAAGAAACATGCAAGGACCCAAGGGATATTAGCATGTAAGCTGCCAGGAAGAGAAGCACCCTTCAGACCAAGCATGTGCACCTATTTGCTTTCCTTCAGCAGATCTGACTAGGGAAGGAGGAAGGAAAGAAGAAGAAAGATGGCTGGGAATGAAAATCTCCCACTGAAATAGCAGTGGGAAAGAGGCATTGAGCTCCAAAATATCTCTAATTTTGTGCAAATTGGCAAAGGGAATGTTACTAAGATAAGGAAAGTCAAGGAAGGAGATGAGAAAGAAAGGGAAAAGCTTGGCCAAAATGGGTAGAAGCCATTAGGGTTTCTTGGGAAGTGATGGTTTCCAGCGCTTATAAAATGAGGCCTTTTCTACCCAACAAAAACAACCCACGCCTAGAGAGCAAGCTTCCTCTCTTACCTGCAAAAGCCCAACAACCTCGTGCGCTATTCACCCTCCTTCCCCATTTTCTTCTTCTGGCAAGCTGCAGTAAGAACATAATTCTTTCTTTTCCTATTCTCAGTCACATCTGCTTGCAAACATCTTCTTCCTCACCTTAAACACTCCTCTTTCTCCCTAGGAAGCCATATTTCCTTTTTGGTGCTCAACTCATGCTAATTTTGCTTCCATGCCACATGCCTCTCATGCCAAGCTCAAAAGTTTATCTGTAAGCATGCATAAATTACCTGTAAGTTGCTATTGTTTTGGCTGGTGAAGGTAACCAAAATACTTCCTAAGGCTCTGCTGCCCTTTTGAAGCATTTTTGGGGCTTAATTTTCGAACTCAGACAAAGGGGACAATTTCATTAGTCTGCCCTTTATGGCAGCCCATCCCGTTTACAGCTGCAGGAAGAAAAAATCCCCTACAAAACCCAAAAGGCGAGGAGGCTTTCATTTTCCTCCTATTTTCCCATGCCCCAAGCCCCATTTCCCATGAACCAAACGCCCCTAAGGAGAACAAAGATGAGTGTAACGAATGAGGATCAAGCAACTGTAAATACTATGAACATAAATCAAGGCAATTAGCAATCGAGCAATTTAAAAAAAAATGCATTGATCTGTTCACGCATATCATATGCGATTGAGCAAAATTCCGCACGAGCAATATTTGAGGGTTGATTCCTTGATCTTCGATCTTCCTTCTCTCTCTTCTTGGATCCCTACGAAATAAATATGAGTAAATATACCACACTTCGGGGTGTTGGCCAAAGGCCCTCTAATGCTTAAATTAGTTTGATTAGATCTTGATAAAGATACGACAATAGCTAAAGTGGATGAAGTTTTCTCTCACCGGGAGAGCCGGGTGGCCTAAGCCGTGTGGAGGCGACGACGAGAGAGAGAGAGAGAGAGAGAGAGAGAAAAGGTTTTAGTAGGATTTTGGAATTTAGAGAGGAATTTAGAATTATCTTGAATGTCTTCTATAGCAACGTATTTATAGTCTCCTTATGTGCTAGGATTTTGGGAGAATAATTCTTATTTGCTTAGAATTATTTTTCCCCAAAAAGATGATAGGAATTACTCCAAGAGATTTGGTAGAAATTGGTTCATTGATTTAGGAAGATATTCCTATCTTAAATCAAAGATACTTTCCCTAATTAAATAGAATTTAATTAGAGTAATTAGTTTGACTTAAGGAATATTCCTTTTTTACGTGTAGTCTTCTTATTGTCCGGCGAAATATATGTTCCCACAATATGATTAACATGTTACACGTATCAGCATATGTCCATTAAGAAAGAGTGCTGCTATTTCCCACTCACTATGTAAATTTGAAAAAAATACAATCCTATCTTTACACCCACAATTATTCCTAAAATACTATTTAATTATTAATTCAAGCAAAACTAGAAATGAAGCAAAAATTAAAAAAGATAACCCAGACAAACCCAACAACCTCATTCTATCCTTCTTCTTCAACTTCTTATCCTTTTGAATTACGTTGCCAAAGGGAAGCTCTTTCCTTCTCTTCACGGCAGCACTCATTGGCCCATGTAAATCAAAACTCTTGCCCATAAGGCGATTTTTTTGGGTAGTATCTTTGAAAGTGATAAATGGGTTTTTTGTAACTTGTTTGGGTTGTAGAAGAAACAGAGATTTGTATAAGAGAAAAAAAGGGATGAGGTGGGTTACGCGAGTTGAGATTTTTTTCTCTAAGTCCTTAGAAGTCATTATACAAAAGGGTGAATTTGTCTTTAAAATTTTGAAGATAATGTGGGTTGGAAAATAGAACAAGGGGGTAGAAATAACAACACTCATTAAGAAAATAACATGGGAATCATTTATGGTGTGTTTACTTATTAAGGACTTAAAATTCGAATCAGGAATTGAATTCCAATTGTGGAGGATTCCTATGTTTACTTCACATTAAGGAATTAAAAAATAAATGGAGCCGACACAATATTAGAAATTGAATTCATGATTTTGAAGGAATTCAATTCTTGAGTGGGAGGTGGTATTCTAATTCAAAGAGAACTAACCCATTAGGAATTCATATTTTTACCCGTTATATCCTCACACAATTTTCAAAATTCCAAATTTATCATATACTTTAGCCTAACAACGATGACATTTTAGTAATTAGAACCACTTCTCCTCTAATTCCATATGATTTAGTAAAAAACTTCAATAGGAATCTGAAATCTAACTCCCCTCAATCTATATGTTTAGTAAACAACTTCAATAGGAATTCATAATCTAATTCTCCTCAATTCAATTCCCTCTAATCCAATTACGGATTAAAACATGAACTCCTTCTTAATTCAATTCCTCCTAATCCAATTACCGATTAGTAAACATGCCATTATGGGTACCAAATTTAAACAGTATAAAGTCCACTAATAATAGTGTTAGATTCTTTATATGCATGTTATGGATCTTACACACAATCTATAATACGTATAAAGATGTGATGACGTACCTAGAGCCATCTTCCTTGAATACACAACTTCTGAATTCATCCTATGCGTAGCAACAATAATCCCAACAACAACGGGAACGGCTCAAGACTTCTGCTCTCTCTCAGAAACTGTTTCAGCTCTCTCTTTATGATGAGAATAGATTTAGAGAACGTGTCTGACGAGAGCAGGGTCTTTAGCTTATATATGGCTAGGTCAAGTCGTCTCTACTCATCACCGAGGGCCGACTTGACTTATTTTTCAAGCCCACTTAATTGGTTCACGCAAAAAAGAAACAAAATAGGACTCCTTAATTAGGCTCCAAAACCCTTTCTTATTCCACAAGGCTTTGGGCCTCAAGGCATAACTTAATTAAACTCTTATTAAACATGATATGACTTAGTATCTACTGCACCGATCTAAATAAGAAAACATAACAAATAGAGCATAAAAAAATAGACTAAATGATGTAACTGCATAAAAGATGATAGCCACAACAACATTACATTATCAACACAAATGCAACGGTATACTATTGTTAGTCATCCTAGTTTCACTAGGAAGAACTAAAAGAAGCAATTGCATCCATCTCCTCCTGCAAAAGAAGCGCATCGATAAATACATCCAGATTCTCTCCTTGCATCACATCATTTATTGAATGATGAGTGATGCCAACACGATGATCAGTTACACGCCCTTGAGGAAAGTTGTATGTACGGATGCGTTCGGATCTATCCCCACTACCAATCTGTTCAAGGTGATGAAAGTCCATATCAATCCTGAAAACAGAGCAACCAATTGTATCAACTAAAATTTACCAAGTAATAGTCATACCTGTTGTGATCTAAGTTTTGACCGACTGCTCTGGATTCTAGACCTCTCTATCTCATAAAGCTTTGCACACAGCACCTTAAGCCCCTTGGCCTTGTTCTACAAAGGAACCCAAAAATTGGAAAAGAGAAAGGTGAAGAAAAGGAAAAGAACAAGACAAGAACAAGAACCAAAAGGAATACCCAAAAAGAGAAAAAAGAAAAAGAAAAGATAACTAGAGTGGTCTACAATCATACACTTTATAACAGAGATATTTAGAAATAATACGAATAATGCTAGGGTGATTTTCATAACCACTAAATCATACATAATACAACTAAAAACTTTGCCCTTGCCTACTTTGACCAGTAAAAACTTCTCACATCCTACAAGCACGAGTGATTCAAATTAGGCGGGACACATTGAGAATCCAAAAAAGTTTGGGAGAACAAGTCGTAAAGATTTGAAGTTTAAGACTAAGTTGACTTTGAGTTAAGAAGACAAGGACAAGAGAATGGCATACGAATCAGTGAATTATCCTAATTTAAAAAAAAATAAAAAATGAGCAACAGTATTTACAACACAGTGCCATTGCCAGTTAAAAGCACGATGCAGAATCGGTTCATATACATTAATACATAGATCAGGAAAATGGACCTTTTGTTGTTTTTCTGTATCAGGAAAATTATCAACTCCAAATAACAAAAGAAAAAGGTAAAGTTCTGATCCTAAGCTCGATGATGCGAAAATTGCAATTTAGTTTCGCAAAAATAGGCATTATATACCATATGTTGGGATCGCTCATCTTGTATGGCTACAGTCAGGCCAGTTGGAATATGAGTTATTCTAACAGCACTGTTGGTGGTATTTGCATGCTGACCACCTGAACCACCAGATCTATAAGTATCAATTCTCAAATCCTCGTTCCTCAGGTGGACATCTACCTGCAGCAGGCCCAAATAAACATGGTCAAAGAAAAAAATAAGAGACCACAACTGACAAAAGAACAAAAAATAACCACAAAGTTTTGTATGAATTCAAACATAACAGAGTGAATAAAAGGAACTTCTGTCTGTTAGGCTTAGATCCATTTTTATAAAGCATAAAATCACAGAATGTGAATTAAATTCAGAATCAACAGGTTAGCACCTCATCAGCTTGAGGGAGGATAGCAACAGAAACAGCACTAGTGTGAATACGTCCAGACTTCTCTGTCACAGGAACTCGCTGCAAAAATGAAAGTCAGTAATTTGTGAGGGCAACTATAAGTAATGTGTTGAACAGGCAGGAAGGAAACCTGAACTCTGTGAATCCCACTCTCAAATTTCAGTTTCCCATAAACATCAGCTCCTGAGATTGCTGCACTAGCTTCCTGAAAAGAAGTTATAATCAAAACATGTTATCACATACTAGGCACTGGCACTTAGCAGGTGGTGAATCCTGTAATACATTATCTGTTAAAAGGACCAGGCTTATTGGGTCCGTTAAAATGTGCGTGTTAGATTGAAAAGAGGAAGGAAATCACACACCAGACCTTATATCCTTTAAGATCAGACTCGGTAATATCCACCACTTCAAACTTCCAGCCTTTCTTGTGCGAGAATCTATCATACCTATGGCAATTTGTTATCCACACAAGGTAAGACTCTTGGAAGAAAACACATACAAGAATTTACAAGTACTGATGCTAACTCACATTTTGAATATGTCCATTGCAAATAAAGAAGCCTCCTCCCCACCAGTTCCTAAGGAAATCTTTTGTCAAACAAAAGAAACAGAAGACACATGCAATGGAATGAAAAATATTGTTGGTATGCGCATCTACAGGTGTTTCTGGGAGAGGGCGGACGCTCAATACCTGCTCTAACCTCCAGTATGCAATCCCTCTCATCAGCATCATCCTTAGGAAGCAGGGACTTGAGTAACGAAGCATGCAATCTTCTTTCTTCGTCAAAGGCCTGACCCAATTCATTGTTTGCCATATCAATCATGTCTTTATCTTGAGAACATTCATCCATGAGAGACCTCAAACCATCAATCTCCTGCAAAGCAGCAAACACATGATTCATTTTGCTCTGTACTTTCTAGGTACAACTGTAACAGTTTCAATTGAAGTTTTTGTTCTAATTTCAGTACCTTGCTGTTGGATCTTAATTGATTTATAAGGTCCATGGAAGCGCTGAGTTTCCGAAGCTCCTTGTTAGCCCTCACATACTCTTCAGCCGAGGCATCAGGCTGTCTTCAACCAAAAGGTCCAACACCATTTCAATTCCAAATTTTTTGTTTTTCCAAAAACCATATCAAATTCCAACATAATTTTCATTCCTATAACAATTACCAAGCAAGCACATAGAATCACAAACATAGAGAACCTGGTTTATGAGATTTTGAAGACAAGCACTCCTCTGCTCGATAAGCGACAGCCTCTGCTCCATGATCTTTACGAGCTTTGGGGACAGTTGAGGCTCCAATTCTGCTCCTTTTCATATGCATAAAGTAAAATTAAACTAAATAAATAAAACCCAAATGCATGAAGAAGAAGAAGAAAACAACATACGAACCCGTTGAGTAAGAACGAAGAATTCGAAGAGGGCAGGCAAAGGCTGCCATTGCTGGTCGAATCAAACTACGCCAAGTCTCACTTCTCATTCTTACACTCTCAGAAGCCAAATCCCTTTCGTAATGCAAGCCCAAATTTACAGAAATTCTAGCGTGAGCTTTTTTATAAATAAGCAAAAAACAAAAAGAAAAAGCTTCAGAGCAGACTGAAACAAAAAGCTTGAAATGCAAGTTTACAAGAAATTAGAAAATTTCCATTAAAGTAAACAAAGAAAAATTACAAGGTTAAATTCTAGAGAAGCAGTACCTTTTGGTCCTCTGGTAGTTGAGACTTGAGAGCAAATCAAGAAAATTGAAGGAAGAAGCAGCAGCAAAGCGAGAGGAAGGGCTGGAAAATATGCGGGTATTTTAATAGCCGTCCGATGAAATCACACGGTTAAATTTTAACCGGGTTAAAATTACCCATTTACAAAAACCATAACCCGAGAGCTCTCTCTCTCTCTTTCTCTTTTCGTTGTATCACAAAACAAAAACCAGTTAGAATTATTTGAGAAATCTTCAGAGGAGAGGGAAAAGAAGAAAATTCGAGCTTTGAACAGCTTCCGGTTCTCTTCTTCATCTCCAACTACAATGGTAAGTCAAACACTCCAAATCCACTTCTCTTCGTTTCTCTGTTTCACTGATTTTGCTTTTAAAGTTTTCCATTTTTTTTCTCTGAACAGGTGCGGCAGCCAAAATCTGAGGTACCCTTTTCTTTGTTTAGATTAGTTTTTCAGCCAAAACTGCTTGTAGTGTATAATATCAAAATCTACTGGCTGATTTCTGCTTTCTTTTTTCCGTAATCCATAAAATGTGGGTAAATTCCAAACTTAGATTCCCTTTCAAAGAACTCTGCCTATGCTACATGTACTTTTTATTTTACATTTTCAGTTTGCTGTTCTGTTTTCTTTTCCCTGTGTGCAAATACATTAGTTTGATGTATGTAGTGAGGCTTTACTAGACATGAATTACAGTGTCTTCGTAAAGTTTAATTGAAAAACTGGCTGTAATATTTAGTTAAGTTTGTGATTTTTGATGATGCATATTTGAGAACAAGAAAAATATGTAGTAATGTTTGACATGATTATTTTCATAGTTTAGAATTATAGTCCTGTCCTGAATTGTTCCAAACATAGGATACTATCCAGCCCCTTAGTCCTGTGCCCCATCAAACATAGGACAGAACTTAGTCCAAGCCAAGCCTATCCTAGATGTATGACTAAAACCAGTTTTGTCATACCCAGTTGGCTATTGATTGTAGTCATTGTGATATGAATACCTGGCTGGCTTTGGTTTTAGATTATTTTCTCACGTGTGTTACTTTGTGCCTTTTGATTCAGTCAGTTTCTATTTGCAGATATTTTTACTAGTTGGGCATGTGGGCATAAGGAGATCATGCTGGATCCTCAAAGAATTGTCTTAGCAAATATTGGTTACTGTTTATGGCTTACATAAGTGAATATGCAATTGGTGCATGTTTTTTCACCTAGGCCAAAGTTTAGCAGTGGTTTGTCACGGTGATTATCCTTTCTCGGTGTTTTTTTCATTGTTATAATGAAATATTTATGGCACTAATAGTGACAAAAGAGTTTCTAATGCTTAACCACTTCATCAAGAGGCGTCCTTTGTGTTTTTGTGTGGCTTCAGCTATTCGGAGGACTATCTTCATATCAAATTATGACAGAGAATCAGTTCTGAGTAGAAAATTTGAAAAGCCTGTGGTTTCAAGTGTAAGATATGAACAGCATCAAATTTCATCTACCCGAGATTTTTGTGCTAGCGTTCAGCCGGAAGGGCTATGCTGGGAAGGTTCCTCTCATGCAATTATGTTGAAAAGGCTCAAAAAAGCCTTGAAGGAACACCAAGTTAATGAAGCATGGGAGTCCTTTATTGATTTTAAAAGGTTGCATGGCTTTCCTGAGGATTTTGTTATCCGTAAGCTAATCACTGAACTGTGCTATTCGTCTGACCCTCACTGGCTACTAAAAGCATGTGATATAGTCTTGGTTATTTTGAAAGAGCGATCAGACTTACTACAGTCTGATATCCTGGCAAAGCTCTCCCTCTCCTTAGCGCGAAGTCAAATGCCTAAACCTGCTACAATGATTCTTAGAATACTACTGGAGAAAGAGAACTTGCCCCCCATGAATGTATTGTGCTTGGTTGTTCTGCATATGGTAAAGACTGAGGTTGGGACACACCTTGCATCCAATTTCTTAGTTCAGATTTGTCATTGTTTCCAACGCTCCAGTGTAAACAAGAGCATCCATGCAAAGCTGGTGAAGCCTAATACAATGATTTTTAACCTTGTCCTTGATGCTTGTGTGAGGTTTAAATTATCATTCAAAGGCCAACAAATTATGGAATTGATGCCTCAAACAGGAGTTGTTGCTGATGCACACTCTATTATCATTATTGCCCAGATCCATGAGCTGAATGGCCAGAGAGACGAGATCCAGAAATATAAAAGTCACATTGATCAAGTTTCAGCTCCGTTTATGCAACATTATCGGCATTTCTATGATAGTTTGTTGAGCTTACATTTCAAGTTTAATGACATTGAGGCGGCCATTGAGCTTGTTTTACAAATGTGTACCTACCATGAGTCTCTTCCTATTCAAAGAGACAGAAAGATTTCACAGAGGTCTTATCTTGTTCCAATTGGATCTCATAATCTCAAGTCTGGGTTGAATATGCAGATTTTGCCTGAGCTGCTGCTGTGCGATTCTGTCCTCAAAATAGAGGGTAAGCAAGAGCTTGTTCTTTATTGGAATGGGAAACTTGCCCTTAGTAACAGGGCTCTAGCCAAGCTCATAAATGGATACAGAAGGGGCAGGGATACTTGCAAGCTTTCAGAAATTTTACTTAAAATGCAAAAGGAGTTATGTTCATTAAGAGGATCTCGTTTGTGTTCTGATGTGATTGATGCTTGCATTAATTTAGGTTGGCTAGAAACTGCTCATGACCTTTTGGATGACATGGATGCAGCTGGGGCTCCCATGGGCCTTACTGCTTTTATGTCACTCTTGGAAGCCTATTACAGAGGAAAGATGTTTCGGGAAGCAAAAGCTTTGCTTAAACAAATGAGGAAGGCTGGTTTTCTTTCAAGTATACCTGATGAGATGATTGTCTCAAAATGTCAACCAATACTAGATACAAGTTCCACATGTACAAATGTTTCAAGCGCGACCAGTAAATCAGATCTGGCAAATGCTTTGGTTCAGGAAATGAGAGATGAGAAGGATGCTTCTGTGGTTTACCAGTTCAATTCTTCCATCAACTTTTTCTGCAAGGCCAAAATGATGGATGATGCTTTGAAGACATACAGAAGAATGCAAGAGATGAAAATTCAACCCACTGAGCAAACATTTACCTATCTGTTATATGGGTATTCTTCTCTGGGAATGATTCGTACTATCACGATCTTGTGGGGGGACATTAAGAGGAATATGGAGAGTGGAAATTTGGTGGTAAGCAGAGATCTCTATGAGTACTTGCTACTGAACTTTCTTCGTGGTGGCTACTTTGAGAGAGTGATGGAGGTCATTGACTTTATGAAGGAGCATGGCATGTACACTGACAAGTGGTTGTACAGGAGTGAGTTTGTAAAACTTCATAAGAATCTATATAGGAATTTAAAGGCATCAGAAGCCAGAACTGAGGCTCAAAGAAAAAGACTTAAATATGTTGAGAAATTTAGAAAATGGGCGGGAGTTGATTGAAGTTCCAAGAGAAGTTCAATATGAACTGGGATGATTTACTGCAAGATTCTTGCTGCTCTGACGTTGATGATTTTAAGGGCAATGTTAAAGTAAATAGAGGAGAGTTAAGAAGTGAATATGGGGGTAAATTAGATTCACTAATGTATCTGCACATAGAAAAGAAAAGCCATTTATGGTGCGTTGTGACTCTCTTTGACCTAAACCAATTACCTTCTACAGCTCCAAGTTTCCTATTTGAAGGTTTTGCAACAGCCAATATGGAAGATGCATTGTGGTGGTGAAACCAAACTCTTACTCCATTTGTAATGTCTGAATGAAGTCTTATGATAATGGAAAGAGTTATTCTGGAGGTTAATTGATCTATGAGGAGATATGTGAAGACAATTGTTTTTCTATTGGCATCACAACAATTTTGCTAACGCTTTTAGGTTATGTTTTCCAATTGCTGCTCTGCAACTACTTCACAATATCAGTACCCAGTGAGTTAGTGAGGATCAAAAGTTTGGAGGTGGTTTCACATTGTTGTTCAATTACAATTGAAATAGTATCCGTTTCTTTTTCATGCTGACAAATTACCCATCTTTCTTGGTATTGTCCAGCAATGCATACAGTGTTAATCATATGTTATTTGTTTTGATGGCAGAAATTTCTTTCACAGTTAACTAGGTGACGTATATTTTTTGATTGATAACCTGATGAGCTAGAAAGCTTCAAATAGTTTATGTCTATGTTGCCCAAACTCATAGAGGTTGTATGATGGAGTGAGCAGTTCTTCTATCTGTCTGAGGTTGTATCATGGAGCTAAGATTATTCTCTGAGTTGGTATGGTTAAATAATGAAAAAACTAAGCACGCCAGTGGACAGGCCCTCAATATGTTGATGAATTGGTGGTAATCTCAATCCAAGGTTACCGGAAACATTACTTCATGTATATTTATTTATTGACTGTATTAATGATTGTGGATATTAGAGAACTTTTTTTCAACGTTAACTTAGTTTGGTGGAGCTGAATATTATGCTGGAATGAGTTGAGGCTCATCATCCGATGATTGGGAAGAAAATATACAGGTGGGGACCCAGAACTGACGCCAATCCATAAAGCTTGTTTTCCTGCTGCTGCTCATCAAGGGAAGGTTGGTTAAGGTTGTTGTGTATGGTTTTGGACAGGTTCGGTTTGATGGTTATTATAATTGTTTCATATGACAGGACATTGTTGGTGCTGTGGAAACAGGGGCTGGGAAGAAACTAGCCTTTGGTTTGCCCATTTTGCAATTCTTGTTGGAGGGAGGAGAAAACACTATGTAGATGCTTGAAGAAAAGGGGAAGGTAGAAGAAAACGTTTGCTCCAAAAGGAATTTTATAGGCACTTATTATTACTCCCACAAGAGAGCTTTCACTTCAGGTAATATAATTGCATTCCAAGTTGCTTCTCTTCGTGTGATTATTAGTTGGATGTGTGCTGCTGGAGGTTGTCTAGTTTGAGTTAAGGGGTTGGTAAGAAGTAAACCAAAGATAGATGGAAAACAACAGTTTGCCTTTTTCGAAAATCTTATTAATTAATGCCTTTGGTTTTAATCTCTAACCCTCAAAAAGTATGAAAGCTCTGTTTTTGTAATCGGAAGTCAAGTACTTTCCTTAATAGTGGACAAATCATTTGAAAGAGGACTTATAAAATCGGGTGCACTTTTCAAAAAATTATGATATGTTTACTTAGAATCAAAATGAGTAGGAATCAGAATAAAAGGGAATGGCAATGGGAAGTAATCAAAACAAGGCATTTCAACTAATCTGAATGAGGGATTGCTTGAGAATGATTCCCATTCCATGTAAGCAAGCATAAAATTACAAACATTATTTTAATCAGACTCAAACTCTATTGTTTGTTTGAAACTTAGAATTAGGGTCTGACTTAATGATTAATTCTATAACATAGAATGAGGTTGGTTTTCTTGTACAGTGATTTTCAGTTATTGTTTTCATTTTCATTTTATGACTTAGATGAGGGGATTTTGAGGAGTGTCGACCATCTTTTGCAAACAAGTTTAAACCAAATAGTTAATCTAAGTAGATTAATGCTTCCGTATTATAGATGACGGGAATAAATGAAGTGATTTCCAGTGTATTGAATTCATTTCAGAGGAATATAATTGAGTTATTATTAACTTACTAATGTATAAAAAGAATGATATTTATGTACAGACTCTTAGTGGCAATATTAATAGAAGGCATACAACAAAAAGAATATTAATGCACCTATAATCACTAGAATTATTTGTCTGGACTATGTACATGTATTTCATGCCTAATCTCATCTTCAGTATTACAAACAATTGTTTGGTTGAACAGTGCCAACAATCTTTCCATTTGCATTGGCACAATGTGACTGAACCTCTTGATTCCTGCAGGTCAAACTCACGTTTTCGAGTCTTATCCCACTACATGGATTTGTTGCGCTACAATCAAATTTTATTGCGATGGCCGTAGCCGATGTTCCTTGAATGTTCTGATACACGACATCACTGACTTTCACACCTGATACCTATATAATATTGAAACAAAATGAAATGTGCATTAGACATTTAGTCAAGACATACATTTATGAATGAGTACATGCTCAATTAATACATTGTTATTATAATTTTCATTACCTGAGCAGGGCAGTTGATGTTGTGTGGGCAATAGTTTTGGTCTATTACAATAGGATTTTGGACATTAAACATGACGACATCAAGGAATTGAACACCTTGAACAAATCCGTTGCTCGGCCTCGCCCAAGACTTAATCCTCAAACCATTTTGAGTACCCTTGAAAATTGCATTTTTAACTGTCACATTTTGGACCCCTTCCTCTTCCAAGTCTTTGGCTAAACTCCCTATGCTGCAATCACCACACCCATGTATGTATAAGCTAAATATAATATTTACTGTTACGAGGTTTTCATATGGAAGCAATGCAATATTCCAAGAGCTATAAAATCTGACCTAATGCCATGGCCAGGACCACAAGTTATTTGCTCGATCCACAAGTCCTTTGTTCCGGGGCCAATCGAGACACAATCATCTCCAGTTTTGATAGAGGTGTTGAAGATTGCGACATTTCTTGACAATTGGACATGGATACCATCAGTGTTTGGGCTATTTCCAGCTGCATTGACTTTGACCCCTTTGATGCGAACATCTTGGCAGCCGTTTATCACAATGTGGAACATCTGGCTGTTCAATGACATTAGTCCATTGATGTTAATGTTTTTGGAGTTTGTAAAACTCAGACTCTGCGTATCAGTGGGAACAAAAATATCAGAATTTAGGAAACAGTAGAACATGAAGAGACTGGTAGGGTAAGGTAGACAATAAATTTAAACAAGATTTCACTTGATCGACAAGAAAGCATAAATTACTAACTGTGGCTCCTCCGTTGGGGCAATCAGTGCTTCCAGCTAACTTGCATGCCCACAAGGAGGTACCTTTAGCGTCAAGGGCACCTCCGATAATGGACACACCAGTTACTCCTTCGAAGCTTAGCCAGTTGTTAGCTTGGCCAAGGACTCGGTAATCAGACGAAGCTATCAATGTTCCATCAATTCGAAAAGTAATATTTGTGCTTTTGCAGTTATCACCTTTGAAAACCATAGCATTGCCAAGCAAATACCTCCCTTTTGGTACACGTATAGTAGTGGAATCAGAGGAGGCACATGCTGCAGTCCATACATCCAGAAAAGCTTGTGTAGAATCTATTACACCGTTAGGCTTGGCTCCAAAGCTTAGGACATTGAAAATTAATGTACTCTTAGCAACACATGATTGGTGTAGGATATATAGGATGAGTAGTGCTACTCTGCTAAAACAACTTGTTGTAACCTCAGCCATTTTCTCCTTTTCTATTTTTCCTTTCTGTTTGTGAGAGAGAGAGAGAGAGAGAGAGAGATTAAATTAAACCGATGACGTCGATGGTAACGAATGAAGTTGGGAACTGAGAGGTTGATGGAGAAAACTTGAACATTGTAGGGTACTTATAGTCTTGATGATACATGCATGCAGTAAGTAATTAGGTTGATATAAGCATAAGGGATGTTTGTATATGATATTATATATACAGAGAGAGGTGGTGTAGGTTTAAAGAAAATATAGTTATGGATGTATTAAGAAAGCTGCGCCGGCACCAATTTGGTGGCTACTCTTTTGTGTTTTACTGTATATATAAGTAATATGGATGAATAATGAATCATATAATATTATATGAATCGATGATAATTTAATTAAAATATTAGTTTGGATATGATTACTTTTGCCGTTGACAAATTTAATTAAAATATTAGTTTGGATATGATTACTTTTGCCGTTGACTTGTTAATGAATCAATTCCTCCCAAGTGGGACACACTTCCTGTACTAAAATCCCTTCATGGCTACTCATTGCTCTCAATGGAGTAACGAGCGGGATAATTTCTAATTTCAGTATTCTAGAGGTAGTAGATAGATATTTGCTAACGAAAATTTTGAAATCACTACTGGTATTGGGGTGTCCTAATGATGGCATTGGCTTATTGTAAAGTCCCACATTGGAAAAATATGCAATAAAACCAGTGCTTATAAGGACTTACATGACATCTTGTAATTGCCGAGCCTAGTAACGTGGGCTTGTAACTAAGTAGGGCATTAAAGTGGTTGGTTATTTGAGGAAGCCTTGTTAGATGAGGTGTGGTCGTCTTGGACTGTTCACCTTGGTGAAGTCGCACACAAGGCACGCCCCTTACCCCTGGGTTAGTAGGGCCGCCCATCCTCAATGGGTGGGTAGCAAACCTCAACTTGATATTAGATTGGGGTGTTAATACTACACCTCACGGGTCAAGAGCCATCACACCCCAGCGTGCTGCCTAGCTTGGCCTCTCATCACACAATCACTTTTCTGAGAAATTGGAAGTGGTATCTCATTTTTGTTCAATAAAAATTGAAATAATGCTGCAAAATCATCCTTCTTATTTATTGTTATTTTCCAGCAATATGTAGACTATGTACAGTATTAATTAATTATATATTCCTATATATTTGGTTTGATGGCAGAAATTTGTTTCACAATTTTTGGTGCAACAGTTGTTTATAATCTAATGAGCTAAAAATTCAGATAGCTTGCTTGTTGATATTTAAAAAATTATTTATAATAAGTATTTTGCTTCTAAGCTGAATTAGGGATAATATTATTGAATGTTAACGTTATTTGCTATTCATTGAAAAAAAAATGTTATTTTTTGTGTTGGGTGTTACTAGAAAATATAGAAGAGAAAAGAACGGGGGAATAAACATTTGAGCTTTTAATGACATTCGAAATGGATCTGAAATAACTATATCCAAAGAATAATTTTAAATTCATTTGTTTTCTTTATTTCTTTATAGTACTAATCATGTCATTGAAGTCCAGACAAACATGAATGGGTGATCCCATTTGGTTCGGGAATTAGGGCCACTGTTACCATGCTCGTTCTTTCTATATAATGTTCTATTTTGGTTGAATGCATTACTATTTTCTAAAGAATTAAAAAAACCAAATTAAAAAAACCATATTCATTACACCTTTTTATTTATTTAAGAATTGACGATACATTGCATTTATAAATCAAGCGCAAGCCTTCTAGCCATTTTATGTACATGCTTTTTTTATATTTTTGAGTTTTAAAGGAAGGAAATATATTTTGACCGCCAAAAAAAAAAAGCAAGAAGGAAAGACATAATTAGGCTCCATTTGGATTGATTGATATGAAAAAAAATATTTGGATTTTACAACAATTTGCTACAAGAACAAGAACCCCATCAGATTGAATGTATATGAACTAACTAGATGATCGTTATGAGAACACATATTTCGGCAACCAATCATGAAGCGCCACATGGACAATTGGAATATTCCTTAGGTCAATAATTGTGCTCCATTTAATTGGCCAATTGTTTAGACTTAAGATAGGGTTATCACCATAAATTAGGGATTTAATTTTCCTTAAATTTCCTTGATTAATCCAATCTCTCCATTTAAGGAAAAAAATAATTCCCTTCCTTATTGGATTTGAAATTGGTACTTAGGTGAAAAGGGTAAATTAAAACCTCAATGGACAAATCTAAGACCATTAGCCATAAGGCCCCGTTTGGTTCATGGGAAAGGAGACTTGGAAATGGGAATTCAATTGCTTTCCCATGTTTGGTAAGTCCAGGCATGGGAAATGGTTACCTAGCACATGGGAAAGTATGGGGGAAAGTAAAGCCCTCCTCTTAACTTGAGTTTTGTTTTCCCTCCTCATGGGAAAGTTTGGGAAAATGAGCCAACATTCAATGCACAATTTTCATGACTATTTTGTCCCTATGAACAATTTATAATTACAATGTATCATTAAATGTTTTCTTTTTTTATTTGATTTAATATGGGTATAATTGGAAAATTATACAAACTTTGTTTTCCATTCCTACTCAAAACAAACATGGGAAAGGAAACAAAGTGAAATCTCCCAGTTACTTTCCCGACATTACCAAACGTGGGAAAGGAATCTTTCATTCCCATTCCTTGGAAAATGACATTGGAAATGATTTCCCATCAAATCCATTCCATGAACCAAACGGGGCCTAAGGGTAAATACAAGTGCCCACAAAGGGGTAATACAAATAAGGAAGCTTAGTAACCACATAGGGTTAATCCATACAACAAAGGGCCAGAGAAATTTCGGCATAAAAGCCTCATGCCTGAACAAACCAGACATGAATCATAGTACCCAAATCTATCAATACAACTACAACTTTTACTCTCACAAGCACAAAATACAAGTAGAGACTAGAAAAAATAATAATAATAATCAAACACTCAACTCACAAGGAGTTGATGTAATTATTACAAAATAAAAAATGCAAACAAACATCCAAAAATCAACAAAGCCACTATTGCCGTTGTTGCCACCATCACCACAAACGCCGTCATTGCCTTGGAGACAGAGAACACCATCGAGATTGCTGCGAGTCACCTTACAACTACAACACCAACTAACACAACCACAAATTCAAGCATTTCTAGACACAAGTAACCTCCCCACAATTAAACGCCAAATCTAGTAGATGGGAAAATGAAAAATAAGTGGAGAGGTAAGGAAAAGAGAGAGAGGGAGATTAAGAAAAATTATTTTCATTTGATAACTGTTTTTGTTGTACTTCAGCAAAAACACTGAATTAATTCTTTAAATATGAATTTCCTTGTTTTGATGCTATATATGAGTGGTGCCAATCAAGGTCTAAAATATCGATGGTGTCGGAAATATCGGTAGTCTAAGAACATGGAAGTTTCGATGGAAATATTGGGATATTATCGATATCGATAAAAATTGAATAAAAGCCACGGAAATTTTAAGATGAACTTGGAAATTTTTATTGAAACTTTGGAGGATATTTATTCAGTCAATTATGTATTAGTTTATTACAAAAAAAATTGGAAGGAAATGCATTGCATGATGGGTTAATTGATTTAAATTGATTATATTGCGAGCTGACAAACACTGTGAGTGTAGAAAATATGTAGTAATTAATGAAAGAAGATTAAACACACCATAATCATTTATATATAATGATTTACTACAATATTTTTACACTTTATACATTGTATGGTAAGATACATGAGTGACTTAGTAGTACACAGAGTTCTTATGAGGTTGAAATTTTTCACTTTATCTTCATCATTTCTATATGTAGGGTAAATGTATTGTGAAGAGTAGTCATCAAATGATAAACCCCCAAAAAAGTTTTGCATGTAATTGTTCAAAACAAAACAATAGAAATATACATATTTTAGCATATTATCATAAAAACATAAGCAATATGGTGGTTAAGGTATTGGAGAAGTGAAATGGCAAGGGTTTGAATTCCCTTCGTGTGTGCTTTGAGTTTTTGTTTTTCCTTTTCTTTCATTACATCGATATTTTCAATATTTTCAATATTTTCGCTATTATAGCAATATTTTGACAAAATATTGCTGAAGTTTGAGCGAAATTATCGATATTAATATTTTCCGATATCGATATTTATACGATATGTGTATGGATACGTTCCGAAATATCCGTGACCTAAAAAATTGATAATATCCTCGATATTTTGTCAATATTATCGATATTTTAGACTATGGTGCCAATTAAGTCCATATGACCTGTCACCCTATTGGTACACGAATTAGGGACTTGAGAATGGATAGGTCACTATTATAATTTGGAAGAGTATTATTATTATTTTTAAAAAATATGAAGTTTTGTTTACACATTCTTTTTTCTAGATTAATCTTGATTGATGTGCACAGATTATGCTCGTGGAAGTTTAAATTTGTTTAATTTGTAATAAAAAATTACAATATTATATTAGTCAGACTCAAACTCTATTGTTTGTTTGAAACTTGGAATTAAGGTCCATTACTACAAAATAGTTAAACCACGACATGAAATAGACGATGGTGCATCTTAAAATCGTTGTATTTTAAAAGGTGACGGTTTTTTTCAAAACCATCGTGATATCTCATCTTATACACGCTTAGCGTTGGGTTGATTTTTAAAAGACGACGCTTGTCAATAACAAGCGTCCTCTTTTAAACACACACAAAACAAAAAAAAAAAAAAAAAAAAACAAACAAACAAACAAAAAAAAAAGCCGCTTAAGTGAATTCGCGCTCGACCTAAAATTTTCAGATTTCCCATGGGTCTTTGAAAACCTTATTTCTCCCTCCTTGAAACCCTCCTCAACTCCAACACCCTCATGAAACTCTCTAAAACACTCCCTGTCACATATCTTGCGCACTCCTCTCCCCACAATATCATCAGAAAATCGATATGAACAAAGGAGTTGAGAGATTGAGGTCTTCACAGATCCACAAGATGGAGAGGGAGGTTCTGGATATGAGAATCAAAGCTGGTTAGATGCGGTGAAGATCTTGATCTCCAAGTTCTTCAACGAAGATCTCCATCTCAAGCACTCAACTCACTCATTAACCTCAACGAGGCAATAATTTGAATGTTGGTGATATATGTGTCTTTGTGTTGATTGATGACACATACATCACTAACATCAAATTGGTGGCTCGATTGTGATGAAGAACACAGGCTCATTTAGTACATAGCTCCCATGGGTACGATTTCATATGTCTTGGAATTTTTCAATATTCATTTTACTATGATTTCATTTTATATATCCTTGACCATATTTATTTTCCAGTTGATTTGCATCTATAACTCTTCTCTAGCTATCATCCATTGTAAGCAAGCAAGGCAAGCACTCTGCAAATATGGCTTGCTTGTCTTCTTTCTTTCTCTGCCATCATATTTACCTCTGTATTAGGTTTATGATTAGTTTATGATTAATTTTTGATTGGAGGCTGAAAATTTATGTGAAGGATGAAGCTCTTATTGTAGAAACTCTGTGGTCTTGTAAAAGAGAGAGAGAGAAGAAGAGAAAAGAGAGAAAGGTTTCTTAAGAATTAAGAGATCTGTTACGTCTCATTCATAAACAAAAGAATTAATACAATTACATATATATAGCCTTTTGACTATTTACATTTAGCTATTCTAAACCAACCACAGAAAACAAACTAATTACATGAGTAACAAACTTATAACAGACTAAACTAATAACCAACCAACTTTAGTTATGAGATATCATCTTCATCTTTACACCCCCTCAAGCCAAACTTGGAAGAATCAAGGATTCCAAGTGAAAGCTTGGACTGCAGAAACTGGAATCTGTTTTTAGACAAGGCTTTGGTATGGATATCTGCAATTTGAGACTGACTGCACACATATTTAACGTCAACCAGATGTGCAAGCACTAACTCACGAATATAATGATAATCAATCTCGACATGCTTAGTACGAGCATGAAATACAGGATTAGAGGCAAGAGATATAGCAGAGATATTATCACACCAGAGAGTAGGTTTGTGAGAAATAGGAAAACCAAAGTCTTTGAGCACCTTGCAAATCCAAGTAACCTCTGCAGCAGTGTGAGCTAAGGACCTGTACTCAGCTTCAGTAGAGGATCGGGCTACGGTTGATTGTTTCTTGGCACTCCAGCTAACTAAGTTGGTACCCAGAAAAACACATGAACCACCAGTGGATCTTCGGTCATAAGAACAACCAGCCCAATCGGCATCAGAGTAGGCTGACAGATGCAGTGAGCTTTTCCTAAACAAGAGACCATGAGTAATAGTCCCTTTGAGAAAACGCAATATACGTTTGGCTGCTTGCATGTGAAGAACAGTAGGTGTATGCATAAATTGACAGATTTGATTCACTGCAAAGGAAATGTCAGGTCTTGTCCAAGTTAAGTATTGAAGAGCACCGACAAGGGATCTGTATTCAGTGGGATTAGCAAGTAATTCCCCACTGTGATCTAGCTTGGTAGAGCTAAGTGGAGTGCAACAGGGTTTTGCACCAGTCATATTTGTTTTCTGTAACAGATCAAGCAGATACTTGTTTTGGTGAAGAATCAGAGTATCTTTGGCTCGATGAACTTCTAGACCCAGAAAGTAATGCAAGGGACCTAGATCTTTGACAGGAAATAAAGTGCTCAACTTGGCTATGAACTGATTGCAAATGGTAGCATCAGGACCACTTACCAGAATATCATCAACATAGACAAGAACTATAACCAGAGTTGGAGCATGAAGAACAAATAAAGAAGCATCAGATGATGATTGACTAAATCCCAGAGATAGAAGAGCTTGAAATAATTTGTCAAACCAAGCTCTAGGAGCTTGTTTAAGGCCGTAGAGAGATTTTCTGAGCTTGCACACATGAGTAGGCCTGCTGGGATCCTGAAAACCAGGAGGTTGAACCATGAATACATCCTCGTTTAAGTCACCATGCAGAAAAGCATTGCTTATGTCCAGTTGATTAAGAAACCAGTTAAATTGGACAGCAAAAGATAACAAGAGTCTGATAGTAACCGGCTTTGCAACTGGACTAAAAGTTTCTGTGTAGTCAAGACCTTCCTTTTGGTGAAATCCCTTAGCAACGAGCCTTGCTTTATATCTCTCAATGGAGCCATCAGGATTTTTTTTAATTCGAAAGACCCACTTGCAGCCAACTACATTGTGAGAGGGTGAAGGAGGAACAAGTGTCCAAGTGCCAGTAGATAAAAGAGCATTGAATTCATTTTGCATTGCTAGTCGCCAATTTTCAAATTTAGATGCTTGAAGATAAGTATTGGGAATGTAATCAGTGGAGGAAGGAAGAGGATGTTTGGTAGCAGTGAATGCTTTGGGCTTATGAATACCATTTTTGGATCTAGTAACCATGGGATGCACATTAGAAACAGGAGGAGGCACAGGGGGATGCGAAAGCTCAGAATGATTTGGAGAGACAGGGTGATGCGTAGGCACAGATGCTGGTGAAGAAATAGAGTGAGGAGGGACAGCGGGTTGGGAAGAAGATGAGAGAGGGGTGGAGAGAAGCACAGGGACAGAGGGTGGAGATGGAGGCATTGAAAAGTGAAGATTAATAGATGAAGATGGAGAAAGAGACTGATCAATAGAAGATGGAACTGAAGAAACATCTTTAAATGGAAAAGTATCCTCATCAAATGTAACATGTCGAGAGACATAAATCCGATTAGTTTCCAAATCCAAGCACCGATAACCTTTGTGTTGTAAACTGTAACCCAAGAAGACACATCTCTTACTTTTCCCATCAAGTTTAGATGAAATGTAGGGCTTTAACCACGGATAACAACTGCACCCAAAAACTTTAAGTTTGGAATAATCTGGAGACTTGCGAAATACCAACTCCCACGGTGATTTAGTATTTCCTGAGATAGGCAACCTATTTATAAGATAAATGGCAGTGGTAAAAGCTTCAACCCAATAGGAATGAGGAACACTGGATTCAACTAATAAGGTCCGAGCTGTCTCAACAAGATGCCGATGTTTCCTCTCCACACAACCATTTTGTTCTGGTGTGTGTGGACAACTGAGTTGTTGGACAATACCATGAGTATGTAGAAAAACTTTAAACTGTAAACTGGTAAATTCACCCCCAGAATCTGAACGAAGTATCTTGATTTTATTACCAACAATATTCTCAACATAGGCTTTGAAGATTACAAAAGTAGAATACACCTCTGATTTAGTCTTTAAAGGAAAACACCAACTGTACTTGCTAAAGTCATCGACAATGAGAAAATAATATCGAAAACCACTTCCTGAAGTGACAGAAGCTGGTCCCCACAGATCACAATGTAATAGCTCAAGAGACTGAGAGGTAGATGTAGTGGATGAACTAAATGGTAGTTTGTGATTCTTAGCAATAGCACACTTGGAGCAAAAGAAGTCAACAGATGATGTACCCTTAATAGCAAGCTTAGTACTAGAAATTATTTTGCGAAAGATAGATGAAGAAGGGTGTCCCAGCCGACTGTGCCAAAGTTTGACGGAACCCTGAGCACTGACGAAAGCATAAGAGGATCCAGAAGATGGAGCAGTATAGGAACAGTCTAGCAGAGGGTAAAAGCCATCTTTAACGGGACCCTGCAAAAGCGTCCTCCCCGTAGTACGATCCTTTACAACAGATCCATCAGAGTCAAGTGTTAAAGCACAATAGTTATCTTTGAGAAATTGGGAAGCAGATAACAAGTTGTGTTTCATTTGAGGAACATGGAGCACATTACTCAAATGAAATTTAGCATGAGGAGAATGCAAAGAAGAAGAGCCAATGTGATGTATAGAGAGACCATTACCATCACCGACATAAACTTTGTCCTCGCCAGTATACGGTGTTGGTGAAGAGATGTTGGCAATATCATTAGTGATGTGAGTTGTAGCGCCAGAATCCAGTAGCCAAGATGGAGAAGGTTTGGAGGTATAGTGTGCACACATGGCTGCAAGTTTTGCAGGAGGAATCTTCCCAGAGAAGTCAGGATTCATGCGATCATAACAATCAATAGCTTCATGACTAGTAGAGCCACAAATTTGACAAGGAACACGATTACTGCTAAAGGAAGAGTGACGAACACCTTGTGGATGACCACGATTGGAAGATTGACCCCTATAAGTGCCTCTGTGTCCACGATTGTTATTGTTCCGGCCAGGATTATGATAGTGATTACCTCGATAGGTGTTTCTTCCACGATGAGAAGGGAAACCAAAGGATTGTTGAGATTGTGCAACATATGCTTGAGGCGGTGGAGTTGGAAGAAGAGGCGGTTGAGACTGAGCAGAGAACGCCTGAAAGGACTCAGTGGTGGAAGAAGAGAGCTTCTTGCGACGAGACATTGAAAGCTCCTTGGTGAGAAGAAGGCCATGTAACTCATCCAGAGACGTGGAAGAAAGGCGCAACATTACAGAATCAATAAATGATTCAAATTCATCAGGTAATCCAGCAAGAGTAGCCGCAATGAGATCTCGATCAGAAATAGGCGCACCAGCAGCAGAGAGAGAATCAGAAATTTCTTTGAGGTGTTGAAGATAATCTGCCATAGATTGAGCACCTTTTTGAATCGCTTGGAGTTGAGACCGGAGTTGATGGATGTGAGCATCGGAGACACCACCAAAACGTTGTTCAAGCTTGATCCAAAGATCTCGAGCAGAAGAGACACCAACAGTGAAAGGAATAACATCTTCTGAGAGTGTAGAATTTAACCAAATCAACAGATTCTGATCTTTTTCATACCAAAGCTCAAAGGCTGGATTAACCGATCGATCTGGAAGGAAAGGCGGTGGACATGGCTCAGTACCTTCAACAATGCCAAAAAGTTTGTAGCGCCTGAGAATTGGGGCAAACAGAGCACGCCATGGAAGATAGTTAGATCGCTTGAGCTTAATCGGCACCATGCTTCCAATATTCTGAATCGTGAGAGAAGCATACGAATTGGACAAGTTAGGGTTTGTCGAAGAATTTGGGGGAAAGTTCGGAAGAGAGGCAGGAGATGCAGAATCTGACGGAGACGCCATGGCAATCAGAAACGATAATTGCAGAAGAAGAACAGCAAGAATCAGAGAAACGAAGCGGAAGAATGGATTGAATTGGCCGTGAGGCAAACGGCGACTGATACCATGTAGAAACTCTGTGGTCTTGTAAAAGAGAGAGAGAGAAGAAGAGAAAAGAGAGAAAGGTTTCTTAAGAATTAAGAGATCTGTTACGTCTCATTCATAAACAAAAGAATTAATACAATTACATATATATAGCCTTTTGACTATTTACATTTAGCTATTCTAAACCAACCACAGAAAACAAACTAATTACATGAGTAACAAACTTATAACAGACTAAACTAATAACCAACCAACTTTAGTTATGAGATATCATCTTCATCTTTACTTATCAGAATACATGGTAGACCATATGACAGTTTGAGAATGAGGTTTTCCTTTTCTTTCCAATCATTAGTCCAGTAAATCCATGTTTATTTGTTTAAGATATTTGAATTAGCAAGCCTAAAAAGTTGCCACGGCATATTCCAGTTATTTGTTTAAGATATTTCCTGTTATTTGTAGCTTTGAAAATTTGCTTGATGTTCTTTTAGGTCTGATGAGCGTATGGAATGTTTCATTTTTTTTGATACCCTGCTCCCAAGAACTGGAGAAGTTTGCTACACACATTCAACAGCACATAAGTTTATACTAGCCTTCTATCTGCATTTTTGTATTAACTGCTCTTATACCTTCCAATTTTTTCTGCAATGTAGGTTGGCATGGGAAGTAAACAAGGGTGTATCAATTCATAGTGTGTAATACTTCCCTCATTTACCACTGTGACAATTGATGTATTTAGTCCTCAAGCTGTTGTCATTCTAAAGCTGCATAGATCTTTTTGCTAAAGTTAGGTTGCTGCTAAACAGGTTTATGTTTCAGAGTATTGGGGTCTCTTTCGTGTAGGTCCCTCTGACACCAACAACTTGAAAAATGTGCTAGAAGGCAGAGCTAAGTCAACCCAAGAACAAATTGATGAAGCTAAAATCAAATTAGTAGAATTCGTGTGAAGTTAAGATCAATTTAGTAGAATTTGTGAGCTCCATTATTTCTAATTATGGGTAGGAAGTATGTATGTAATAGAATAAAGATTGGTTGACTATGTAATAACCATTGAGTCATCAAGTTTTATGAAAGAAATAATTTTTAATGTAATATTTGTTAGTAAAGCATTATAATTGGTTTTCTAGTTAAAATCGTTGTATAGAACAAAAAACTAAAATGTAACAGCTTTGAAGCTTATTAGACGACAAATTTAAAGATAATAAGACATTGGTTTTATTGGAAAAACTGTCGTTTGTACATATCATCACTTACTGTTTTTAACACAATACCGTTGTCTTTATATACAATCAACGACGTTTTTTAGAACAAGACTGACGTCTTTACCCATAAATGACGACGATTCTAATAAAACGCCGTCATCTTTTAAACAAAAATCGTCGTCTTTACCAACAAATAACAACGGTTTTCATAAACCGTTGGCTTTACCCATAAACAACAACGGTTTTTAACAAAAGACTATCGTCTTTACAACAGAACAACGAAAGAACGAAGATGAAAAGTCGTCGTAATTAAGCATAGAAAGAGTTAATAATTAATTCTATAAAATAGAAAGAGGTATGACTTAGATGACGGGATTTTGTGGAGTGTCTACTATCTTTTGCAGACAAAGTTTAAAACAATTAGTTAATCTAAGTAGATTAATCCTTCACTATTAAAAACCAAATAGTTAATCTAAGTAGGTCTGACTCAGATGACGGGAATAAATGAAGTGATTTCCAATGTATTGAATTCCTTCAAAGAAGAATATAATTGAGTTATTATTAACTTACTAATGTATAAAAAGAATGATATTTATGTACTAAAAGAATATTAATGCCCTATACTCGCTAGCATTATTTGTCTAGACTATGTACATGTATTTCATGCCTAATCTCATCTTCAGTATTGCAAACAACTGTTTGGTTGAACAGTGCCAACAATCTTTCCAATTGCATTGGCACAATGTGACTGAACCTCTTTATTCCTGCAGGTCAAACTTTATTGCGTTACAATCAAAATTTATTGCGACGGTTGTCGCTAATGTTCCTCGAATGTTCCGGTATATGACATCACTGACTTTCACACCTGATACCTAATGAAACAAGATGAAATGTGCATTAGACATTTGTCAAGACATACGTTTATGATTGAGTACATGCTCAATTACTACATTGTGATTATAATTTTCATTACCTGAGCAGGGCAGTTGATGTTGTGTGGGCAATAGTTTTGGTTTATTACAATAGGATTTTGGACATTAATCATTACGACATCAAGGAATTGAACATTTCTTGATAGAGGTGTTGAAGATTGCAACATTTCTTGATAATTGGACATGGATGCCATCAGTGTTTGGGCTATTTCCAGCTGCATTGACTTTGACCCCTTTGATGCGAACATCTTGGCTGCCGTTTATCACAATGTGGAACATCTGGCTGTTCAATGACATTAGTCCATTGATGTTAATGTTTTTGGAGTTTGTAAAACTCAGACTCTGCGTATCAGCGGGAACACAAAATATCAGAATTTAGGAAACAATAGAACACGAAGAGACTGGTAGGGTAAAGTAGACAACAAATTTAAACAAAATTTCACTAGATCGACAAGAAAGCATAAATTACGAACCGTAGCTCCTCCGTTGGGGCAATCAGTGCTTCCAGTCAACTTGCATGCCCACAAGGCAGTACCTTTAGCATCAAGGGCACCTCCAATAATGGACACACCGGTAACGCCTTCGAAGCTCAGCCAGTTGAAAGATTGGCCAAGGATCTGGTAATCAGACGAAGCTATCAATGTTCCATCAATTCGAAAAGTAATATCTGTGCTTTTGCAGTTATATCACCTTTGAAAACTATAGCATTGCGAAGCAAATTTCTCCCTTTTGGTACATGCTGCATTCCATACATCCAGAAAATCTTGTGTAGAATCTATTACACCTTTAGGCTTGGCTCCGAAACTTAGGATGTACATGATTGGTGTAGATATATAGGATCATGAGTACTGTATATATAAAAGTAATATGGGTGAATCAATGAATCATATAATATTATATGAATCGATAATAATTTAATTAAAATATTAGTTTGGATATGATTACTTTTGCCGTTGACTTGTTAATGAATCAATTCATCCCAAGGGGAACACACTTCTTGTACTTAGATCCCTTCATGGCTACTCATTCCTCTCAGGTGGAGTAACGCGCAGAATAATTTGTAATTTCAGTATTGTAGAGGTAGTAGATAGGTATTTGCTAATGAACATTTTGAAATCACTACTTGTACTGGGGTGTCCTAATGATGGCATTCACTTATTGTACAGTCCCACATTGGAAACATACGCAATATTACGAGTGCTTATAAAGACTTATATGACATCTTGTAATTGCCGAGCCTAGTAGCGTGGGCTTGTAACTAAGCAGGGCATTAAAGTGGTTGGTTATTTGAGCAAGCCTTGTTAGGTCAGGTGTGATGGTCTTGGATTGTTCACCTTGGTGAAGTCGCACAAAGCACGCCCCTTACCCTTGGGTTAGTAGGGCCCGCCATCCTCAATGGGTGGGTAGCAACCTCAACTTGATATTAGATTGGGGTGTTAGGTACGAATACTACACCTCACGGTTCAAGAAGCATCACACCCCAGCGTGCTGCCTAGCTTGGCCTCTCATCACACAATCACTTTTTTGAGAAATTGAAAGTGGTCTCTCATTTTTGTTCAATAAAAATTGAAATAATGCTGCCAAATCGTCCTTCTTATTTACTGTTATTTTCCAGCAATACGTAGGCTATGTACAGTATTAATTAATTTTATGTTCCTATATTTGGTTCGATATATGACAGAAATTTCTTTCACAAATTTTGGTGCAACATAGCTTCTTTATAATCTGATGCTAAAAATTCAAATAGCTTGCTTGTTGATAATTAAAAAGTTATTTATAATAAGTATTTTGCTTCTAAGCTTGAATTACGAGTAATATTATTGAATGTTAACGTTATTTGTTATTCGTTGAAAAAAAGTTATTTTTCATGTTGAGTGTTACTAGAAAAATATAGAAGAGAAAAGAAAGGGGGAAATAAACATTTGTCTGCACTATAAGCTTAGTTTGTGAAACATTTGAGCTTTTAATGACGTTTAACCATTATGTGATTTTTTTTTTTTTTTTTTTTTTTTTTTTTTTTTTTTTTGTTGAGATTAACGATACATTGCATTTATAAATCAAGCACAAGCTCTGTTAGACATTTATGTTAGATTTCAGAGGGACGGACCCTTGGAACACCACTAACAACATCGATATTGTCCCCAACTTAACCACCTGTTTAGCAGGTGTGGGGTTTAATTTTTTAATTTGTGGTTTGTTTGATTTTTGATTCAATTTGGGGTTTTTGTTTGATTTGGGTTTAATCAGGCCCAGTCAACTGACCCGCTTTGATAAGATGTTAATATTTCAGAGGGACGGACCCTTGGCCCACCACTAGCAACATCGATATTGTCCCCAACTTAATCACTTGTTTTGCAAGTGTGGGGTTTTATAAAAAAGGCCTCGATGTTATTAGGAGTGGAACCATTTATTATATGGGACTTTCTATTTTGTTAAGTTTCCGATGTGAGACTCGTGTATTCTTCAACAATTTAAGTACGTGCTTTCTTATATTTTTGGGTTTTAAAGAAGGAAAGATATTTCAACAAAAATGACAGGAAGGAAAGACAGAATTAGGCTCCATTTGGATTGATTGATATGAAAGAGAAGATTTGGATTTCACAACAATTTGCTCCCAAAAAAAAACCCCATTAGATTAAATGTACATGAACTAACTAGATGATCACATATACTCGAAATGGATCTAAAATCCAAAATATAATTTTAAATGCATTTGTTTTCTTTATTTCTTTATAGTACCAATCATGTCATTGAAGTCCAAATAAACATGAATGGGTGATCCCATTTGGTTCGGGAATTAGGGACACCATTAACATGCTCGTTCTTTCCATGTAATGTTCTATTTTGGTTGAATGCATTACTATTTTCTAAATAGTAATAAAAAAACCATGTCACTACACCTTTTTATTTATTTAATAATTAAGGACACATTGCATTTATAAATTAATCACAAACCTTCTAGCCATTTTATGTACATGCTTTCTTATATTTTTGGGTTTTAAAGGATGGAAATATATTTTAACCAACCAAAAAAAAAAGCAAGAAGGAAAGACAAAATTAGGCTCCATTTGGATTGATTGATATGAAAGAAAATATTTGGATTTTACAACAATTTGCTACAAAAACAAGAACCCCATTAGATTAAATGTATGTGAACTAACTAGATGATCGTTATGGGAACACATATTTCGGCAACCAATCATGAAGCGCCACATGGATAATGGGAATATTCCTTAGGTCAATAATTGTGCTTCATTTAATTGGCCAATTGTTTAGACTTATGATAAGGATATCACCATAAATTAGGGATTTAATTTTCATTAAATTTCATTGATTGATCCAATCTCTCTATTTAAGGGAAAAAAAAATCCCTTCCTTATGGGAATTTGAAATTGGTACTTAGAGCACTTCCACTCATTTTTCATGGCAAATAGTAAAGGCAAGGCAAGGGTTATTACTATTCATGTGAATAGTGGCAGCCCTTGCAAGAAGTAAGGTGTGTTTCCACCCGTTACCATGGCAAAGGGCAAATACTATTCACTTTTCCCTTCTTCCTTTTTTTTTAATTTTTAATTTTTTTTTAATTTTATACCTAAACAATTAACTTAGAGAATATTTTTGGATAAGAGTTTTGGGTTCGTACATGTCAATATTTATTATAAAATTCATATATCATAACTTGATTGAATTTTTCGGATAAGATTTTCGATTTCAAAATTCAAATTTCAACTTTCAGATAAGATTTTCACCCTCTAAAATCACGCCACGTGTTATCTCTATATGCCAAAATCTCTCTATAAACCAAAGGCTCAGCTGATACCTCTAACACCAGATCTTCTATATATTTTCATTTATTAGATTCTAGATATCATACTCCACTCTCAATGTCAGACATGAGGAGATGCTTGGAGAGGCAAGACTGAGAAATAAAAGAAAGAAGGGGTAGACGAGTTGAAGAGAAAAGAGTGCAACAAGAAGAAGATGAAGCCATTGCCATTGCAGTGGGTTTACTCGAGCAATCAAGCCAAGGTCACAGCCGTGGTTCACAAGTCGGCCGTGGCCCGAACGTGGACAGACATAAGCATTCTTGGGATAAGAATCTTTTGGAAGATTACTTTATCCCAAATTATGTGTACGATGATGTTAAATTTTGAGGGTGATATAGGATGCAACTCCATTTATTCAATAAAGTCATGCATTTTATTTGCAATTACGATGCATACTTCGTTCAGAAGTGTGATGTTGCTGGGATTGTGGGGCTTCGTCGGAGTAAAAACTTACGGCTGTTATATGAATGCTGTCGTATGGTTCATCTGCTGATCAGGTGGATAAGATTGCTAGTCTCTACAGTAGGGACTACCTCCTCAAATCTATGCCTAGGGACCTCCAAAGACTTCTACAGAAAGCCGAAGCTCAAGATTTCCAAGCATGATTGGAAGCATCGACTGTATGCACTCGCAACGGAAGAATTACCCAACTACCTGGCAACAAGATTATGGAAATATGAAAGGGCAAAAAAATATCATCCTCAAAGCTGTTGCTGGATTCAATACATGGGTTTGACATGCTTTATTCGGAGTTGCCGGATCGCAAAACGACTTGAACGTGTTGGGTCAATCACCGGTATTCAACGATGTCTTGAGAGATGAAGCCTCGAATATCTCCTATGAAATCAACAATACCGTCTACTGGAATGGCTATTATCTAGCATACATCCCTACTTGAGGTAGACTATATTTGTCAAATCAATCCCGCATCCCCGATCCGAGAAGGAAAACTTATTTTCTGCCTATCAGGAGGATTATAGGAAAGATGTCGAAAGGTGCTTTGGTAACCCCCAAGCTCCTTGGGCTATTATTAGGGTGTTGCGCGTATGTTTGATGAGGAGGTCTTGAGGAGCATCATGATGACTTGCATCATCCTCCATAACATGATTATGGAGGATGAGTATGATTATGATGCTCTAGAAGTGTTCGAATCGGATTCCATGAACACGCCATTGACAAGAATTTATGAAAAGTTCATGGGCCCAAATGGACAACCAATGGAGTACGAACCGTTGGTTAGGAATGGTCATTTGATGAACTGAATGACTGATGGATATACAGAGATGCAATCGTCTTATATTCATGAAGGACGTCAAGTTGACTTGATGGGGCATTTATGGGCTATGAGAGGCAATGAAAGTGAATGAAGTTAAGTGAAGATGTTTTCTTGAAGTTTTATTTATAATTATGCTTTGGTTGTGGTTTATTTTTATTTATGCTTTGGTTGTGATTTATTTTTATTTATGTTTTGGTTGTGGTTTATTTTTATTTATGCTTTGGTTGTGGTTTATTATTATTATTTTTTTATGCTTTGGTTGTGGTTTATTATTATTTTTTATGCTTTGGTTGTGGTTTTTGCTATTTATGCTTCAGTTGTGGTTTATGTTTTGTTTGATGTATGCAATGTGTTGAATAAAAAGTATTTTTTGGAATGATTTCTTTATTGACTTAAAGAAAAGCAATACAACTAATTAAGAATTACTACTAATTAAATAAAAGACAAGAAATAGAACCACTTTAATACAAAGCATTAAAATACAATTAAATAAAAGACAAAAATTAGAACTACTTTAATACAAAACATTAAAATACAATTAAATAAAAGACAAGCAAACTAACTTAATGGTTTTGATCATTTAACCAATCGGTGTTGCTAGGTCTATTGTCACAAAAAAGTCTCCTTCTCATAACATTCCTTCGTTCTAGCTTCCAAAATTGTTTTGTTTTAGGGGACATATGACTCGTATCTATGGCCACGGTTTCTCGATCCTTCTTCTCAATGTCTGGTTTGCGTACATACTCCCTTTCTCTTGCATATTCTTCATTCATTACCGTCTTGTCTGCATATTTTTTCATGTCTAATTTAATTCTCATGGTGACATTCCTTGCAATTTACTCCAGATATTTTGCAGTATCATTGCTTGATGTACTCCCTATGTAGGCCTTTGCCGCCTTTCTTCCAATAGGCTCGACCTCTTTTGTATTAGTGAGTCTTGACTCATCGGGGAATCCAAAGGCGAATCCGATGGAGTTGAATCATGGAATGGCATCTCGTTCAACACAACATGCAGACCCTTTGGAATAATTCTGAATCTAAAACAATTCTTCACCACCTCCCAACATTGGTCATGGATTAAAGATTTTTTGCCTTGTCCAGTGGCACCGAACCACATTTGTACTTGCATAATCTATTACAAAAAAAATATTAGAAATGCAAGAAACATGAAATAAATATTAGAAATGCAAGAAACAAAATATTGGAAATGCAAGAAACATTAACAAAATATTAGAAATGCAAGGAACATTAACAAAATATTAGAAATGCAAGAAACATGAAATAAATATTGTAAATGCAAGAAACATTAAAAAAATATATTGGAATTGCAAGAAATATTAAAAAAATATTGAAAATGCAAGAAACTTAACAAAATATTGGAAATGCAAGAAACAATAAATAAATAAAAATTAGGACATTCAAAGTAATAAAATGAAAATTACAAATACTTTACCTCATTGCTAAGATTTTCCCTGCTTATATGGTTGTCCCTCGCTTTTGCCAATATATCTCTCTATTTCCCCAACTCTTTATTCAAAAAATTCCATCTACTAAACAAGGCCATTTCCGTACAAGCTGAACCTAATCTTTCACAAAATTTGACATGAATTTTTCTCCACATATGAGAAAATTTCATCTCATTGCCCGTGACTGGACAATGACTAATTTGGACCCAATACTCACATAATAGAACATCTTCAACGGTGCTCCACGCCCCTCCGATTTCAATGGAAGATGCCATAAGTTGATGAATAAAAATGAAATTTGAAAGTGAATAAAATGTTGAGTATAAAGTGAATAATAATAGAAGGAGAAGAAAATGTATGAGGATTTGGGTGTTGAAAGTGAAGAGTATTGGTAGGTATTTATAAATAAATAAATTACAGAATTTTTGGGTATTTTTTAAATATTTTTTTGAATTTTTTTCATAATTTTGTTGCAAAAAAAAAGGGAAGCCATTGGATTGGATGAGAAAATCCGATTAGAGCGCCCAGAGGCCGCCACATGGATTCTAGCCGTTGGCGAAAAGGAAGGGCTAACACCAAGCTGGCATCAGTGCACGGAAGTCAAATTTTTTTACCTGTAAAAAAATTTAAACCCGCTCGCTGACATCAGGCTGGTGACAGCCATGACGTCAGCTCGCCCTCGGGCTCATTCCACCTTCGGGCCAGCCCGGTCGATCTTGTGGGACCGACAGCCAGCTCGAGTAAAAAAAGCCAGCTCTAACGCATGTTGGAGCTTGGGCCTCCTTACCCTTGCTTGGGCTCAACGGTGGCAAAACTCTTAGGTGAAGGGGGTACATTAGAACCTCAATGGCCAGATCTAAGACCATTAGCCACAAGGGTAAAACAAGTGCCCACAAAGGGGTAATACAAACATGGGAGCATAGTAACCACATCACCATCCATACTGCAAAAGGCCAGAGAAATTTTGGCATAAAAGCCTCATGGTTGAACAAACCGGACATGAATCATAGCACCCAAATCTGTCAATACAACTACCACTTTTACTCTCACAAGTACAAAATACAAGTAGAGACGAGAAAAAAAAATCAAACACTCAACTCACAAGGAGTTCATGCAATTATTACAAAATAAGAAAACTGCAAACAAATAACCAAAAATCAACAGAGCCACTACTGCTGTTGTTGCCACCACCACCACAAATGCCATCATTGCCTTGGAGACAAAGAACACCATTGAGATTGCAGCGAGTCACCTTACAACTACAACACCAACTAACACAACCACAAATCTAAGCATATCTAGACACAAGTAACCTCCCCATAATTAAACCCCAAATCCAGTAGATAGGGAAATGGAAAATAAGTCAAAAGGTAAGGAGAACAGAGAGAGGGAGATTAAGAAAAATTATTTTCATTTGATAACTGTTTTTGTTGAACTTCAGCAAAAACACTGAATTAATTCTTTAAATATGAATTTCCCTGTTTTGATGCGATATATGAGTGGACCAATTAAGTCCATATGACTCGTCACCCTATTGGTTCGCGAATTAGGGACTTGAGAACGGATTGGTCACTATTATAATTTTTAAGAGTACCGTCCTCTTTTAAAACATGCTAAACAATAAAATAAAATAAAAATACCGCTTAAGTAAATTCGGGTTGGACCTAAAATTTTCAGATTTCCCTTGTGTCATTGAAAACCTTATTTCTCCCATCTTGAAACCCTCCTCAACTCTAACACCCTCATGAAACTCTCTAAAACACTTCCTCTCACATATCTTGAGCACTCATCTCCCTACAAAATCATCAGAAAATCGATATCAATGAAAGAGTTGAGAGATTGAGGTCTTCACAGATCCACAATGACAAGACTCGACCCAAAGTGGGCAATAGTTTTGGCCTATTACAATAGGATTTTGGACATTAAACATTGTGACATCAAGGAATTGAACACCCTGAACAAATTCGTTGCTTGGCCTTCCCAAGACTTAATCCTCAAACCATTTTGAGTACCCTTGAAAATTGTATTTTTAACTGTCACATTTTGGACCCCTTCCTCCTCCAAGTCTTTGGCTAAATTCCCTATGCTGGAATCACCACACCCATGTATGTATAAGCTAACTACAATATTAACCGTTAGGAGGTTTTCATATGCAAGCCAAGCAATCCAAGAGCTATAAAATCTGACCTAATGCCATGCCCGAGACCACAAGTTACTTGCTTGATCCATAAGTCCTTTGCTCCGGGGCCAATTGAGACACAATCATCTCTAGTTTGGATAGAGATGTTGAAGATTGCAACATTTCTTGATAATTGGACATGGATGCTGTTGCTGCTCTTTTTCGGAGAGGGACAACTTAGAGAGAAGTGGATTGTCTTCAGCAATGGAGAAGGTGAGGACCTTCGGTAAGGGGCTAGCCTGCAGAAGACAAAGTAGGAGAAGCAGTCATTAAGCTTCGGACACCGGTGTGGTACCGGCCGAAGGCTCTCCGATACTTAAGTCAGTTAAGAGTAGTAACTTTAGCAAAGTAACAGTAAAAGTAAGAAAGTAGTTACCCTTTTTACTAGGGTACTGTTCCCTATTTATAGGGAAGTGAAAGTGGGAGGTCTGTGTAAAATTTCGATGTGGGACTTTGTGCAAGTCGCTGTGGTGGTGACACGTGTCATGGAGATTAGGTTAGGCAGTTTGAGAGCGTCGGCAGTCAGGAGCTTCAATAGGTGTCTGGCACCTTGGAGGAGTGTCTTCCTTCGGCAATGGAGAAGGTGTGGCTGCCTTGGTGCCAGTTGGTTTGAGGGTGGATATGCTCGGTTGATTATGGTGTAAACAGTAGTCCCCCAAGTTCGCGGTCAAGAAGTAACTTCTGGGTTTGGAACTTGTGAAATTTTTGTGTAATCATGACCGAGCAATCCATGTTCAGTGGGAGCCATAGGGCATTCCCTAGTCCCCCAAGTTGGCAAGCTAGAAGTTGCGTCAACACTTGGAAGGTGTGATAAAAGCTATGTGAGCTTCTGGAACTATTTGGTAGCTGGGTACTCGAGTGTTTGGCAGGGAGGCCGGGTCTGGGCTCTGTGGAGCTAAGCGTCTGTAGGAGCCAGGGCCTTGAAGCTTCGGCAAGAATACTTTGGTGAGCAAGAATTGTATGTGAGCTTCGGGAATGTGATTCCTGTCTTTTTCTTCTTTTTTCCTTTTTTGTACCTTGGGGGTCATGGTAGCTTTGGCATGGTCCTTGCCGTTTGGCAAAGGACCAAGGTGCGCCTAAGCTGACATTGAGCGGGAGCCGGGCTTCTGGTCCTTGTGGGCTTCAATTTGTTGTGGCCCGATGTTTACCATTCAGTAAGAAGGTCAAGGGGGCTCGTGCTTCGGCAAGACAAACTCGAACTGGGCCTTTGTGAGTCTTCTCCTTCTAGCGAACAAGTGCCCAGATCCACCTGGGCTTTGGCATGAGGCCACAAAGAATAGGGGAATAAAAACCAGGGTTTGATGGGAAGGGGTGTAAGTCCCTCAGTTTTTACAGAACCTGCCATTCGGCACCCTTGGAAGAATGGGTCTATACTCGGGTGTATCAGGGTCGTGTTGGGAATATTGTAGTCTTTGGTTCGGCAGGGTCTAAGAAGGGATGAGATTTTGCAAGGGCTTTGCCATTTTTCAGCTAAGTTGCCGATCAGTAAGGAGTGGAGCAAGGTCAATTTGGCAGGGGGTTTTCCTTTGCCTTTGCGTAAGGTCAGTCAAGGTACTTGGAGCTAGGAATTTCGTATGCCTCTTGACAATTCTGCACGGCCCTTGTCGTTCGGCAAGGGTGGCTGGTGCTTGTTTTTGGTTTCACGTAGGCTTGGGCTAGAGCTGGAGCTGCGTCTTCGGTGCTTAAAAGGTCTTGGCATTTCACTTGTGTCGACAGGGTCTAGAGTACTTTGAACAAGGTATCGAGCTAGTCTTTCAACAAAGTGTTGTTTTGAGTCCCTAATTGCTTTTCATGGGTCTTGTCGATCGGCAAGGCCTTTTTGAGCTTATTTCGTGGTGGTGCAAACAAGGTTAGACCTTATTTCTCTTGAATTTGTGAATTGAAATGTCTTTTTATGTATGAACATATTGAAGACTAGGATGAACACCTTGAATATTGGTATGAACATAATTAACACCTTGAACATTGATATGAACTTGTTGAATGTTGTTCGTAGATCAAAGAGCATATAGGTGTGCCCTTCTTTTTGTGTTCTTGTGCTTTCGATCCTCCTTGCATGTGCATTAGTTCCCTTTCCTTGTTTTTGCAAATTGTAGATGTCTGAAAGTTCATATAGAGAAAGTCATGACCCCCTTGCCTTTGGTGGGGAAGATACTGAGAGTGAAGAGCCCAGTGAATATGTTTGTTATGAAGGTGAGAGTTCCTAGACAGAGGGTCTGGTAGAAGGTATCATAGAAAGTAGGATGGTAGTTCATGATGGTGAGATATGTGAGCCATCAGTAGATTCCCAGGAGGCCGAATACAGAGAGATGCAGAGGAATTACAAAGTGTTAAAGGTTGTGGCTAATCGGGTTCTAGCCTTGCCTCATACACCAAAGGTGGGCTCGAGCAATCAGGCATCACCATCAGGGTCTGTGGGTATAGCCGTGGCTTTAGCTTCAGAGGGGGTGGACATCCGGGTTGGTGTCCCTTTGGCTAGGCGGAATATTCTTACATAAGTAAAGTTGGCTGAGCTTCGGACAAATTATAGTGTTCCACCCTATGTGGGTTTGAGGTTACCCACTGCAGCTGATGTGGTCAGATACCCTCCGGAGGGTTCAGTAATGATTTTTACGGATATGTATCAGCATGTCTTCAGACTACTGTTGCATCCTTGAGTGCAGATGATGTTGGCCAAGCTAGGGTATGCGTCGGGGCAGTATAATCCCAACTTTTGGCTTCTTCTTCATGGGGTGTATATTGTTTGGTGGTTGGTTGGGTTGGGGGAACCGACATTTGAGCAGTTTATGTATCTCTACTCGATCTCCAAGCAACAGGGAAGTTTCGGCTGGGTACAAGCCAATTGCCGAAAGGCAAATGAGAGGGGTTACTTCATTGGTCACAAGCCTTCTACTCAGAAGTCTTGGAGAAACAGGTGGTGTTTGGCTTATGGTAATTGAGAGTGTCTGCCAGGGAAGACCGTCTCCAGACATGTTCCAACCCACTTCCAGTCTATAGGTTGTTAGCCCCATCCTTTAAGACTTATTATTATTTTGTAGAGTGTTTATCTGCTTTAACTCTTGGTTCTTCCACTTTTGCTGTGCAAGTGTAAGTGGCTGAGTACATCTAACCTTATATGCTGGTTTGGTGAAGTGGGGGCCAATCTCCAAGGAGCAAGAAGACGAGGATGAGAGGGTGAGGTCACTGCTGTCAGAGACCAAGCGTGAGTGTAAAAACCTAGTCACTCAGAAGAATCTTCTTGAGTTCGACCTTTTGCAAGGGAGTAAGTACTTGGGTCACCTTTGTTGTTTGTCTTCCAATTCCCATTTCGTAGTTGTGACTAACTTAGCTTTTGATGTGCAGTGATAGGTATTATAAAGGGAAGCACAAAGGTGGCTGTGGATCTGGATGATGCCGAGATGCAGAAACAGCTTAGGGAGTCTCGGGCGCAAATGGCTGGGAAGGGGGTTGCCAGGCAAGCAACTAGGAAGCGTCCTAGAGATGACGATGAAGGCCTGGTTGCCGATGTGCTGGGAAAGAAGAGAGCACTGGAGGAAGCTCACTGGAGTGTGATGGGGACAGGGCCGAGGCTTCCTCCCTTTGACCTGCAGGCGCCGTCGAAGCTCCCCTTGGGCATGGAGGACGTTTATGTTGAGGGGGTAGAGAAGATGGACTTCTCCAGGCTGCGTCGGCAGAAGAAGGAGGTGAACCTGGCCATGCATCGGTAGGAGGTTCCCTTGGTGAACGTCTTCCTGGAAGGCGTGAAGTGTGACCCCGAGGTTCTGGCTAGGACACGGGCCACTTCCTATGCAGATCGGGCCTGTAAGACGTTTCTTATCCATGCCTATGTAAGTTGTCTTGCTTTATGAATTTGTTCTTATCATTCTAGGTTGCCTTTGACTGATAGTGCTTTATGTTGTAGGCCTATGGCGAGATGTACGTGAACATGGCCAAGGCAGATAAAGAGATCCAGATGTTGAAGAGGCACAATGAGATGGCCAATGACAAGATAGCGGAGGCGCAGGAGGCCATCCGGGAGAAGAACGCCTTGCTGTTGCAAAAGGCGGCGCTGGCCAGAGTGGTGGAGAAGCTGAAGCGGTCGAGGGCAGAGGAGGTAGCTGCTGCCCTGGCCGAAATGGAGCAAAAGAAGGTCGAAGAGATAGGTGCTGCCCGAGCCAAAGCGATCGAGTCATTTCGAAGTTCAGAGGAGCTGAAGAGCTACATCATGGATCGGATGGTGGCGATGCAGCTACGTTGGGAGGAGAGGTTGGCGAGGTTTAATCCTTCGGTAGAGATTAACTTTGATACGAGTGGCTAGCCTCCTTCGCCTAGTCCTAGCACCGATGTTGCTCTAGATCCAGAGCCAGAGCCAGAGCCAGAGCCAGCTACTACGGATGCCCCTTCCACCAAGTCTTGAAGGCGTTGCCTTCACTATAGTTATGTTTTTGAAACATTTGATGTTTATTTCTGTTATGTATGAACATTTTGCCTTGCCTAGGGCAATGCTATTTTGATTTGCTATGATATTAGACTTGTTGTCATTTGATATCAGTGGTGCTTAGCAAAATGGTAATCATGTGATTGATGAGAAATAGCCAGGGTCAGATGTTTCATTAAATAAGTTCCGAAAGGTAGAAGATACAAGAGATGGTTGAGGCAAGGCTCAAGACCAAAATCTAAGAAAACATAATGTCCTAGGGTCTAGGTATGTTTACTTATAGTAGTACTTGAGGTTATCAGCATTCCAAGGATAAGGCAAGGTCTTGCCCTTGGGATCACAAAGCTGATAAGCGTCGGGGCGACAAACTTTGGTAATCTCATATTGACCTTCCCATGTCGGGCCCAAGGTACCTTCAGTTGGGTTCTTGGTGGCCAAGGAAACCTTGCGCATGACCCAGTCCCCAATCTTGAAGGCACGGGGTTTGACCCGGGAGTCATAGTATTTGGCGATGCGCTATTTGTACGTGATGTTGCGCATGTTAGATTGGTCACGAAGCTCGTCAATGAAGTTGAGGTTCAGGGCTAACTGCTCGTCATTGGCTTCGGCCTCATAAGTAGAGGTTCGGTATGTGAGCTGACCAATCTCCACTGGTTACACGGCTTTAGTACCAAAGGAAAGAGAGAACGGTGTCTCTCCTGTTGAGGTACAAAAGGTGGTGCGATAAGACCAGAGAACCTCTGGGAGTAGCTCTGGCCAGCAGCCCTTAGCTTTGTCAAGCTTGGTCTTTAGAGTTTTCTTGATGATTTTGTTCACGGCTTCAACCTGGCCATTGGACTGAGGATGGGCTGGGGAGGCGAAGCAAAGACAGATCTTGAGGTTTGAATAAAATTGTTTGAACTTGGCATTGTCAAATTGCCAGCCATTGTCTGTGACGATGGTGTTGGGGATGCCGAAGTGACATACGATATTTTGCCAAACAAAAGTTTCAATGCGGGCTGCAGTGATGGTGGCTAAGGCTTCAGCTTCAGCCTATTTGGTGAAATAGTCCACAGCCACAACTGCATACTTGACTTGGCCCTTGCCCTCAGGTATAGGTCCAATGAGGTCAAGTCCCCATTAGGCAAATGGCCAAGGGCTGACCATGGCTGTCAATGGTTCAGCTGGAATTTGTGGGATGTTTGCAAATCGCTAACACTTATCGCACTTCTAGGTGAAGGTCTGGGCATCAATGTGAAGGGAGGGCCAGAAGTATCCTTGCCTAATGGTTTTATGCGCTAGTGACTGAGCGCCTGAGTGATTGTTGCAGATGCCTTCATGGATTTCCCGGAGGACATAATTACCTTCCTCTGGTGTCAGGCACCGAAGGTAGGGGAGGCTGAAGCTACGCTTGTAGAGGTCACCATTAATGATTAGGTATCGGGCGGAGCTATAGCGAACACGCCGTGCTTCAGCAGGATTAGTAGGTAGGGTTTGATTTTGCAAGAACTGAATGATGGGGGTCCATCAATGTAGGGCTGTGATCAATGGTACATATGAGTGGTGCCTGTGTGTTGGGCTGATCCAAGAACTCAAGGTGGATGTTGCCACCTATGCCCTGCTCCAAGGCCGAGGCTAGCCCGGCCAATGCATCAGCATGGCTGTTCTCAGAGCGTGGCACCTGGCTTATAAGATGAGCGTCAAAAGTTCTAAGCAAGTGGCAGGTATGCTGGAGGTAGGCTGTCATAGAGATGTCCTTAGTCGTGAAGTCCTGGTTGACTTAATGCACAACGAGCTGTGAGTCGCTAAATATCTGAATTTGCTTGATGCTCATCTCCTTGGCTAGCCGAAAGCCAACTAAGAGTGCTTCGTATTCGACCTCATTGTTAGAGGCGTGGAATTTGAAGCGGAGGGCGTACTCAAGGACAACCTTGTCTGGGGAGATAAGAACGAGGCCGGCCCACATCCTTGGGCATTGGATGAGCCATCCACATATAAGGTCCACAAGGGCTGGGTCAAGTTGAGTTTGCCTTTGCTAGAGACATGGAGCTGGCCCAAAGGAAGATTGGGTTCGGTTACGATCTGGGTAGTGGCTGAAGCTTGGGGTTCTGTGAATTCTGATAGGAAGTTAGCAACAGCCTGACCCTTTGTAGCTGGGCGGGGTTTGTAGTGGATATCAAACTCACCAAATTCAATGGCCCATTTAACCAACCTACCAGAAGTCTCTAGTTTCTGCAATACTTGCCTTAGTGGCTGGTTGGTTAAGACATAGATGGTGTGAGCTTGGAAGTATGGTCTGAGGCGTTTAGTTGAAACTACGAGGGCGAATGGCAATTTCTCAATGTCTGGGTACTGACCCTCCGCATCTTACAATCCCTTGCTCACATAGTGCACCAGATGTTCAGCACCTTCGTGTGGTCGGATGAGTACTGAGCTAACCGCCGTGGCTGAGACAGAGAGATAGATGGTGAGGACGTCCCCAGGCTCAGGAGTTGACAATAAAGGGGCTCGGCTCATGTACTCCTTGAGCTCGCTGAAAGCCTTGTCACATTCGGCAGTCCAAGTGATGTTTCGCTTGTTGCCCTTAGGTGCCTTGAAGAATGGGGTGCAATGATCAGTGACCTTAGAAATGAACCTGGTAAGAGCTGCGACGCGCCCTGTAAGGCTCTAGATGTCCTTGACCGTCTTGGGTATCTTCATGTCTAGGATGGTTTGAATCTTCTCTGGGTTAGCTTCAATACCTCTTCGGCTGATCATGAAGCCAAGGAATTTGTCTAAAGCCACCCAAAATGCACACTTGGTGGGGTTGAGCCTCATCCTATACTACTTCAAAATGGTGAACATGGCAGAGAGGTTGGGGATGTGCTGGTCAGCAGTGCGACTCTTGACTAGCATGTCATCAACATAAACCTCCATGGTGTTGCCAACCTGTGGAGCGAAGATACTGTTCACCATACGCTGATACGTAGCCCCGGCGTTCTAGAGGCCGAAGGGCATGACTTTGTAGCAGTAAAGGCCACGGTCAGTGATGAAGAATGTATGGGCTTAGTCCTCAGGGTGCAAGAAAATCTGGTTGTACCCTGAGTAAGCATCCATAAAGCTGAGGAGGGCGTCACCAACTATGGCGTCAACGAGCTGGTCAATGCGGGGTAAGGGGAAGCTATCCTTTAGGCAGGCCCGGTTGAGATTTATGTAGTCCACGCACATGCGCCAGCCCTTTAGTGGTTTACGTACCATCCCTACATTGGCTAGCTAGGTGGGATAGTCCACCTTCTTGACGAATCCAATGCTGCTCAGCTTGTCCACCTCAGCCTTCATAGCCTCATACCTCTATGGGTCATAGGCACGACGCTTCTGCCAAACGAGTCGAACGGCAGGATTAATGCTTAGCTAGTAAGAGATGATGTCTGGTGATATGCCAAGCATGTCATTGTAGACCAGGCGAAGACCTCAGAATTAAGGCGGAGGAAGGCGACGAGATCAAAGCGAAGCTCTGGTGGGAAAGAGGTGCCGATCCGAACCTATAGATCCAGGATGTCTTCATGGAGAGTGACTAGCTCAAGGTCTTCCACATGTCCGGCCTGCTGGGTGACAAATTCCTCCTTGGGATCTTCAGGTCGTTCGGTGCCAACTCGAGGAGGGGCTGGGACCTGGGTTATTGCAAGGGCCTTACCCCTATATTGGCAATTGGTTGATTTCACTGTTGAAGCATAACAGCTTTGGGCGCCAAGTTGATCGTCACGCACCGTGCTTGTGCCATGTGGCGTAGAGAATTTTAACAGTAGCATATGTGTGGAAATGAAAACCTTTATTTGGGCCATGGCAGGGCGCCCAAGGATGACATTATAGGCTGTGGGGCAGTCAATAATGAGGAATAGAGGTGACCGTCGCCCGTTGGGGTGCTACTCTAATAAAGATAAGAAGATGGATGCTTCCAATGGGCTGGACAACATCACCAGAGAAGCTCACCAGGGGTGTGACGCTTCAGTCGGGCAAGTGAGACGGGACCTGGAGCTCGTTGAAAGCATCAGCAAACATTACACTAACCGAGCTGCTAGTGTCCACCAAAATACGCTCAACATCGAAGTTAGAAATGTCTACGTGGATAATGATTGGGTCATCATGGGGGAGAATAATACCACGCTCCTCCTCCTCTCAGAAGGTAATGGGGGGCCCAGCCTGATTTTTGCATCTTCGAAAGGCGTCCCTGCTCAGTGCTGAAGACCTGGTGCGCATAAGTGGAGCGGACATAATGTTTGATAGAGTTGTTGGAGGTTCCAGCCAAGGTAGGACCACCACTGATGGTTGAGATCATGTTGATCTGCCGTTGGTGAGGGTTAGGTGGAGGGGGTGGGAGATGGTGCACACATTTGTCCAGCTTGCCCTCACGGATGAGGCCTTCAATGATGTTGTGCAAGGAAACACAAGATTCGGTATCGTGGCCACCGAACTGATGAAAGCGACAGAAGACACCCGTGTTGGGCATAGGCTTGCTGCCTGGTCTCCGGGAGGGAGGCTTGGGTATGATAGGTGCCTCGTGCACTAGGACATTCTTGTAGGTGGTGTTGAGGGTGGTGAAGACCTCGAACCTAGGCTTGGGTGTGAAGGGGAGTGGCGCTCGATCACCTGTTTTGGGAGGGTTGCTTCCACTAGACTGGTGGTGGTTGCCATGTTGACCACGCTTGCTATTGCTGAAGGTATGCTGGTAGTTATCCTTCCTTTTTGGGTGTGGGGTACCCTGGGTACTTAGGGCGGGAGTAGAATGCTGAAGTGGGGCTGGGGCAGGTACTGAAGCAGGTGGGGGATCAGCGAAAGTGTTACGTGCCGGGGTGGCTGGACCACGCTTAGAATTGAAGTACTTAGCCATGGCGTGAACTGTTGCATGCTTCATTAGCTCAGCATATGTATTTCAAGGGTTGCTGTGGACTAAGTACCGGAAGTTGGACTGGCAGAGGCCATTCTTGAAAGCACCAAAGGCAGCGCGGTCATCAGTCTCTAGGCAGAAGGAGTATTCGTGGCTGAACTTGGCTGCATACTCTCGAAGGGGCTCATCCTCCCCTTGCCGAAGCATGTACACGTTGCCAGCGTAGTACAAGCGGTCAGTTTGGATCATGAAATGGTCCAAGAAGGCCTGCTTCAGACTGTCAAATGAGTTGATGGTGTGGGGGTTCAGCCTGTAGAACCAATTCAGGGCCGCGCCACTGAGGGTGGAAGGGAAGATGAGGCACATGCCTTCGTCAGTGAGGCCCTTGCACCCTAGGGCAGACTAGAAAGAATGTATGTGGGTAAGAGGATCCTCCGTGCCAGTGTAGAAGGTGATGCGGAGTGGCTAGATGTCTGTCTCCTAGTGGTAATTAAGGATGCGTTCGGTAAAGGGCTCAGGTCGTGGCTTTGCCCAAAGGGGTTGGTGGCTGTGGTGCTGCTCGTTCTCCAAACGCCGAACCTTCTTGAAGAGAAGCCTCATGGCCGGGTCGGCATGAGGGAGGGGCTCGGGTGCTGAAGGCCTGAGGTGCGGGTGGCCAGGGGCTGAGTAAGTTCCATGTTCTTCAAACGCCTCAATGTGATAAGATTCATAGTCTTCTAAATAGTACTGCCCCCAGTTTTTTGAGTCACCTGCACCTTCTCTAGCTGGTAGGTGGGTGGGCTTTGGTGGGGGGCCTAGGTGTGTCACCTTTGGGTCTTGGAGATTAACGGGGATAGGAATATGGTCTGTCTAACGGTCCAAGATACGGTCCCTGCAATCCCTGTAGACTTTCATTGGTTCATGGGGCCGGTTCTTTGGCGGAGAGATGCAAAGGAGCCGCGACTTGGTCGTCTCCGGATGGAGGGGGCCTTTACCCTTGCCAGGCCTAGGCTGGATTGGGGCACTGTGGTGAGAGGGCACTGGCTGGTCTGGTTGAGTGTGGTCAATATCCTAGGTAAACTTATGTTGAGAGCCTGGGACCCGTGACTTCTCCCAGTTACGCTTCAGGGTGCGGTAGTCATGCTTAAGCTCAACGTTCTTAGTATGAAGATGGTCGTATTTCTCGAACATCTTGGTGACACTGGCACGGAGGAGCTCCACCTCGACCTGGAGATTGACCTCTGCCAAAGGTTTCGGGAGGTACCCTCACGGGGGGTATGGTGCTGAGTATCATGGCTATCCTCGATCGGCATAGAAGAATGTGGAGTGAAGAAGAGGCGACGAGGCCAGATAGGAGAAGGAACTAGCTGGGCTAGTAGAGAAAAATGGGATTCAAGTATCGATTCCCACAGATGGCACCAAATTGTTGATGCTCTTTTTCGGAAAAGGTCAACTTAAAGAGAAGTGGATTGTCTTTAGTAATGGAGAAGGTGAGGACCTTCGGCAAGGGGCTAGCCTGCAGAAGACAAAGTAGGAGAAGCAGTCGTTAAGCTTCGGACACCGGTGTGGTGCCGGCCGAAGGCTCTCTGATGCTTAAGTCAGCTAAGAGTAGTAACTTTAGCAGAGTAACAGTAAAAGTAAGAAATTAGTTACCCTTTTTACTAGGGTACTGTTCCCTATTTATAGGGAAGTGAAAGTGGGAGGTTTGTGTAGAATTTCGATGTGGGATTTTGTTCAAGTTGCTGTGGTGGTGACACGTGTCATGGAGATTAGGTTCGGCAGTTTGAGAGCGTCAGTAGTCGGGAGCTTCGGCAGGTGTCTGGCACCTTGGAAGAGTGTCTTCCTTCGGCAGGGGAGAAAGCGTGACTGCCTTGGTGCTAGTTGTTTTGAGGCTGGATATGCTCGGTTGATTATGTTGTAAACAGATGCCATCAGTGTTTGGGCTATTTCCAGCTGCATTGACTTTGACCCCTTTGATGCAAACATCTTGGCAGCCGTTTATCACAATGTGGAACATGTGGCTGTTCAATGACATTAGTCCATTGATGTTAATGTTTTTGGAGTTTGTAAAACTCAGACTCTGCGTATCATTGGGAACAAAAATATCAAAATTTAGGAAACAATAGAACACGAAGAGACTAGTAGGTAAGGTAGACAACAAATTTAAACAAGATTTCACTTGATCGATAAGAAAGCATAAATTACCAACCGTGGCTCCTCCATTGGGGCAATCAGTGCTTCCAAACTTGCATGCCCACATGGAGGTACCTTTAGCGTCAAGTCAAGGGCACTTCTGATAATGGACACACCGGTAACTCCTTCAAAGCTTAGCCAGTTGTTAGCTTGGCCAAGGATTCGGTAATCAGACGAAGCTATCAATGTTCCATCAATTCGAAAAGTAATATCAGTGCTTTTGCAGTTATCACCATTGAAAACCATAGCATTGTGAAGCAAATACCTTCCTTTTGGTACACGTATAGTAGTGGAATCATAGGAGGCACATGCTGCAGTCCATACATCCAGAAAAGCTTGTGTAGAATCTATTACACCGTTAGGCTTGGCTCCGAAGCTTAGGACATTGAAAACTAATGTACTCTCACTCAGCAACACATGATTGGTGTAGGATATATAGGATCATGAGTAGTGCTACTCTGCTAAAACAACTACTTGTAACCTCAGCCATTTTCTCCTTTTCTATTTTTCCTTTCTGTTTGAGAGAGAGAGAGAGAGAGAGATTAAATTAAACCGACGACGTCGATGGTAGGTTGGTAAGGAATGAAGTTGGGAACTGAGAGGTTGATGGAGAAAACTTGAACATTATTGTAGAGTACTTATAATCTTTATGATACATGCATGCAGTAAGTAATTAGGTTGATATAAGGGATGTTTGTATATGATATTATAAAGCATATATGTATTAAGAAAGCTGCGCCGCCCATCCTTCTTATTAACAAAAATTGAAATAATGTCTATTTCTTTTTTAATGCTGCCAAATCATCCTTCTTATTTATTGTTATTTTCCAGCAATATGTAGTCTGTGTACAGTATTAGTTAATTATATATTCCTATATTTGGTTCAATGACAGAAATTTCTTACACAGTTAACTCGGTGACTTGTATATTTTTGGTGCGACATAATTGTTTATAATCTGAAGAGCTAAAAAATCAAATAGCTTGCTTGTTGATAATAAAAAAGTTATTTATAATAAGTATTTTGCTTCTAATAAGCTTGAATTACGGATAATATTATTGAATGTGTTACCGTTATTTGCTCTTCATTGAGGGTTTAGGGTTGAATGCGTTACCATTTTCTCAAAAATAAAAAAATAAAAAAACCCAACTTGGACCTGGAACCAACCATTGCACCTTAGCGTTTTGCTTGGCTTGGCCTCTGATCACACAATCACTTTTTTATAAGTGAGGTTTAATGATGGTTACTTGAGCAATAACTTTTTCGCTACAAATGAACGAATGAAAGAAGTAGTAGAAAACTGCATAACTACGGTGAGGAAGAAAGAAAGACGAGAAGAAGAGAAGAGAAAGAAAAAGAAAAAGGGAGAGATTTTCAGAGTCATTCTCGGATTGGAATGACATTATTCAATTGATGATTTTTGAAACTTTTGTATAAATATGTATATATGTACAAGGGCTTTCGCTAGCAATAGAATTAATGATTTCTCTATCCCTCCTTTTGGATAAAGGAATTGAAAATTATGTAGAATTCTAAACAATGGAATTTAGATTTTCATCATTTTAATTTATGGCAATTGAAGATTTCAGTACTTGGAATTATGTACGTTGAATTTTGTACACAAGTGTTTTTTATAGCGTTTGGCTACCTAAACATCCAGGGGAATGCACTTATACTAAACAAATTTCTAAAGTCCCACATCGATAAACAGTTCATGCTTATAAGGATTTACCACTTTGTTATCATCGCACAATGCTTATAAGAGAACTTTTTTTTTCTTCTCTTGTTTAAATCTCACTGTTTTGATGTTGATTATTTTTATGGGAGCTTGTTGGTATGGCAGAAGCAAAGAAAAGTTGGATGAAATTCACAAATATTTAGATCTGAATTTCCCTGATTTGATGAGATGCATGGGTGGTGCCAATTCCATATGAACCCTCTCACCCTGATCTTGATTTGATGAGATATTACCTCATTTGCAAGTTGCAACCATTGCAGTAATGATTGTGCACAGATTCTGCTTTTGGAATAAATGCAAATTAAGCGAGCCTCTTTGTTATACCAACAGAAGTTCAGGAATTAATTATATAAATATACATATATCTGGATGCATATTCATAGAAATCATATTAAGAAATCTGCGCCACGCTTTTGTGTTTGACTTACTCTCTAAAGTATGTTTTACTGTTTTATACGGGGAGGAGTGGAAGGGGAGGTGATAATGCTTCAAGGTTGAGTGACGGTAAGGACAGGATACTATCTAAAGAATGATGTTTGCCAACATCCCACATTGGAGAAACACGCAATCATACGAATGCTTATAAGGACTAACATAACAATTTACATTGCCGAGCTTAGTAACGTGAGCTTATAACTAAGTAGGGCATTAAAGTGATTAGTTGTTTGAGTTAAGCCTTGTCAGGTGAGGTATGGTGCTCTTGGACTGTTCACTTCGGTGAAGTCGCACAAAGCATGCTCCCTACCCTCGGGTTAGTAGGGCCACCCAATCTCGATGCTTGGGTAGCAACCCATATTTAAGGATTTGATTGGGGGTGTTTAGGTGCCAAACCTGGAGCCCCCACAGATCAAGAGTTATCACACCTCAGCGTGCTGCCTGGCGCTTGGCCTCTCATCACACAATCACTTTTTGTCTCTCTTATTTGAGCCCACAAGTAGTACAAAATGTCAAATGGGCTTCGGAACCCTATACCCATCAAAGCCCTAAGGATTGGCCAAGGATCCGGTAATCAGAAGAAGTTTCAATGTTCCATCAATTCGAAAAGTAATGTCTGTGCTTTTGCAGTTATCACCTTTGAAAACTATAGCATTGCGAAGCAAATATCTCCCTTTTGGTACATGCTGCAGTCCATACATCCAGAAAAGCTTGTGTAGAATCTATTGCACCGTTAGGCTTGGCTCCGATGCTTAGGACATTGAAAATTAATGTACTCTCATCAACACATGATTGGTGTAGGATATATAGGATAATGAGTACTGTATATATAAAAGTAATATGGGTGAATCAATGAATCATATAATATTATATGAATCGATAATAATTTAATTAAAATATTAGTTTGGATATGATTACATTTGCCGTTGACTTGTTAATGAATCAATTCATCCCAAGGGGGACACACTTCCTGTACTTAAATCCCTTCATGGCTACTCATTCCTCTCAGGTGGAGTAACGCGCAGGATAGTTTGTAATTTCAGTATTGTAGAGGCAGTAGATAGGTATTTGCTAACGAACATTTTGAAATGACTACTGGTATTGGGGTGTCCTAATGATGGCATTGGCTTAATGCACAATCCCACATTGGACAAGTACGCAATATTACGAGTGCTTATAAAGACTTATATGACATCTTGTAATTGCCGAGCCTAGTAGCGTGGGCTTGTAACTAAGCAGGGCATTAAAGTGGTTGGTTATTTGAGCAAGCCTTGTTAAGTGAGGTGTGATGGTCTTGGACTGTTCACCTTGGTGAAGTCGCACAAAGCACGCCCCCTACCCTCGGGTTAATAGGGCCCGCCATCCTCAATGGGTGGGTAGCAACCTCAACTTGATATTAGATTGGGGTGTTAGGTACGAATACTACACCTCACGGGTCAAGAACCATCACACCCCAGCGTGCTGCCTAGCTTGGCCTCTCATCACACATTTTTTTTTTTGGTGAAATGGGGGGGAAAACCCCAAACAAACAAAACAAACTAACCAACACAAATCAACCGGGGCCTAGACACCCCTAACAAATCCTCCACCAAAGAAGTCCCAATCCAACTTGGAGCCTCATCAAAAACGCAGATACCAAGATCTAAGTTATAACTCCAAGCAGCCAGACGATCTGCAACACTGTTTTTCTCCCTAAAATATGACGCATGCTGCACTTCTCAAGCTGCTGCATTAACTGCCAACAGCTAGAGACCAGAGATGCAAGAGGGTGCAAAGTAAGAGAATCATGCTGCTGAACAAGCTGGATAGCAACAGCCGAATCCATCTCAACGATAAGGTTATTAAACCCTTTCGCAATAGCCATCCTCAGACCAAAGAACAGACCCCATAATTCAGCCTCTAGAATCTGCCCTTTACCCAAATTAATAGCAAACCCACTACACCAATCACCAGAAACATCACGCAACACACCTCCAGCACCAATATGGCCAGAAGCAACTTTCCTAGAGCCATCAACATTCAGTTTAAAGACCCCAGCAGGAGGAGGTTCCCAAGCAAACCAAGCCTCAACCTTAGCACACTTGGTAAAAGAAACATTAGAAGTTTTAAACCATTCCTTCACAGCAGCAGTAATAATTTGTATGGAGTCAAAAGCCAAGTCTTCATCACCATGAAACACATAGTGATTCCTCCATTTCCATATATACCAACATGTGAAAACAAAGACCAAATTCCAAGGAATACCATCAGCCCAAACAATCTTCGACATCAAATTTACTCTAAGCCAAGGTTGAAAGTCCATAGTAAAAAATCTAGCACTTTGACTAGAATTGAGAAGAGCATTCCACACCTTCTTAGCCTTAACACAATCACGAAGAATATGGAGTATAGACTCCATAGGCCAATGACACGATCCACAAGAAGCATCCAAAGATAGCTGTCTTCTGACTCTTTGCTCATTAGAAAGAATTTTTCCTTGAAAAACAAGCCAAAAGAAAATATGCAACTTGGGAGGAATCCTCAGCTTCCACAAAAACGTCCAAGCAACATCAGAGCAAGTAGAGCCCTCAAAAACCATATTATAAGCAGATTTTACAGAGAAAATCCCATTGGAGGAAAACTTCCAAATTTGAGCATCCTGTAGCCCACTATTAAACCCCACAGGACAGCTAATAACTCTTTGGACCAGCTCATCAGGTAAAGCAGCCCTTAGTTTCTCCATATCCCACCAACCATCTCTGTAAAAACTGGAAATAACAGAATCTGGGTCACAAATATGCACACCACTATCATTTTGGTTTAAAGGAGCATCAAAAACCCAATTATCCTTCCAAAACTTAACAGTACCACCATCCCCAATTCTCCATAACATACCCTTCCTTAAAAGAGCAGCACCATGAAGCACACCTCTCCATGTAGAAGAACAATCCTGCCTAAAAATCACAGAATCATCAAGAATAGAATGGCCTTTAAGGTATTTAGCCTTATAAATCTTTGCCCACAAGCCTTCATCCTTAATATGCAACCTCCAACCAATCTTGGCTAACAAAGCTTGATTCATAGCACCAGTTTTTTTAAAACCCAAACCCCCTTTACTCTTAGGCCTACAAACAAGATCCCACTGACAAAGATGGACCCTGCTCCTTTTCTCACTCCCACCCCAAAAAAAATTTCGATTTAATTTGTCAAGTGCATCACACACACTAGTAGGCAGTTTAGCAGTTTGCATTGCATAAACAGGCACAGCCGAAGTAACAGATTGAATAAGGGTAGCTCTACCAGCTAGAGAAAGAAATTTACCCTTCCAGGCAGCAAGTCTTTTATGCACTTTGTCAATTAAGCTACTATAAGTCCTTTTATCAATTCGAGAATGCAATAGAGGCATACCCAGGTACCTTCCAAGATCTTCAGTTAGAGGAGAGCCACAAATACAACTGATTTCTTTAGCTATTTCCTTACAGGTGTTAGGAGAACAAAATATAGCAGATTTATCAAAATTTACTGTTTGACCAGAGGCTTGACAAAAAACCTCCAAGCAATTCTTCAAAACTCTAGCTTGATTAGAGGTAGCTTCAGCAAACAAAACTAGGTCATCAGCAAAAAAGAGGTGAGAGACAGCAGGGCCAGCTTGGGAGGACTTAACAGGTCTCCATTTACCCATTCGAACATCCTCAAAAATAATATGGGACAACTTTTCAATACACAACACAAACAAGTATGGAGACAAAGGGTCCCCTTGTCTAATACCACTCTTAGGCTGGAAAGACTCAGTGAGCTCTCCATTGATACATATTTGATACTTCACAGTAGAAACACAACTCATGATCAACTTAATTAGATTGAGAGGCAGACCCAACTCCACAAGCACATGCTCAATAAAATTCCAATTTAGGCGGTCATAAGCCTTAGAAAGATCAATTTTCCAAGCCATGAAACCTTTTTTACCCTTAGACAATTTAAACTTATGCATCAATTCTTGAGCAATAAGAATATTATCAGTAATATGCCTACCATGGACAAAACTAACCTGATTAGGGCTTATGAGATTGGGCAAGATAGTTCTGAGCCTGGCAACAATAACCTTGGAAATCACTTTATACAAAGTAGAACACAGGCTGATAGGGCGAAACTGCACCATTGACAAAGGACTTTCCACCTTAGGCACTAGAGTAATAAGAGTCATATTAAGCTTCTCAGGAATTGTACACTCATGAAAAGCCTTAAGAACCATCTGAAAGATATCTTCACCACAATGATTCCACTGGCTCTGATAAAAACAAGCAGGAAAACCATCTATCCCGGGGGCTTTTAGCCCTCCAATATTAAACAAACTAGCTTTAACTTCCTCCAAAGCAACTGGTCTATTTAAAAGCCTCAAATCAGCCACATCTATGCCAGGAAACAAATTAGGAAAACCAATCTCAGAGTCCACCACATGATCATTAGAAAACAGGTCAGAAAAATAAGTCACAGCTAAAGCTTTAATTCCCACTGCCTCCTCAACCCAATCACCAGCAATATTCTTCAGTCTTTCAATCTTATTTCTCCTCCTTCTAATAATAGTTGTAAGATGGAAAAACTTTGTATTTCTATCACCCTTCTGCAACCAATTAACCCTAGATTTTTGCCTCCAAAAAACAGCTTCTTGTTCAAGAACATCATTAAACTCCTTAACTAACTCAGGTTCCAAATTACAAAGGAAACGATTTGGACCCAAACACAAAGATTTTTGGATACCATCAATGCGAGCCAACAACCTATTCTTCCTTTGTCTCAAATGACCAAACACTTGAATATTCCATTGCTTCAAAGGAGCAATTAAAGCATAAGACTTATCAAGAGCAGATCCAATAACAGACCCCCAAGAAGCATAAAAAACATCCTGAAAATTCTCATGTTGGAGCCACATAGCTTCAAACCTGAAAGGTCTGGAAGGGGGGGAAGAAATAAAACAAGAAGCCAAGCAGATTTTGATGGGACTATGATCTGATTTAGTCCTCGGGAGATGTCTCACAGTTGCATCAGCAAAAAACCTTCGCCAACTCAAATTACAAATAGCTCTGTCCAGCCTTTCAAAAACTTTTTTATTAGTCCAAGTGTATTTGGATCCATAAAAACCCAAATCAACCATATCATGGTTGTCAAACCAGGTTTTAAACCCTCTTAATCTGCATAAAGAAGCTCCTCCTAACTTATCTTCAAACCTCAACATCTCATTAAAGTCTCCAGCAATTAACCAAGGCATATTATGATTAGCTCCAACAAAGGAAAGATAATCCCATAATTTCTGTCGCTTAGCAATACAAGGATGAGCATACACTCCAGTAAACATCCAGGGAGTTTGACCAGGCCAACAGACACAAGCAGAAATAGATTGAGCTGAGGTACCAACAATATCAACTGTGACTTTACTAGCATTCCATAATAACCACAAGCCACCAGAAAAACCATTAGCATCCACAATTTCATAATTGGAAAACCCCAAAGATTTAACCACATCAATAGCCTTCCCACCACTGATTCTAGGCTCACAAATGAATAGAATATCCATATGATGAGTACGACTCAAATTCATCACAGTAGTCTTAAACTTAGTGCACGCAGCACCTCGAGCATTCCAACTAATAATATTCATAAAAAATATGCTAAAAGATAAACAATCACTAAGGGTAAACCCTTTACTTAAGCATCAAAAGCCATACCTTCAACCGTGTTGAAGGTAGTACTAGTCAAATTTCCACCAGAAGTGCTAGTTTGGCCTTCAACCAAATCCATCTTCGCAACTTGCCCCAGCAGATCAATCCCTCTAGGCACAAGAACATTATCATCATCATACTCTGAAGCATCCTCATGAAGAATAGTATCCTCATCATGAAATTCCGAATGTGTTGTTATATTTGGAGGTTGATGCCCAAAAATATAAACCCCTTTCTCTTGATGAATATGCTGACCATCACCCCAACTCTCCAAATGCTCAGTGACAGCACTAAGAGTAGAAGGCTTCCTACCACCAACAACTTGATTACGAGAATGTCGAGAAGCCCCCATTGTAAACTTATCAGAAGAGCCCGAACTCTTATCCATTACCTTACTATTAAAGAGTTTTTGCACATTCTTATTGGAGATATCATTCAGAACAGGCCTAGAACCCGATTTAGCATGTTTAGACTTAGTCCAAACTTTCTGACCAACTTCCTCCACAGATTTAAAAATAGGGACACCCCTCGTCGGAACTTGGTTAACATTATCGGGCCTACTTATGTCAAAATCTTCACCAATCTCATTAAGAGCATCAAAACGAGACCCTTTGTTCCTTCCACCAGAACCCTGCCCAGGAACATCCTTATGAATAGTTTTTGGTCGCCTTCTAGGTTGCACATTCATCCAAGGGCCTCGCAAGCTATCCTCAGCCATCTTCACAGTTTCTGTAACCCCAACAGAGTCATGATTCATAGGTCCCACTCCTGCACCTTGAGCTTTCCCAGCCTCATCGGACAAATTCACAGATTTCAGAGTACAACTCTCCCTTTTATGACCATAACACCCACATAGATAGCAAATATCAGGTAATCCCTCATACTCAATATTGTACCAGTTCTGATTTATTTGCACAAAGGCATCAAGGGGTTTAGTTAGATCCAACTCCACACATAAACGAGCAAACTTACCCCTATTTTGCGAAGTAGTCAACGAATCAATTTTCAGCAATTTACCAAGAAGGTTGCCAATCCTCTTAAGAGACCAAACATCAAAACATTCAAGCTGCATGGCAGATACTCGAATCCAAGCAGCCATTCTTGTGATGTGTGCAGTAGAAGGGCAGAAACCAGGCCGCCATTGTTGTATGGTTAAGTATTGCCCCGCAATCATCCAAGGCCCTCCAGTCAACACAAAATTTAAGTCCTCTTCCAGATCAAATCTCACAACAAAATAATCATTCACCAAGTCAATAAGCTTCCACCCTCCCACCAAACTCCATTTCTGAGCTAAGCGATCATGAAGATAGTTATAAGTATGAGAGCGACCAAGGAGCTTAACGATCAAAGCATTTTTCCAAGGTTCACAAAATCGAGCCATAGCACGATCAGAGAACTGTATACTCGGCCCACGCTCACCACGAGAAATGAACACATCATCCTCATCATTCAAACCCTCATAATCAGTATCCAAGCAGTTAATAGCAATCCCCACATTTTTGGTCATATTAACTTTATTCATCAATTTATCACGAAAGCTATGAATACCAGGTAAAAAATTAGGCATCATATTACCATTAGATTCATTCACCAGATCAGCCGTCGGCCTAGAAATATGCTCAGACTCTGGCCTCAGATCCATCTTAGTTGCTTGCATCAACCCCTGCATCGAAATTGGATTGGAACCCGACTCCACATCGTACTCAGAATCGCAATCTGCAGCAGCCCGAACCCTCTTCGTCACACGAGAAAGCTTGGGAAAGACACCAGGGGATCCTTCCTCCATGGGCAATTGAAATTCAGGGAGACGCACACTTAGAAACAATAGATCGGCGGCCGGAAACCACCGCAACGGCAGTTCCCAGTAAGAAGAGTCGCGAAGGTTCCGTACCACTCGGTGCTCTCACTTTGGAGAGAAAATATCTTTTTTCCTTAGCCGTGCTGGTTGGACTTTTTTACACAATCACTTTTTTGAGAAATTGAAAATTGTCTCTCATTTTTGTTCAATAAAAATTGAAATAATGCTGCCAAATCGTCCTTCTTATTTATTGTTATTTTCCAGCAATGTGTAGACTATGTACAGCATTAATTAATTATTTATTCCTATATTTGGTTCGATATATGACAGAAATTTCTTTCACAATATTTGGTGCGACATAGTTGTTTATAATCTGAGGAGCTAAAAATTCAAATAGCTTGCTTGTTGATAATTAAAAAGTTATTTATAATAAGTATTTTGTTCTAAGCTTGAATTACGAGTAATATTATTGAATGTTAACGTTATTTGCTTTCCGTTGAAAAAAAAAGTTATTTTTCATGTTGGTTGTTACTAGAAAAATATAGAAGAGAAAAGAAAGGGGGAAAGAAACATTTGTCTGCACTATAAGCTTAGTTTGTGAAACATTTGAGCTTTTAATGACGTTTAACCTTAGTGATGACTCTTTTTTTTTGTTTTTTTGTTTTTTTTTTTTTTTGTTGAGAATTAACGATACATTTCATTTATAAATCAAGCACAAACCTTCTAGCCATTTTATGTACATGCTTTCTCATATTTTTGGGTTTTAAAGGAAGGAAAGATATTTTAACCACAAAAAAAAATAAAAATAAAGAGCAAGAACGAAAGACAGAATTAGGCTCCATTTGGGTTGATTGATATGAAAGAAAATATTTGGATTTTACAACAATTTCCTACAAAAACAAGAACCCCATTAGATTGAATGTATATTAACTAGATGATCGTTATGGGAACACATATTTCGGCAACAAATCATGAAGTGCCACATGGATAATGGGAATATTCCTTAGGTCAATAATTGTGCTCCATTTAATTGGCCAATTGTTTACACTTAAGATAGGGATATCACCATAAATTAGGGATTTAATTTTCATTAAATTTCCTTGATTGATCCAATCTCTCTATTTAAGGGAAAAAAAGAAAAAAACAATTCCCTTCCTTATGGGAATTTGAAATTGGTACTTAGAGCACTTCTACCCATTCGTCATGGCAAAGGTAAGGCAAGGGTTGTTACTATTCACGTAAATAGTGGCAATCCTTGCAAAAAGTAAGGTGTGTTTCCACCCGTTGCCATGGCAAAGGGCAAATATTCTTTTTTTTTTTTTTTTTTTTTTTTTTTTTTTTTTTTTTTAAACAATTAACTTAGAGAATATTTTTGGATAAGATTTTTGGGTTCATACGTGTCAATATTTATTATAAAATTCATATCTCATAACTCACCTCTCACACCAGATCTTCTCTATATTTTCAGTTATCAGATTTTAGATTTCATACTCCACTCTTAATGTCAAACATGAGGAGATGCTTGGAGAGGCAAGACCGAGAAATAAAAGAAAGAAGGCGTAGACGAGCTGAAGAAAAAAGAGTGCAGCAAGAAGATGAAGTTGTTGCCATTGCAATGGGTTTGCTCGAGCAATCAACCCAAGGTGGACACCGTGATTCACAAGTTGTTCACCCTTTTTGTGTTTTTACTCCTATGATGGAAGGGCAAAGTTCCTCATTGCCTTGAAAATCTTTGACTAGTCAACAAGTCAACTTTCTTTGGCGTGCGAGCGTGCTAGTGCTAGCAATGAAAAATTCTAGCAGACTTCTTTGAAACAGATAACTTGCGCCCCAAGTTACTGATTTCTAAACAAGCGATTGTGAATTTGGGTGAGGAATATCTCCCAAGTAAGTTCTCTTCTTGCCTCAGACTGGTGAGGACTTCACAATTTATCTTAGTAAAATATTAGTAGTTCTGGCCAGAATAATTGATAATAAAGTGGTATGTTTTTAGGCAGAACTGCCTTTTACAAAACTAGAAGGAAAAATCAATTCAAGAAAGACAAAAAGAAGGCCGGAATTCCATTTCTGCCTGGATAGAAGCTTCTGATCCGGGTTGGACTGGGTATCTCCGTGCTGGACTGAACTATTAACAGCTTCAGCTATAAATCAATACCAAAGTTCACTTTTGGCATAGCTTTAATCTACTTCGAGTCTTGGAAGGCTTTTCGAATGGGCAGAACTACAACTTCTTTGATATGAACGGGGCAGAAGTGGCTGGTCTTGGGGATTAATGAGCCGGAACTGCACTGTGGTACTTGTTCTGCTTGATTAGGGCTTTTCATAAATTTGTTGAGGTTTTCATATTTGTGAAAACTCAAACTCAGTTTGTCTTGGCTTTTGCTAAACCAAATTTGTAACGAGAGAAGTCTCGTTTTGAATGACTTATTTCTCTAAGTCTGAACTTGGAAGTTCTTATCTATAGCTGGCTTTTTGTGGTTCAAATGAGCTTTTGGTTGCTTTGGTTGTTGAAGGTTCTTAGTGATCAAGTGATCATTTTGAGTTTTTGCCTTTGGTTGATTTTTGATTGTTTGATTGATTGTTGAATTGAGTGTCCTCTACTCTGTTCACCCTCTCATATATTTATAAGAAATGCTTTGGAGTAGGGTTTCTTTCTTTTAATAATGGGCAGCAAAAATCCTCAAAAAATCTCTCATTTTTAAAGGCAAAGAAAGAGGCGTTTTATCAATTCTGGTAGATAAGCTCTCAGTAGTCAGTTCTTATGACCATCACTTCCCTGCTCTTCTTGAAAGAAAACCTAATCCCTTTTTCCAATTTAACTGCCCCTTGCGGGAGCTCAAACTGTGATGGTTAGTTTGATCTTTCCAGATGAACAACTCCTTGCTTTTCTACTTATCTCTTTTTAGAAAATATAATCTGCTTATCTCTTAGGATTTAATTTTCATTAAATTTCCTTGATTGATCTCAATCTCTTTAAGGGTAAGAAAAAAAAAAAAAAAAAAAAAAAAAAAAAAAAAACCTTTCCTTATGGGAATTTGAAATTGGTACTTAGAGCATTTCCACCCATTTTTCATGGCAAAGGGCAAAGGCAAGGCAAAGGTTGTTACTATTCACATGAATAGTGGCAGCCCTTGCAAAAAGTAAGGTGTGTTTCCACCCGTTGCCATGGCAAAGGGCAAATACTATTCACTTTTATTTTATTTTATTTTTAATACCTAAACAATTAACTTAGAGAATATTTTCAGATAAGATTTTTGGGTTCGTACGTGTCAATATTTATTATAAAATTCATATCTCATAACTCGATTGAATTTTTCGGATAAGATTTTCGGTTTCAAAATTCAGATAAATTTCAAATAAATTTCAAATTTCAACTTTCCAATAAGATTTTCACCCTCTAAAATCACTCCACGTGTCATCTCTATCTGCCAAAATCTCTCTATAAAACCAGAGGCTCAGCTGATACCTCTCACACCAGATCTTCTCTATATTTTCATTTATCAGATTTTAGATTTCATACTCCACTCTCAATGTCAAACATGAGGAGATGCTTGGAGAGGCAAGGCTGAGAAATAAAAGAAAGAAGGCGTAGACGAGCTGAAGAAAAACGAGTGTAGCAAGAAGATGAAGTCATTGCCATTGCAATGGGTTTGCTCAAGCAATTAACCCAAGGTCGCCGCCGTGGTTCACAAGTCGGCCGTGGCCCGAACGTGGACAGACATAGGCATTCTCGAGGTAAGAATCTTTTGGAAGATTACTTTATCCCAAATTATGTGTACGATGATGTTAAATTTCAAGGGCGATATAGGATGCAACCCCATTTATTCAATAAAGTCATGCATTTTATTTGCAATTACAACGCATACTTCGTTTAGAAGTGTGATGCTGCTAGGGTTTTGGGGCTTCTTCGGAGCAAAAACTTACGACTGTTATACGAATGTTGGCGTATGGTTCATCTGTTGATTAGGTGGATAAGATTGCTAGGATGGGGAAGTCCACTACTTTAGAGAGGGTGGTTAAATTTTGTGATGCAATTGAAACTCTCTACAACATTGACTACCTCCTCAAATCTACGCCTAGGGACCTCCAAAGACTTCTACAGAAAGTCGAAGCTCGAGATTTTCCATGCATGATTGGAAGCATCGACTGTATGCATTGGCAATGGAAGAATTGCCCAACTACCTGGCAAGAAGATTATGGAAAGGGCAAAAAAATATCATCCTCAAAGCTGTTTCTGGAGTCAATACATGGGTTTGGCATGCTTTCTTCGGAGTTGCTGGATCGCAAAACGACTTGAACGTGCTAGATCAATCACCAATATTCAACGATGCCTTGAGAGGTGAAGCCTCGAATATCTCCTATGAAATCAACAATGTCGTCTACTGGAATGGCTATTATCTAGCAGACAACATCTACCCGAGATAGACCACATTTTTCAAATCAATCTTGCATCCCTGATCCAAGAAGGAAAACTTATTTTCTGCCTATTAGGAGGATTACAGGAAAGATGTCGAAAGGTGTTTTGGTATCCTTCAAGCTCCTTGGGCTGTTATTAGGGTGCTGCTCATATGTTTGATGAGGAGGTCTTGAGGAGCGTCATGATGACTTGCATCATCCTCCATAACATGATTATGGAGGATGAGTATGATTATGATGCTCTAGAAGTGTTCGAACCGGATTCCATGAGCACGGCCTTGACAAGAATTTATGAAAGGTCCATGGGCTCAAATAGACAACCAATAGAGTACGAACCGTTGGTTAGGAATGGTCATTTGATGAACTGAATGACTGATGGATATATGGAGATGCAATCGTCTTATTTTCATGAAGGACGTCAAGTTGACTTGATGAAACACTACAAGGAAAATTCCTTTTAGCGATGAAACAAGATGGTCGCTATAACACCAAATTTCGTCGCCAAAGATAAATAGCGACAAATATTTTTGGTCGCCAAGGTCGTCGTTCAAAGCTCATGACCAAACTTGTCATCGCTAAACAGCTTTGGTCGCCTATAGAGAGGGAGTTGCCGCCAAAATACCAAAAATTCCCGCCAACATGGAATTATTTGGCGACGAAATAAATGTTTGGTCGCCTAAACATTTCAGCGACGAATGTCTTGGTCGTGAAAGATGTCCTTTATTTGTCGCATATGTTAGTTGGTTTGGTTATTTTCAGAATGGGCGACGAAACAGATTAGTCGCCAAAACTGTAGATATTGGTATTGTCAATTGAGCGATGAAAACTAATTCGTTGCAAAAAAAAGTGTATTATTTTTTTGAAAAAATAATTATTTATATTTCAAGCTTTGTAACGGAGTATTATTTACTCCATAAAGTTTTTGAAAAACAGTAAATAGATGAAATTAATAGAAATAGCATAATTATTATTCAAAAGATACTAGCTGTTTAAGCACACGTCAATGTATGCTAGGTACAAAAACCATTAAGTCGCCAGATGCATAAGCCCCTAGAACCCCCAAGGTAGGCTAGATACAAAAACCATCAAGTATGTAGATGTACACACAACTTAATGACTATTTCCAATATCATCAAGATCCTCATAAACCCACCATTTTAAGAATAGGTGTTTGGAATTGGGCCTCCAAAGAGGAAGAGAAGTACAACTGCAGCAGCTCTGTTTCAAAACAATCTTAGCATGCACTTTTTTTGGTCATCAATATATAAGATGATGGAAAATATAGGAAACTCAGACACATATCTTCATTGTGTTTCTAATTAATTAGTTCTATTTGCAATGGATAAAGCCTTTATATGATGCTAAAACCAAAGTACACAATTAGCATATAAAATAATGGGTCGTCAAAAACTTGCATGACCAGTCAGCTGATTTTTTGGATTGCAGATTATGCAAGTCAATAGTTCATTGTCAGCAGGTTTATGTATTCCTTACCCCTTTAATTTCAGCAGACTCGTTGATCCACATGCTCTTACCCTTAGGAATATGCATGTTGTTCCAATTGCTAATGTATGTAGGATTTTCACCCTTCTACATTTTCCCAACAAAAAGAAAATGAGAAACACTTGAAATTATTACAATATAATAAATAAAGAAATATTTAAAGTGACCAAAAATTATAAACCTCTCTAGCAGCTTCCATATGTTTTGGGAAAGGACGTGACCCCCCTGTATGATCAAACTCTTTATTTTTTCTGTTCTAGGCATTGGTCTTGCAGCGTTTCTGTTTTGATTAAATACATGAATTGTTATTTCTTTTTTTCTATTTGATACTTAGAATAAGTTCCCAACCAAAAATGAAAACTGCAGATGTTATAATACATTAGATACTTGATATTGATCATTTGTGTACAACATATCGACCAAATAATGACACTCTTCTAGAGTCCTTCAAGTACCAAAGATCTTTTCAGGGGTAGGTGTTTCTCATGCAAGATCAGGGTCAGAAGCATATTGCTTATAGTGTCTGTGGAGCTTCGCTTTCCATTCTTTATAAGTTGAGTGCATATGGTCAGTAATAAATTTCCATATATCCGGATCCGTTAAGTCCACATCAAACATAAACTAAAATCAATTAACCATAAACAAAACTGTGAGAATCCTTATTCTTAAAAATGTTAATATTTTATTTTGGTAAGTATTAAATTATAATTATAATTATTTTATGGAAGTCTATGTTTTATTTGCTTCACTTAATGCAAATTCAATAATTTTGATTATATATGCAGTTGTTTGACCATTTTAAATAATTATATATATATTTTATTATATTAAATATGTATATAGGAAGCATGAGGTGGATAACATAATTAAGCTGGAGGTGGCACCATTCCTTGGTTGCTTAAGGGACGTGTAAACACATAAGATTGTTGCCTTGCTATCCAAGTGCTAACTGGCTTTACTTCATCAAAATATCATCCCAATACCAAATGTTAGCACTTATCTCCAACCTCCAAACATATCAACCAATGATAGACTGATAGTTGCCACCTTTATTCTAGTATAAATAGAGAGTTGCATGTACAAATGATTTACTACATCTAGGGAAGGGCATGCATAGCTTGCTTAAGAAACGAGAAGACCATATTGGTAGAGAGAAAAAGAAAGAGAGAGAGTGGTAATAATATTCTTGGAGGAGTTAGAGGTCGGAGCTTGTGTTTTTTTAACTTGGAGTTAGCTTTGGAAATAAGGTAGGGTTTCTTGGGGGGGCCTTTTACAAAGATTGATTTAATTAAATTTCATGAGCTCTATATTATGGATATTTTTTTTGATATTATATAATGTTCTGGATATTGGATGTTTATAAATTATTAACTATTTGGTTAATGTAGTACTGTTTGATTTACGTTCCTTGTATTGGATATTTATGTACCCTTAACTATTTGAACAATGTGGGCATAATTATATGTGCATTGGTGATATTTTAAATGGCTACATTGTTGTGAAGGGCATAATTATATCATGTCATGGAATTTGACTAGAATTCTGGAGTTGAGAAAATAATGGTGGAAAATAGGGTAATGGAAAGGATTTTTTGTGTAGTTGAGTCTAACTCTTGGTAGGTACCAGGTCTCAGGGATCCCACAGTGCACATGATTTTTATTTGGTGATTGGGGACTGGCGAAAGGGAGTTAGACAAGATGACTAACAAAAGGAGAATTATGGGACAGTTGAAATGGGTGTTAGTTCATATAAATGGGCATTCGGGACCAAGTGGTAAAAGCATGGTATGGGACGTGCAGGTCTGCTTGTCCAATTATGAGAATTAACGGGATTAGATGAAGAACATTCATGCATTGTTACTAATAATATTTGGCTGCTTGATTATTTATCACTTAATTTAATTATATCAATTTATCGAAAAAAGGCTTATGTCCCTACTGAGCTGTGGTTTCGCTCAACCCCTAATAAATTTTGCAGATACCGAACCTGAAATCTAGAGCTTGTGATGATTTTTGGCATGTCTATAGAGTGTATTATAGCTTGTGGATGAATAATGAGCTACTCTTTTAGTGAACTCTCGAGTAGTTCTGACTTGTAAAATAATGTAAATTTTTTATGGTTTCAGATGTTATTGTTTAGGCATTCTGCTGAATATTTTATGTGAAATATTTATTTTATTTATTTAAATGTTTTCTTCACATTTTAGTTATAGTTTTTATTAAATTCTATAATTAAGGTGTGAATCACGTCTTAACCCAAGGTTTTGTAAATCCGAGGGTTGGGGTGTGACAAAAACAAGTATTAGTTATAATTTTCAATGCAAATAGAAACATTGAAGGACAAATTTTTCAGTTCCCACTAGAATACAATGAAGAATTGAAATAAAAAGAGAGCTAAATGAACAAAATTAAATTATAAGCAATGAAGAATTAGATAAGATTACCTGCAATCCCAATGCCATATCTTTCTTCGTCTCGAAGCTCAATTTTTTCATCCCTAAAACATTCAATGGAGCTTTATTGTGAGTGATTAACCCAATCTCAGAGACAAATAGTTTCTGAGCCTCAATAGTCGCAATTAATTTCTGGGATGGATCCATCCGTATTGGAATCAAACTTTTCCTCTTTTTCACAACATCACAAGTGCCATCTCCCACAGTTCGGCCATGAGTGTTCTTCCTCTGTGAAGAAGTTTGAGTATGCGTTCCCTCTTCTAGACAACAAAAATTCAAAAAATCAATAACTAGAGTGCACAAAATAAAGGTATAAAAATTAAGGGCACAAAATATGGTATCAGTTACCCTGTTGGTGGGAACACCCTTATGAGGCTGATAAAGTTCCTTCTTGTGGCTGAGTTGATTGTTGTTGTGGCAGCTGACATGGTTGCTCAAGTGGTTGTGGTGGTAGTAGAGTTGAAGTTTTCTTCTTCTTATTGTTATTGTTGCTTAAGGTTAGCAGCCCTCGTAAGTGTCATTCTACACTTACAAGCACATAAACAAAGAGAGAATACAACAATATACTACTAGATCATTCCTTGAAAAAATAAAAATAAATGATTGAACTTCAGTTGTAATGACATCGATTCTCATCACAAACATGCTTGAGATAAAGGAATTATTCATCAAAAAATGATTGAACATCATGCTTTATCAATAGGGAAGAAAAATAACACACACATGCATTTCATTTACATAGGGAGGACATATGCAAACCTTAACTCGAAGATATTTCTTCAATATACAATCCTTACAGACCTTACCCCTTAAAATAGATTAAGGAAAACATATAGTAACTTGAAGATAATTAAGAAACATATAGTGGCTAAACAAAAGACAACCTAACACTTCAATCCAAATCACTATAATCGTCACTGTGCACCAAAGATCCAAGATAAAAGTCTCAACATAAAACCAAATGGTTCAAACATGTATAACATGTACAATGAATAAAGTCAGGCTTAAGGTCACATGCCTCTCATGTAGTATATGAATTGTCTGAAATTAGTAATTAGGCTCGAACAAATTATTATTCTTTACAGTTCTTAATTACGAAAACCATTTCAAATTAACAAATTTACCCTTGAAGCTAATTGAATGACCTTGCATAAAATTCAAGCTACCAGTGATCATCACATAAAGCCAAAATGGTTTGTTAAAAAAATAAATTTAAAAAAAAAGTGGCTTGAAGAGCTTGAAAAGGATTTCCAAAACAATCAAACCAACATTGAAGCAGCGGCGGAGCCACCTAAGGCCCAGGGTGGGCCCAGGCCCTCTCTCATTTTATTTTTTTTTCTCATAATTTTGAGTCTTTTATAGCGTAGATGATGAGATTAATATTCAACCATGTTAAAATATGAAATTCAGGACAATTATGATTGTAATAAATGGATAAATTATTAATCGGTATGAAATGATATTATTAACTTATTAACCTGTTTAGCGCTTGAGGACTCCTATTCGAATTATTTTTAAATTTTTTGTGAAAGGCCCCCTCTAATGTGAAATCCTAACCCTGCCACTGCATTGAAGGATGATACTCCATCAGTTAAATTCTATTGTCCAATTAAGTGGTACTACACTTAGACACCGATACTAAGGGAAAGAAAAATAATTGCTAAACTAACGAGTTAATCTATGGGACGATGACCCTGCAGCTAGCTTATATATAAAATATAGAGACAACAACAACAAAAAAAGCATAAGCTCACAGACAAAGGCAAAGGAACCCTGCAGCTAAGCCCACATGACCAACTTTCAACTTCTAACTTTTTACTTCAATTATATAAATGAATTGTTATATTCTTTCTTCCAACAGATAGTAAAGAAATTCTTTAAATTATTTTCATTTGATAACTGTTTTTGTTGTACTTCAATAAAAACACTGAATTAATTCTTTAAATCTGAATTTCCCTGTTTTGATGCAATATATGAGTGGACCAATTAAGTCCATATGAACCGTCACCCTATTTTGGTTCGTGAATTAGGGACTTGAGAACGAATAGGTCACTATTATAATTTTGAAGAGTACCGTCCTCTTTTAAAACATGCTAAACAATAAAATAAAATAAAAATACCGCTTAAGAAAATTCGTGTTGGACCTAAAATTTTCAGATTTCCCTCGTGTCATTGAAAACCTTATTTCTCCCACCTTGAAACCCTCCTCAACTCTAACACCCTCATGAAACTCTCTAAAATACTTCCTCTCACATATCTTGAGCACTCCTCTCCCTACAAAATCATCAGAAAATCAATATCAATGAAAGAGTTGAGAGATTGAGGTCTTCATAGATCCACAATGATAGGACTCGACCCAAAGTGGGCAATAGTTTTGGCCTATTACAATAGGATTTGATTCCCCAATTTTCACACCTTTTTCCGCTTGTCGTTTAATAAATTCCGCGTTTAAGTTGCCAAACAAGAGAACTGTAAATTTCTCCACTTAAATTCTCGACATTTAGCTAAATTCTGAGTTATTTTCCCTCATCCAAATGAAGAGTATCTTCTGGCGATACAATAAAACCAGTTTTTATTAGGGTTTACAATAGATACAAACCAACAATTGTCAAAGTATAATGACTTTATGCTAGTACCGTTTTTACATAAAATCAGTCTATTGTTTGACTACCACCATAGAAGTGCTTCTGTACACAAGTGTTTTTTATGTTATTTATAGTGTTTGGCTACCTAAACATCCAAGGGAGTGCACTTATACTAAACAAATTTCTAAATTCCCACATCGATAAACAGTTAATGCTTATAAGGACTTACCACTTTGTTATCATCACACAATGCTTACAAGAGAAATTTTTTTTTCTTCTCTTGTTTAAATCTCACTATTTTGATGTTGATTATTTTTATGGGAGCTTGTTGGTATGGCTGAAGCAGAGAAAAGTTGGATGAAATTAACAAATATTTAGATCTGAATTTCCCTGATTTGATGAGATATATGGGTGGTGCCAATTCCATATAAACCCTCTCACCCTGCTCTTGATTTGATGAGATATTACTTCATTTGCAAGTTGCAACCATTGCAGTAATGATTGTGCACAGATTCTGCTTTTGGAATAAATGCAAATTAAGCAAGCCTTTTTGTTATACCAACAGAAGTTCAGGAATTAATTATATAAATATACATATATCTGGATGCATATTCATAGAAATCATATTAAGAAATCTGCACCACGCTTTTGTGTTTGACTTACTCTCTAAAGTATGTTTTACAGTTTTATACGGGGAGGAGTGGAAGGGGAGGTGATAATGCTTCAAGGTTGAGTGACGGTAAGGATAGGATACTTTCTAAAGAATGATGTTTGCCAACATCCCACATTGGAGTAACACGCAATCATACGAATGCTTATAAGGACTAACATAACAATTTACATTGCCGAGCTTAGTAACGTGAGCTTATAACTAAGTAGGGCATTAAAGTAATTGGTTGTTTGAGTTAAGCCTTGTCAGGTGAGGTATTGTGCTCTTGGACTGTTCACTTCGGTGAAGTCGCACAAAGCATGCTCCCTACCCTCGGGTTAGTAGGGCCACCCAATCTCGATGCTTGGGTAGCAACCCATATTTAAGGATTTGATTGGGGGTGTTTGGGTGCCAAACCTGGAGCCCCCACAGATCAAGAGTTATCACACCTCAGCGTGCTGCCTGGCGCTTGGCCTCTCATCACACAATCACTTTTTGTCTCTCTTATTTGAGCCCACAAGTAGCGCATAATGTAAAATGGGCTTCGGAACCCTAGACCCATCAAAGCCCTAAGGATAAATCGGTAATAAAAAAAAGTTTTAAAATTAGGGTTTCAACTTTCGGGGAATATAGACAGAATAGATATAGCCTCCTCTCTCTCGAAGATATCCAATTCCTCCGGCTGCAGCTTCAGGTAGAGCATCGCCAGCCTCAAGATCAAACAAGAAGAAGAAGCAAAATGGTACGTTTTATTTTATTTTGTTGCATTTTCCTTTTCACTAGTTTCATCGCACAGCCATTTCAGTAGTCTCGGTTTAGGGCTAAGTTTCGAATAACCCAGAACAATCTGTTCCTTTTGTCTCTCCATGGCTCTGATTCTTGATTCTCAGTGAATTTGAGAAAAAAATTTGAATCCGACGACCCCTTGGAGTTTGCCAACCAATTGCTCAGTGAAAAGCTCCAAAGAGCTGCGTAGCAACCTTCCTCCACCCTCCTTTCCTCTCTCTCTCTCTCTCTGTATCAATTTATCTATTTATTCTTTCTTCTTTTTTTTTCTTTTTTTGGTGATTTATTGAATGGGTATTTGTTTGGGTAGAGATTGATCCAAAAAGAGATGGGATTGTGGCTGTTGGTGATGCTCTGTTTTCTTGGTTGCTGCTGAAGTAGCAGAAGCATTTGGGTAGAAATACGAGCTCTGTTTTCTTGGTTCAGAGAAAGTGAGTGGTGTGGCTGAGTTCGGGGATTGCGAGGAGTTGTTCTGGGTCAGTGAGATGAGGGGCTGGCTATGGTGGGAAGGGGGTAGCTGGGGGTGAGAAGGGGTTAATCCCTTTTTTTAATTATATATTTTTTTTATGTTTTTAATTATATTTTAACTGAAGTTTGGATGAAATGTGAACATACAAGCCTTTTGGTTTTAAATTTGAGAATGTTTAAAGTTATAATGCTGTACTCTGTCTCTGTACCAACAGCCGAAGCAAATCCATGAGATTAAGGATTTCCTTCTAACTGCAAGAAGGAAGGATGCACGCTCTGTCAAAATCAAGAGGAGCAAAGATGCGGTCAAGTTTAAGGTTCGATGCTCCAAGTACCTTTACACACTCTGTGTGTTTGATACCGAGAAGGCCGACAAGTTGAAGCAATCCCTTCCTCCAGGTATAGCTTTTTCGTTTTCAATCCCATAATTTATTTTCATTTGCAACTCTTATATGGTGGTTTTGGCTACCGCCATCTTTCAATTTAGGTGCATGAAAGCATGTTCATCTATGGTTTCTGTCACTGAGGGGATAGAAACCAACATGTTTGTAAAGCTCAATTTTATAACTAACATGTTTGTTATGATTTTGTATCTGTAGGTTTGAGCGTGCAGGACCTGTGAAGATGGGATCCGGATAGCTTCACAAAATCGAATGGGA